GAAGGACAGTGGCTCATCTCACGAAGTCTTTGAATGAAGGCATTCTTAGTTAATGTTGTTATGTTTGGTTTCACAAGTTACCTGTGATGATTTCGGTTCATGTTAAGGCCACAAACCGGAGACTTGTAAGACTTTTTTTTCTGAATCAGTGGCTTCCATCTGGTTACACTTTGATTATTATTGACGCTTGTGATTTGTCAACGTTGTGATTTCGGTGTTTAATAGACCCCAGTATCAAACAGCCAGAGCGGACACATATGATCAGGTGCTGGTTTGGGGCTAATTTCGTGACGAGAGATCACGGCTGCTTGTAAAGACTATTTCTTTGTTATCAGATCTTGCTTCGCTTGGCCGAGAGTCGTGCTCTGAAGGTCGTAGTGACACGACTGGAATGCGCGCTCACTGGGACATATTACAACATTCACTCTATAACTCCTTTCTCCAGGGTGGAACTGGGTGGGTGGAGGGGGATGGTGTGGTGCCGGTAGTTTAATGCATGTGCCCTGTCTCCATATAGCGAATGTTTTCGTAACAACAACACAATTACTCGAACGAGGGGGAAGATGGAGTGGTGGGAAAGGTTGAGTTGAGGATGGCAATACGGTCACATCCCGTTGTCTTGAATTCATATTCGCTTCAGCGATGGGTGTGTGGGGTGGGGGTGGGGGTGGGGGAGGTGACTGATTGGTGGCTATTTATACATCAAAACCAAATATTCTCGAATTTGAATGCATCGAATTCCCGGTTGTGTCGAGGAATATCAACTCACTTACTGAAGAGAGCGAGATAGGTGGTGAATTCGTCACACGTCGCTCCCTTTTTTGTACCTAGGTATGTCATTTCAAATAGGATCTCTCGCCCTAGTTACTAAGCAAATATTGTATCTCAGCGTGATAGGTTCTCAATAAATTACGTACATGCCTTGACACCCACAAGTGTTATAGGCTGGTTGACAAATCTATAGTGTGTATCGTTTGAAACTACATACATTGGCTTGGCTGAGTGAGTGATGAGTCATTATTATGAAGCCCACTGAATACATGTCAAAGGTGAGATCTTTCAAGTAAGTGAGTGAGTGAGTTTTAGTTTTACGCCGCTTCTAGCAATATTCCAGCAATATCACGGCGGTAGACACCAGAAATGGGCTTCACACATTGTACCTATGTGGGGAATCGAACTCGGATCTTCGACGTGACGATCGAACGCTTTAACCACTAGGCTACCCCAGCGCTCCTATTTAAAATAAGACAAGGTCCAGTACATCTACACACATATGTGCACATACACCTTCAGCTGTACCTACCATGGAAGGTCCGGGTTAGAATGAACCTTCAGTAACACATGCTTTTCGTAAGAGGTGACTAACGGGATCGGGTGGTCAGGCTTGCTGGCTTGGGTGACACGTCATCGGTTCCCAATTGTGCAGATCGATGCTCATGTTGTTGCTCACTGGGTTGTCTGGTCCAGACTCGATTATTTACAGACCGCCGCCACATAGCTGGGATATTGCTGAGTGCGGTGTAAAACAACAATCCGACCAACCATCCAACAGGCCGCATAGACAGACACACTAACACACAGCCAAACACTCATACACACATCAAACACTTTTCCACCACATATCTACTAATATTATTATAGTAATTACATATATTATGCAAGAGTCTAGTCTTCTATGAAATGTTATGTCAAATAGTTCCAGTATGTTTACCATGCTGTCACACGTGTCAACTGATCGTAACAATCGTATATATTTACATTGTGTATGTATGCTGAAACACAGGTACCCACGAATTCTTGTGTTCTTAAACATCTGTTTATGTTTGCTAATAACTCTGGAAATCAATGAGTAAATAAACACCCGCATACAAACCTGTTCACATGCACAGACAGACAGTTTGTCACCTAGCTAAGTGTTCAATGCTGCCGTTTTGGTGTGTGTGTATGTGCGTGCGCACGCTTGGGCATGCGTGCGTGCGTGCGTGTGTGTTTGTGCGTGTTTGTGTTTGTGTGTGCGTGCGTGCGCGTGCGTGCGTGCGTGCGTGCGTGTGTGTGTGTGTGTGTGTGTGTGTGTGTGTGTGTGTGTGTGTGTGTGTGTGTGTGTGTGTGTGTGTGTGTGTGTGTGTGTGTGTGTGTGTGACATTAGCACTGGATAATACAGTGTATCTGTGCCGTGCGCGTTTGGACCAGTTGTCCGCAATGGCTATGATGGGTTGCGTCCCCTAATGGTATAAGGATCCAGTAAGTGTGATTTAGAATTCTGATCAGTGATAGCATACTTCATTATTGGGAAGGATGTACATGACATCATTAGGCATTTCTCTCAGGAAAACCTGATTTAAGTAAAAGTGAAAACAGGGTCAAACAAAACTCACTTAGTCTCAATGTCCTGGCCCTTTCAATGCTTAGAAGATTCACCTAAAACGTCTTTGACCCAGGTCATGATGGCAATTTTTATCATGAAATACTTGATATTGTACATTTCATAATGTTGAATTGTTTATTGATATATGGTCAATGTATCCCGTAATCTATCAACAAATCGTTTCGTTTGATTTTGTTTCACTTTATTCGCAAATCAAGCATTCATTCATTTGTTGATATATGCGTTTTGGTGTAGGTAGTGTCAGCAGTCAGAGTCTATTCAAACCAATGTTTTGTAACAAGAACAACGAACTGAGGGTATTAAACACACAGGTATGTCTAATAATACCTATCTTGGCCTATCTAAGCATGCTTCAAGCGAATACAATAATCAAACGTCTCATTGAAAGCATTTTTCCAGGTGAATTATTAATGAATATTTAAAATCATGAATTTTTGAAACCTAAACACCTTTAGGCAATGACATTTCCGCGACTTGTGGACTCAAGCACAACCAGACACACAACCTAAACTAATTGTCCACAACAACAAAAAATGGAGAATGCATTATTTGAATTTTATCAACAGTTCATTAAATCAACAGTTTATCTTTAATACGTACTTGTACAGCAAGTTATGGCATTGATCGCTCATGAATACATAAACATGTGTGGGAGCCAGCATAGTGCAAGGACTGGTGTTAAAAACGTTCGGTCGAAGAGTGAGTGAGTGAATTTTAGTTTAACGCCGCTTTTAGTAATATTCCAGCAATATCGCGCCGAGGAACACCAGAATTGGGCTTCACATATTGTGTCCATGTGGGGAATCGAGCCCGGGTCTTCGGCGTGACAAGCGAGCGCTTTAACCACTAGGCTACCCCACTGATCCTTCGCAGGAAGAACTGGGTTAGATTCCACACACGGTTTCTGTAAACCTCGGTTGAATGTTGGAAGAGATAATGCTAAAGCACATCTTAATGAGTGACTGAGTGTGGTTAAATGCTGCTTTGAAAGGTATCCAAGATAAATCAGGGTGTGTCAGCTTAATATGGTGTCTCAGCGAACTGCAGCTGTTTTACGACTAGCCCATTGTATTTAATACCGAAGTGTAGTTTAATGTATAAAGCGTCTACGCGAAGTGCACAAAGTCGTTGGTTCGATCCCATGGTATGTATTGTCACCCTGCCTGACTCCCGTTAAGGGAATAGAACAAAGATTGGTTGCATTGAGTCAATAAAATGTGTCTTAGGTATACACACCATCTTTGTCGCGACGTATAATATCACTTTCTCCGGCCTCAGCTTACTGCAGTGGTTAACATTTACAAGTTTAGCTATTTTGCCTTTCCACCCACAGCAGGACACGCAGTAATTGAAATACTCTTCAAGTCGTCCTGAACATTCGTTCACTCTGATGCTCGAGACCACGACTTTGCTGTGACTGTTACGAAGTAGCTTGAGTAAATATGTTCATTGAGGAACACTTCCTTGTCAGAGGCAAATGTTGTGGTAGTTGTTCGGAGCCAATCCTGTATCAACAATGGATCATGCCTTGAATATCTTCCTCTAGTTAACTGTAACAATACAATGAAAATAGTGTCTAGTCTGGGCTGTATGGCACTGACTGTGTTACTTCGGGATTTTCCCCCATCAATAAACAGCACGGAATGATATACTGAGACACATATACACTTTAAAAATAATACACAGGCATACACACATTAGGATCGAAAAGTGACCAGTCTAATGTCAAGTATCTGATTGTGTATCACTGAAGCCGATGTTGTTGATTGCTGTTTGTGCCACAGTTTTGGGATAACAGCATTCCAAACAATCATTTGAGACCATTCTGAATGTCATCTATGAACACAAAAGAGGCTCCCCTGGATTTACCACTGACAATAACAATAACGATAATATTAGACATAATGTGGACAAAAGCACCCATTAGCTGGTTTAACATAGTCGTCTATGTTACTGGGACGGTGGGGTAGCCTAATGGTTAACGCGTTGGCTCGTTACGCCGAAGACACGGGTTCGAATCCCCACATGGGCACAATGTGTGAAGCCCATTTCTGGTGTCCCCCGCCTTGATGTTGGTGGAATATTGCTAAAAGCGGCGTAAAACCAAACTCAGTCAGTCAGTCGTTGTCACTATCACCGAGCCCTTCAAATGATTTCACGGATATGCTTTGATAGATATGTAAAAGCAACAAATGATCCTTTGTCACAGATATTCCCCTTTCGCTTCGTTCTTCGTGTAAGAATATTAAACAGATACATTTGCATTTTCTATTAACACGTTTTCAGATTAAATATTCACAACCTATCGTGGATATATCATCATGTGTGACTGACTGCAGAAGATGATGTGTTCTACTTCAGACTTCTACTCAACGCCGCTGTCAGTAAAGTCATGCATGATAAGAACATCTTGTTCAAACTGATATTATTTGCTTTATGTAGCCCCTATTGAACAGTTGAGGAGAGTTTTTTAACGAGGAGCGGGCTTAGACTGCTCCGTACTGAAGGGAACCGTCACTGCTATATTTACAGCTAAATCTACTTCCTCGTCTCCCGAGCGCAATCGCACGGCAGTGAGTACATATACGCTGCAGCTTACTTCAGTCTTGCAAGACCTCGCTCAAGAATAGAGCACTGTATCGCATTTGGAAAAAGAATACATTCTACAAAATGTCTGGAAATCATTTTCCGGCACTTTGTGGAATATTTGTTATACTGACATGTGTTTCTTCAAGTTTTATTAACTTTGAACCGGGATTTGAGTACCAGTACAAGTATGATTCCAACGCAAATGTGAAAAATCTTGGAGATTTTCAAGTATTAGCCAAGGTGAGTTCCTGAGTCCTATTTCATTTCCATAATTCTTATTTTGTATATGCCGACACAAAATGTACTTCCAATAAATTAAGAGGACTAAATATGAGAATGGGAATGCACGCCCAGATGTTTCGCGTTAAGAGGTCAGCGACCTTGAGATAACTAGCAAAATACCCGAACACTGAAGGAGTACACAGTACATGTATTTCAGTTATTTATAGGTTTCCACCTTATTGTGGAACAAAAAGTGGTGAGAAGTGGTGCAGGTTTAACAGTTTGGGAATGGACACCCTGATGTCTCGCGTAAAAGGGGTTAGCGACCGAGAGAGAACTTGGAAAATACCCCAACACTGATGGAGTTGATCCAGCGTACATGTATTTCAGTTATTTATAGGTTTCCATCTTATTGTGGAACAAAACGTTGTGAGAAGTGGTGCAGGTTTAACAGTTTGGGAATGCACACCCTGATGTTTCGTGTTAAAGGGGTTAGCGACCGCGAGAGAACTAGCAAAATACCCGAATACTGAGGGAGTTAATGCAGAATATTTCAGTTATTTGTGGGTTTTCAACTTATTGTCGAACAAAAATCAGAAGAAGTGCCAGTTTATCGTGTGCTGAAAATTGGAAATGACAATCGTGTCAAATCTAGAATTGGTAGGATTCTGGTACGCCTTTTGGGAACAGCTGTGAACGGATTCGTGGCCCCTTAAACCACTTGAGCTCAAGTGCCCATGTGCATGAATACGGCATGAGAAGACATATATGGAGTCCTCAATAGGTGCTACGTAATCACAACATAAAGGCATATAAGTAAAAGCAAAAATTTAGTATCATCAACTACGATCGTGATTAATCAAACAAACAGGTGGCAAATTGTGTTTACACCTGTCAAGATGGAAACAGGGTACAGAATTGTAATTTATATAAATACGTTTATTGCAAGTTAATGTCGCGATTATAACTATATGGACGCGTAAACGCCAGCAAATACTTAGCGGTATCATAGCAAACGTATATATGCATATTCGGTGGAAACATCCATCGGGAATATCATTTCATTTGTATTAAGGACGTTGGGTTAGCCTAGTGGTTAAAGCGTTCGCTCGTCACGCCGAACACCCGGTTTCGATTCTCCACATGGGTGCTATGTGTGAAGCACATTTCTGTTGTCCCCCGCCGTGACATTGCTGGAATACAGCTAAAATCGGCGTAAAACCACGCACACTCACTCTTCTTTCATTTGAATTATGTCATCAAGATAGGATGATATTTAAGGAAGGTTATACCCAGATCAATTTGCTTGAAGTGACATTCATACCAGTTAAACATATCTTTGAAATCTGCGTCTAACACAGTTAAAGCAAATTACGTAACTGGAAGAACTCCCTTTAATGGTTAATCCTTTGGGAACAACGATCCTGGGCGACGTGCTCCTTTTGCTGACAACTTACAGACATGCTGACCGAGTGTCATGATTTTTATGAAGATAATTAGGGACGTGAATGCTTCAAATTCCTTGTTTACCTTCAGCCTACTGTCTGACCTTTGCATTTGTGTAGAACACGGGATGCTCAAGCCTGTGCACTTGACAAAAATGCATATTAGCTTTTTACATATGTCGGCAGTGTTTCCTTGGAAACTCAGGCAGAGCTGTGTAACCGGATTTCCAAGTAGTCCCGATTTGTCTGCCATTCACCGGCAACAACTGCGACACGGAGACACGCCTTTTGAAATACGCATGATAATGAATAAGTAAAGAATCGTTTTTATGTGTAAAACCCGAAGGACAGTGGCTTATCTCACCAAGCCTTTGAACGAAGACATTCTTAGTTACTGTTGTTATGTTTGGTTTGACAAGTTATCCGTTTAGCCCTGTGATGATTTCGGTTCATGTTAAGGTCACAAACCGGAGACTTGTAAGACTTTTTTTCTGAATCAGTGGCTTCCATCTGGTTACACTTTGATTATTATTGACGCTTGTGATTTGTCAACGTTGTGATTTCGGTGTTTAATAGACCCCAGTATCAAACAGCCAGAGCGGACACATATGATCAGGTGCTGGTTTGGGGCTAATTTCGTGACGAGAGATCACGGCTGCTTGTATTGACTACATCTTTGTTATGCTTGGTCGAGAGTCGTGCTCAGAAGGTCGTAGTGACACGACTGGAATGCGCGCTCTGGGACATATTACAACATTCACTCTATAACTCCTTTCTCCAGGGTGGAACTGGGTGGGTGGAGGGGATGGTGTGGTGCTGGTAGTTTAATGCATGTCCGCTGTCTCCATATAGCGAAAGTTACAATTACTCGAACGAGGGGGAGGATGGAGTGGTGGGAAAGGTTGAGGTGTGGATGGCAATACGGTCACATCCCGTTGTCTCAGCGATGGCTGTGTGGGGTGGGGGGTTGGGGGTGGAGGTGACTGATTGGTGGCTATTAATACATCAAAACCAAATAATCTCGAACTTGAATGTATCGAATTCCCGGTTGTGTCGAGGAATACCAACTCACTTACTCAAGAGAGCGAGATAGGTGGTGAATTCGTCACACGTCGCTCCCTTTTTGTTCCTATGTATGTCATTTCAAATAGGATCTCTCGTCCTAGTTACTAAGCAAATATTGTATCTCAGCGTGAGAGGTTCTCGTAAATTACGTACATGCCTTGACACCCACAAGTGTATTAGGCTGGTTGACAATTCGATAGTGTGTATCGTTTGAAACTACATACATTGGCTTGGCTGAGTGAGTGATGAGTCATTATTATGAAGCCCACTGAATACATGTCAAAGGTGAGATCTTTCAAGTAAGTGAGTGAGTGAGTTTTAGTTTTACGCCGCTTCTAGCAATATTCCAGCAATATCACGGCAGGGGACACCAGAAATGGGCTTCACACATTGTACCTATGTGGGGAATCGAACTCGGATCTTCGACGTGACGATCGAACGCTTTAACCACTAGGCTACCCCAGCGACCCTATTTAAAGTAAGACAAGGCCCAGTGGAATGTGTTTCAGTGGACAATCAGGACACCAGCTCTTTCACCTTCTTCAGCTGTTAATCGTGGCATATTTCTTGTACTTGTGTATCATATCATACATTTAGTCTCTCTTTATACCCTATAGAATCATTCTACACATGAAATTGATGCAAATACTGTTTGAATATTGCTACGGTTAGGCGATTGATATTGCTGTGTGTTAACAGAATATGGAAAAATGATTATTTTAGATGTTCCTAAACACTTTTTCACAATATCAAAGACACGTTTTACTTCTTTTCACTAATGCAAATCAGGAGAAAATGTTTTAAGAGACTGAAATTATAGGAATGATTCTTTTACATTTTCACACACTCTACAACAGTTGTTTCTTGTTTTAATAGTTGAAATGGTTAAATGGTTTATCTTTGTCTTAAAGCAGAATTGTATTTCAACCTTTCTTTTGGACATCTAAATCACTGTTATTGGTTTATTTCGACAGGGTCGAAAATGAGACAATTTAACTCTTCTGGAAAAGATGCATTTCACCTAAATATGAATGTACATGAGAATGTTTTCTCGTGATTTGCATAAAGCTGTTTTGTTAAGATTTCTTGTAAACTAATACTTTCTAACCTGTCTTTGACTTGTCTTGATAGTTTTTAATGCAAGTAATTCATAAAAGTAGGAGGGTATAGTTTCTTTTGGCGTTTAAGTGTATATGTACACATTCCTCTACACCTACATCGACAATGCTACACCTTCATCTACGCCTTCTCATCTATCTATATCTACACAAAACTCCACACCTACACCTTGATAACCTACATCTGCATCTACACACATACACATGTCATCGAATCCTAATTGTGCAGATCGATGCTCATGTTGTTGCTCACTGGGTTGTCTGGTCCAGACTCGAATATTTACAGACCGCCGCCATATAGCTGGAATATTGCTGAGTGCGGTGTAAAACTGAACTCACTCACTCACTCATTCACTCATCTATACTTACATCTACGAAGCTGCACCTTCATCTATGCCTAATCCTTATTCTACATCTACACATAAATGTACATCACATCAACATCCACATATACATCAACAACTATATCAATATAACATTTGTACCAACATCTACACATACTCCTTCATCTATGCCTACATCACGCACCATGTCTTCTTCTACGCCTGTTTACAGACCGCCACCATATAGCTGGAATATTGCTGAGTGTGACGTACAACTAACCTCACTCACTCACTCATCTACGCCTACACCTTAATCTACATCTACACATAAATCTACATCACATCCACATCCACGTCTACATCTACACCTATGCCAATAAAAACATCTGCACCAACAGCTACAACTCCATCTACACCTACACTTAAATCCACATCTACATATATGGCCACACTATCACTTGTAACTATATGTATAGCAACTCCTAAAGACATGTAATCCCGTTACAATTAAGATGTTATCCAAAAGGTCGGGAACCCAATCAACAAAGCAAATTTAGTCTATTTGTAAAAATAGATTTAGGACAGTAGTATCGCGGTCACACTGTGGAGGGTAACAAGCTCGTTTGTGATGCTACCGAATACAAACGCTGAAATTAATCTCCCAATTCATTCAGAGTGTCATGTAAAGCGTAATAAACATGCAATTGTCTTCCGTCTACAGCACAAGTCCGATCTAGGATTATGCTTGGACAAACATGCTGTTGTCATTCGAGTTGTCCCGTAGCCTATAATTTCCCATTAAGCAAGGTGATTACTTATGGGGTATCGTTTTCCTGATCATGACAATATCAATTGTCGACCTTAAAAATCATAAAATTAATCCTCTTTGGTAAAAATATGGCTCGACCTCATAGAATATCAGTTGAGAAATCTGTTTAGTTTGAGGACTAATCACTTCCATGACAGTTGTGATCAGTAGTATGTAATATGATCAGTGGTATTGTATGCTTAACTCTCGTGTATACGTATGTTAGAGGCCTTGTGAGTTCGTTTGAACCTACGTTGTGTTACATATAACGAAAGATAGGATGATTTGAGCACAACTTGGTTTGATCCGTGTTTTCATGTATGTTGATAATGCATCGAGCGAATTATAGACATCCGAGACGTTTACGGCTTTTATGATGGGAAGTGATCCAGGTCTTCGACGTAAACTGTTTTTGTCACAAGACGTAAAGCATGTCTTAGATGTCAACTGCTTTTGTCACAGGACGTAATGCAGGTCTAAGATGTAAACTGTTTGTGTCACAGGACGTAATGTAGGTCTTAGATGTAAACTGTTTGTGTCACAGAACGTATTGCAGGTCTTAGATGTGAACTGCTTTTGTCACAGGACGTAATGCAGGTCTTAGATGTGAACTGTTTTTTGTCACAGAACGTATTGCAGGTCTTAGATGTGCACTGCTTTGTCACAGGACGTAATGCAGGTCTTAGATGTAAACTGTTTTGTGTCACTGGACGTATTGCAGGTCTTAGATGTAAACTGTTTTTGTCACAGAATGTAATGTAGGAATTACATTTGAACTGTTTTTGTCACTAGACGAAATGCAGGTCTTAGATGTGAACTGTTTTTGTCACAGGACGTAATGTAGGAATTACATGTGAACTGTTTTTGTCACTGGACGAAATGCAGGTCTTAGATGTGAACTGTTTTTGTCACAGGACGTAATACAGATCTTACACGTGAACTGTTTTTGTCACTGGACGTAATACAGGTCTTAGATGTGAACTTCTTTTGTCACAGGACGTAATGTAGGTCTTAGATGTGAACTGTTTTTGACACTGGACGTAATGTAGGTCTTAGATGTGAACTGTTTTTGTCACTGGACGTAATACAGGTCTTAGATGTGAACTGCTTTTGTCACAGGACGTAATGTAGGTCTTAGATGTGAACTGTTTTTGTCACTGGACGTAATATAGGACTTAGATGTGAACTACGTTTGGCACAGGACGTAATGTAGGTCTTAGATGTGAACTTCTTTTGTCACTGGACGTGTGATGGAATCTTGTGACTATGTCAAACATATGCTAAATGGAAAGGGTGATCAGGCTCTGGACTTGGTTGACGCTGTGTCATCGCAACCCGACGGCGTGGGCCGTTGCCGTTGCTCTGGCGCAAAACAACAAACTACTTCGACGGGCTACGTATTTGGCTCTTTATCTTCCTTTACAAAACCATTTTACGCTTATGTAATGCTTGTCCTCGTTGTTTGTGGGCACGCGTGAATAGTCTTATTTGTCACGTTCACACCATGTTACATAACAATTCAAATTATGGGGGGAGTGTTTCTGAAGGGTAATGTCACTTCTAAGGACTTCATACCATCTCAAATAGGTTTTGCAATAGGCTTTAGAAACATAATAAAAGGTATGGTAAATGTTCTCAGTGGTCGAAAACTTGATAAACTTTTGATGCCGATATTACCTTGATTGTTTAATACCTATCATACTGTTTATAGTCACACACATATTTATATATATGCTTACAAGCCACTGTTATTGTAAAACAAAATGTTTATGTCCTCGTGGTTATTCATATTAAACATATAATACAACAACAAAAGAGTCATCCCGCCCGTTCATAATTCACAATAACTAAAAGAAAACCTATTATCTCCGGTAAGAGAAGATTCAGTTGTGCTATATCATGAGCATGTGGTTATGATGCAGCATCAAATACTGGTAAAAATTGGTGGTCTCGAAAAGCTGGGTATATTCTGCAGCATCCGTCACAAACAAATGCAAAGGCAAGTTAATTGTTCACCGGAAAAAGACATGGGAACATATGGTACATGTCAAAATAAATGAGTTGCATCGGACATCATTTTTGTCACTGATGCATCCCATCTGGAACTTCCTCCACATGTCTACTATAAATAGTCAATGACGTCATCTTGTGTCCATGTTAAAAACAGTACCCCTGTAATTCATCATGTACGTCTCTGATTCAGGTCGGCTACATCAACGTCGGTGACAGCGGCAACGGACAAGAGATCTACGTGAAGGTGTATGCTCTGCAGCTGAAGACCAAACACTCACAAGGTAGCTACTACTTCAATTCTTTTATAATACAACTACTCCCACAACTCGTACTCCTACCACCATCACCACCACCACCACTAATACTACTACTACGACTACGACCACGATTACGGCTACGACTACCATTCTTCGCCACGTTTAGTGGTAAAATTACCCATGCGGCGTTAATTTAGCTATTTCAACTAATACAGCTCCAACTATTCCTACTAAAACTACCGCCACTAGAACGGTTAAACGCTGGGAAGACAAAAAATACAGTCAAAACCAGATAATAAGACAGGGACAGTTCTATGTAATTATCAGTGAACCAGGAAGACACGCGTTTCTTTACCTTAGGCTAAAATTACACCTGAATGAGACAAGGGTAGATAAACCTGTTTCGTAGCCTTAAAATATTTCTACAGAGCACAAAACATACAATACGATACTGTTTGTACAGAACACAGCGGGCTCCTTCACGTGTTCACCTTCAATGCTTAATTCTAACCAGTCCCCACACCTGCAACTTGTTTACCACTATATCCAACATTAACATCTCCTCCACTGCAACACCCCACCTCTCCCGCCCCAACCCCACCCCACCCCACCCCACCTCACCCCATCCAACCCAACGCAAGGGTGCTCACAAGAAGCGCGATGAAAGCAAATCTATAAACAAGCAGAACGGGTAATTTCAAATGACATTAAAGTCGATTTATGGTTTGTCGTAAAACAATCAAGAAGCTATGCCCGATAGATAGATTTATGTGATTTATGAGACAATGTTGGCGAAATCACACATATACTGGGGATATCAAACACGGAATGATCTGAAATTCGTCATTACACGAACACAAGATTGACTATATAAGTAAACAAACACACAAAATACTTTTTGTCAAAGAATTCCTCCTTAATGCTTTATCTTTACAAGTATTATTTGTATCTGAAACAGGGAGGATACTGACAGCCACAAACGTTTCATAAAAGGGATTTTAGTGGTTATAAATGTCAATTTTGTTGGACACAAAACACATGCAAACTTGCCAGAGGGACTATTCGGCTTGTCCCGGAATGACACGAGTTGTCACGGATGTGATTGTCATCTATGCATGACGAAGGGCAACACTTCCTGCAGGTCCAATGTTGTGTAGATTGTCCATGTAGTCATTACGAACATATCTGTGAGTACTGTCGCTGTATAAAATAAGGATCTTTCCTAAATGGATACCCATAAAACCCATGAATACAGCCTCAGTACTTCAGTGAAACACGTCAAAACATTCTGTACACGAACGTCAGTTAAAATACGAATCCTTTCAAGTGGAATAAAGTGAATTATAGTATGTTGTTATAAATCACATTGGTGAACCACATGTTTCGCCCCCTCCAGTTGTGAAGTGTCTTAAATCATATTCACGGACTGGGTAAACCTTGTCTACATTGGGGACATCACGTTCTGTATCTGTATACTCTATAATCCTCCATTACCAGTCAATACAGCCTCAGTACTTCACGGGTTTGTATTCTCTAAAATCCTTCATTATACATGAATACAGCCTCAATACTTCACGGGCTAGTGTACTCTATAATCTTCCATTATACATGAATACAGCCTCAGTACTTCACAGGCTTGTATACTCTATAATCCTTCATTATACATGAATACAGCTTCAATACTTCACGGGCTTGTATACTCTAAAATCCTTCATTATACATGAATACAGCCTCAGTACTTCACGGGTTAGTGTACTCTAAAATCTTCCATTATCCATTATTACAGCCTCAATACTTCACAGGCTTGTATACTCTAAAATCCTTCATTATACATGAATACAGCCTCAATACTTCACGGGTTAGTGTACTCTAAAATCTTCCATTATCCATTATTACAGCCTCAATACTTCACAGGCTTGTATACTCTAAAATCCTTCATTATACATGAATACAGCCTCAATACTTCAAGGGTTAGTGTACTCTAAAATCTTCCATTATCCATTATTACAGCCTCAATACTTCACAGGCTTGTATACTCTAAAATCCTTCATTATACATGAATACAGCCTCAATACTTCACGGGCTTCTATACACTATAATCTTCCATTATACATGAAAACAGCCTCAGTACTTCACGGGGCTCTCTACTCTAAAATCTTTCATTATGCATGAATACAGCCTCAGTACTTCACAGGCTTGTGTACTCTAAAATGCTTCATTATCCATTAATACAGCCTCAATACTTCACGGGCCAGTGTACCCTATAATCTTCCATTATCCATGAATACAGCCTCAGTACTTCACAGGCTTCTGTACTCTAAAATCCTTCATTATACATGAATACAGCTTCAATACTTTACGGGCTAGTGTACACTATAATCTTCCATCATCCATGAATACAGCCTGAGTACTTCACGGGCTTGTGTACTCTAAAATCCTTCATTATCCATTAATACAGCCTCAATACTTCATGGGCTAGCGTACTCTATAATCTTCCATTTTCCATGAATACAGCCTCAGTACATCACAGGCTTGTTTACTCTAAAATACTTCATTATCCATGAATACAGCTTCAATACTTCATGGGCTAGAGTACTCTATAATCTTCCATTATCCATGAATACAGCCTCAGTACTTCACAGGCTTGTGTACTTTAAATCCTTCATTATACATGAATACAGCCTCAATACTTCACGGGCTAGTGTACTCTATAATCTTCCATCATCCATGAATACAGCCTCAGTATTTCACAGGCTTGTGAACTCTAAACCCTACATTATCCATTAATACGGCCTCAATACTTCACGGACTAGTGTACTCTATAATCTTTCATTATCCATGAATACAGCCTCAATACTTCACGGGCTTGTGTACTCTAAAATCCTTCATTATGCATGAATACAGCCTCAGTACTTCACCTCAATAATACACTTCACATGAATACAGCCTCAATACTTCACGGGCTAGCGTACTCTATAATCTTCCATTATCCATGAATACAGCCTCAGTACTTCACGGGCTTCTGTACTCTAAAATCCTTCATTATCCATGAATACAGCCTCAATACTTCACAGGCTTGTTTACTCTAAAATCCTTCATTATACATGAATACAGCCTCAATACTTCACGGGCTAGTGTACTCTATAATCTTCCATTATACATGAATACAGCCTCAATACTTCACGGGCTAGTGTACTCTATAATCTTCCATTATCCATGAATACAGCCTCATTACTTCACAGGCTTGTTTACTCTAAAATCCTTCATTATCCATTAATACAGCCTCAGTACTCCAAAGGCTTGTATACTCTAAAATCCTTCATTATCCATGAATACAGCCTCAATACTTCACAGGCTAGTGTACTCTAAAATCCTTCATTATCCATGAATACAGCCTCAATACTTCACGGGCTAGTGTACTCTATAATCTTCCATTATCCATGAATACAGCCTCAGTACTTCACAGGCTTGTATACTCTAAAATCCATCATTATACATGAATACAGCCTCAATACTTCACAGGCTTGTTTACTCTAAAATCCTTCATTATACATGAATACAGCCTCAATACTTCAAGGGCTAGCGTACTCTATAATCTTCCATTATCCATGAATACAGCCTCAGTACTTCACAGGCTTGTCTACTCTAATATCCTCCATTAGATATGAATACAGCATCAGTACTTCACAGGCTTGTATACTCTAAGATTTTTCATTATCCATTAATACAGCCTCAATACTTCACGGGATAGTGTACACTATAATCTTCCATTATATATCAATACAGCCTCAATACTTCACGGGCTAGTGTACTCTATAATCTTCCATTATAAATAAATACAGCCTTAGTACTTCACGGGCTTCTGTACTCTAAAATCCTTCATTATCCATGAATACAGCCTCAATACTCCACAGGCTTGTTTACTCTAAAATCCTTCATTATACATGAATACAGCCTCAATACTTCACGGGCTAGTGTACTCTATAATCTTCCATTAAACATGAATACAGCCTCAATACTTCACGGGCTAGCGTACTCTATAATCTTCCATTATCCATGAATACAGCCTCATTACTTCACAGGCTTGTTTACTCTAAAATCCTTCATTATCCATTAATACAGCCTCAGTACTCCAAAGGCTTGTATACTCTAAAATCCTTCATTATCCATTAATACAGCCTCAATACTTCACGGGCTAGTGTACTCTATAATCTTCCATTATCCATGAATACAGCCTCAGTACTTCACAGGCTTGTTTACTCTAAAATCCTTCATTATCCATGAATACAGCTTCAATACTTCACGGGCTAGTGTACTCTATAATTTTTCATTATCCATGAATACAGCCTCAGTACTTCCCAGGCTTGTATACTCTAAAAGCCATCATTATACATGAATACAAACTCAATACTTCACGGGCTTGTTTACTCTAAAATCCTTCATTATACATGAATACAGCGTCAGTACTTCAAGGGCTAGCGTACTCTATAATCTTCCATTATCCATGAATACAGCCTCAGTACTTCACAGCCTCAATATCCTTCATTATACATGAATACAGCCTCAGTACTTCACAGGCTTGTTCACTCTAAAATCCTTCATTATCCATGAATACAGCCTCAATACTTCACAGGCTAGTGTACTCTATAATCTTCCATTATACATCAATACAGCCTCAATACTTCACGGGCTAGTGTACTCTATAATCTTCCATTATCCATGAATACAGCCTCAGTACTTCACAGGCTTGTATACTCTAAAATCCTTCATTATACATGAATACAGCATCAGTACTTCACAGGCTTGTTTACTCTAAAATCCTTCATTATCCATGAATACAGCCTCAGTACTTCACGGGCTAGTGTACTCTATAATCTTCCGTTATCCATGAATACAACCTCAGTACTTCACAGGCTTGTGTGCTCTAAATCCTTCATTATACATGAATACAGCCTCAATACTTCACAGGCTTGTGTATTTTAAATCCTTCATTATACATGAATACAGCCTCAGTACTTCACGGGCTTGTGTACTCTAAAATCCTTCATTATCCATTATTATAGCCTCAATATTTCACGGGCTAGTGTACTCTAAAATCTTCCATTATACATGAATACGGCCTCAGTACTTCACGGGCTAGTGTACTCTATAATCTTCCATTTTCCATGAATACAGCCGCAGTACTTCACGGGCTAGTGTACTCTATAATCTTCCATTATCCATTAATACAGTCTCAGAACGTTATGGGATTGTAAACTCAACACATTCCCCCAGGACCACAGAATACATCGTCAATGCTGTACGGACCTGTATAAACTATCGCCCATAGATATATTCATTTTATTAATACTTCACGAGTCTTACACACTGCATTCCTCGATCACCCATTAATACCCGATCACTATTTCACGGGCGTGTATATAATACAATACAATAATTGTCATTGAATCAACTGATAAGAAATTAATCGTGGATTTTGCAATTGATCACGGTTTCACTATGGTATACAGCAGTTAATTCCCTTTTTTAATTTAGGAAACATTCAAGACATGTATTGTGTCTCGTGTCTGGATATTGCATTGCACGGGGGATTGTTTACGTGTTAGTTTTCGCAAAACATTCAAAGTCACGCTCCGGTGAATCCGCAGAATGTTAAAAGTCACAATCTGACTTCGCGATGGCTCTTGCATAACGCCCAAAGACAGCTGAATGATCGAGGTCTCTTGCTGTTTGTGTCATGACTGCCGCACAGACACGCCTGTCATTATATTTCTGCACAGTTTCTTAGCAAAATACTTTTCACCGGCTGACAAAGAAGAAAAGGTCTTATGGCAAATTTAATTCTAGTTTTATGACAGGTCCAAACATTATTCTTTCTTAAGAGCAGTATATGTAATATACGTTAAAGCTATTTTTGCAACGTGCATAGGCCATTTTTTACAGGGACATATGATAAGACTATAGACTATGGAAGAGGAGGTGAATACTGCATAGGCGAGGAATTCTTGGTATTACATATGTGTATGTCTCGTAGTCTTAACTCCGCCTTGAAGTTATATTGCCTTGCATGTCATGTTAGGGTGTCTGTTTTGATATTTTGATACCATACTTTTTATAAAGTTGATTTTCTTGTTATTTTTCAGATACCATTGGCCATCATTTGGACTTCTCGAAATGGTAATTGTGAAATCAATGAGCGCGTATACGTTTAAATTTCTGATCGCCCTTATTCATCTAAGGAGAGGGATAGAATGATTGATTGACGGATTGATTGATTGATTGAGTGAGTGAGTGAGTGAGGTTTTACGCCGCTTTAAGCAATATTCCAGCAATATCACGGCACGGACACAAGAAATGGGCTTCACACACTGCACCCACGAGGGGAATCGAACCAGGGTCTTCGGCGTGACGAACAGACGCTTTAACCATTAGGCTACCTCACAGCGATCTGGACAAGAGAGAGATTACCCATGTTTGATCGTGGCGACCAATGAAAGAAATAAAAAATAGATATGCTCCTGGTATGGATATAACATAAATGTTTTCAACCTAGTAACGTTCTCGCTCCGAAAAGCTGCAAATTTGCTGATACGGCGTTAATCAATGTTCTCTCACCTAGTAACGTTTTGACAAGGTCGTGTATTGTTTACTCTGCCTAAAAACTGACTGTGTAAAAGGCCACGGTATGACAAGAGTGTGTTAGTGGTAGTAGCGTGCTATAACTTTCCTATGCAGTCCGGTGCTAAATTGAGTCTAGTGAAACACAATTAATTACCACCGTATTTTAAGCGTCCCCTGAATAAAACGGACAAAACCATTTCCTCGTCCATAAGAAATCTCTGCTGAAAGAGTCAATCGTACAATTATGACTATATCATGAGTATGTATTTGTTTCAGCAGTATTACAGCTGTACGACAAAAACATTTTAGTCTGGACCGGATAATGTAGTGATTGATGCAATGATATACGATGACAGAGGATGTGTTTATGAATCACTATCAAGTATTGATAACAGGTCAAATGTGAACAATCCAAAGTATGTTTTACCATCGCTCTGTAGTCTTCAAGGTGTCTTGCTTGACCAGTTATTATCAAATCTACACACGGACATTCATTATGTATCTCACAGGTTCTCGTTTGTGATCACGTCCCGTGGCGAGATTCTCCATGTCTACCACCCTCCTGACGACGACGACGAAGCTGTTGCAATGAAGAAAGGAGCCGCCGCCATGTTCGCGTCTCGTCTACACCACGCCACTGAGGTAATGAGGAATTACTAGTTAACCAGGCGTCTAAGTCTGCCAGTGTTGAACCGTCTTTTAGACAGCATTCCCGGTTCTCATTGCTTATAGGTTCATAGATTAATAGAATTCTACACCTAAACATCGTTAGTCTTGACGTCAAAATGTGGTGGGTGTAATGAAATTACAGGTTGAGCTTCGTGTTAGAAAGCTTTATTAGGACCTTGGATGCTAACAGTGGCTGGTGCTATGAGCACATGACCTTAAACAGGAAGTCATGTACTGCTAACCTAACACTAGTAACATTGATAGTACTATGTTTATTGAGTCTCTGATATCCGAGTAATTCTCCCGAGATCATGAAATATATGCTAGTCCAATGTACGAATCCGACTATATAAAACCGTAAAAAACACCGACTTAAAGATATATCGGCTTACGGACTATGCCTCCGCCTTTCTAGTTCACCCCTGCTGCTATACAGTGCGAGATCATGGTTGGTTCAGTGGTTAAAAACGCCGTCTTTCTATCAAGCATTTGCCAGATTTGGAGTCCTGGAACCGTATGGTCGCGGGTTCGAATCCCATTTTTATCCCAATTATAGTCTTATGTGATTCCTATTCACTTGATAACACATCTGATAATTTTGCTTATTTTAGAGTCGCGCATGCCCGTGGACCAATGGCTTGTAGCAAGAAATTGTAGTTTTATATATTTGAACTGTCCCAATAGTGTGAGAAGAAAAACTTGAATGTTATACCAGTGTGGTTTCTGTCACGCAATTCAACGTTTCACCTGACCAACCAAACTCTAATCGACCCTCACGACACCCATTAGCGTGCTGGGGAGCTATTCTAACTCGGGTGCCATTGGATACACACAAAAGCAACCGTCAGCCACATGTGAAATATAAGCGCTTGTATCGGTATGCGATCTGCAGCCTCCTGTATTTACACTACCCTTCAATGCGCGTCAGTAATCTACTTCCTGGTCCGTCACCTGAACAGGTAGAGCCAGCTCGGAGGACCTGCGACAGCGTGTGGCCCGTTTCAATAATTACAAGTCGAGGCCACCAGTCATGTAAGAATTGCGTATGCATGAGGTTTGGGCGTTCCCCGCTGTGGTAAACGGCACATAATAGACGACCTACACAGAAGCCCTGTGGGCGTATCATTTAAAAAAGAAATAGACGTGCTGCTTACAGTTGTGCAGGATGTGAAGTTTATGCCTTTATATGTTTAAACTTGTGTCCCGCCTCTTACGGTACATGTCGTGCATACTTTACTGCTCTATAATACAATACACGCATGTGTGTTTCCTGTTGTATAGTCAGCGGCGCACTAAGCAATATCCACGATACAGGGTGGCGGTCTTTATATGATCAGATATTGGCTCGACACACGAGTTATTGATATGGCAGTATTTGATACAACACGAAATAAACCATTTATACCACTTGATCCACTTTCGATTTGATGTGATTTAATTGTTGTTTAATGCCGCACTCAGCGGTATTCTAGCTATATGGCGGCGGTTGATTATAACATATTTTATTCATTCAAGAAAAGGATCGGGCACAAGTTGTTCAACTTAGAAAGACCCCCTACTGATAATTACACAATTCATCTTACAACAATATACACAAGTGACAGACATAGGTTAAAATATGTACAACAGAAGTTAACTGAGAAAACGTTTTGTTTGAGAGATATAGATATGTACATATTTGAAAACATTCTGATTTTTAGTAATTGAGAGACCTGCATTACCAGTGATATCGATCATCACCAAGATACAGGCGTTCGTGAAACTTAAAACAATGTCGCTTCATATATTTTTGGATCTTTCTATCAACCCATTAACAAATACATTTATACTGAATTTCACTGATTTGTAGCATTGCAAAAGGTCGGTGCTAAGGACTGATGCTAGAAAACACACACACCACAGGGTCAGATACATCTTTTTGTGAAAAGGGAGGTGCATAGTTCATTTTCACCTGTTTTTACGAGAGCTTCAGTGGTCATTTAATAAACTTTCAGGACACCTTGCACACCCCCTCTGGATCCGCCTATGCACCCCTTGCAATTGGAAAACACAATAATGAACCTATCTACATATAGGTTGTGAATCAAAGTTGTCTTAGGTGCAGGGTTACGACCCTTACACATTTCAGGATCTTCTTAACATAAACTTGAATCCCAGGTTAACTACGATTACGAATCCTGGTCTGTCAGCACCATAAACCTGCTCCAGAAATTCACCGAGACCTCCACGTCTTCAAATATTGACAGTTTTCTTCTACATTCAACTCACAATAGTTGTGTTCAATACTAAACGAACGTTTAATTATTCAAACTGAAGCTCAGTGCATGTTTCTAAACAGACCATTGTTGTGTCTTCCGGAGAAGCAAGGAGCATTTCCGAGAGTTACCTTTGTGTTGAATATGTCAACCAGACAAGAATCAGGAAGGTGTATTATCTTACCTTCATGTAAAATACTTTAATTTCATTGGTCAATGAAGCTTTAACAAGTTTCCGTCTCACCCCTCCCAGGAGGGTGACAACAGTAAATATTACCCGCTGCCACGGTAACCGCCAAGCTCTCCGCCGAGAAGCTGAAGCGCTAACAATCGTATGACGTCATGATATGACGCATGCAGTGCCCGAGTTCGAAAACCGTTCGATCAGCTGTTTTTGTGTTCACTTTATACATATTTATTTTACCGACTTTCACTGCTTTATTTAAGCTATTTTGTACGTGGAGTGGTTTGCACACTCGACTTCAACATAATTAACCATTTTTCTAGCTGTCTTTAGCTTGTCAGAATATGTTTCACTGATTTTTAAAATCCAGTCGAGAGGCAGACGCCATTTTGTTTACATGTCATATAGTCGGTCGCGATCTTTAACATAACATTAAATGATGTTTTGTACATTTAACATGGCGGTAAGATAAATACGTTGTATGCTTCTCCCTCGGATAATACAGTCTGATGAAATACATCAGACCGTATTACCCTCGAGAGAAGCATACAACTTATAATGTCAGACACAGCTACAAGTGTATTATCGTTTCCCGACGGTGTAGTGTGCAGTCTATGCTATGGTTGCCGATTGACTACACTCGGTTGTTTACAGGCAGTAGATATCGTACTGATTGTTATTGATTAAGGACCAACACTCATTCCTTCTCACCTGGATACAAATGTCTTTGGTTGTCTTTTCAGGGTCATGTCCATGCAACTGACGACGGCTGGGGTTATCACGTGAGAGAAACTGGACATGAGGGTAAGGATCGGGGTTAGGGTCTGGGACCGGGCAGGCATTGGGTGTCAGGGTTAGTATTGACGACTTAGATTGATTGCTGGCCGTGGGAGGGCTGGCTGGCTGTTGTAAGGTCGAAATGGGTTTTAAACATGTGATAGATTGGAGGCCGTGGTTGTGCTTATGATCCGGGATGTGTTCATAAGAAAGAGTTGGATGCCGCAGGACGGATGTTGATTGAGGACTGGTCAGAGTCCGTGGATGTGTTGGAGGATGTTGATTGAGGACTGGTCCGAGTCCGTGGATGTGTTGGAGGATGTGGATAGGATGGTTTTCGTGGGTGGGTTGGTTGACGAAGATGGGCTGCTTGTCAAGGACGGGTTGCACGCAATGGTATATAACTGTTTGGCAGGAATGCAGTCTGATATATTGGTTGTCTTGAATATACGAGTCCTTTCTTTAATTGTTGACATTTTTTAAATGTATTGCAATCCTACTCCAGGTCCTCACAACGCCACCTACTCTGTGCGGCCAACTCACACAGGTCACGTGTTCACCAAGACGAGATATCCGGGTCACCACCCCGTCACGCACGCAACATCAGATTATACCAAGGTAGACCACGCACTTTCTGCTGCTGCCGAGGAAGCATATCAGGAAATACTGCTCGAAATTTTAGTTAACTTTGCAAAAATCTATTCCCTCCAATAATACATTGAAACGGCATATCATAGTGTACAATGGACATATTGCTATACCATATAATGTGTGAGAAGGATACAAAACGGAGAAAATTCGGGATCAGTTTCAAACAGATCAAGATAACGTCCCCGAAAAGACTGACTTACTGACTGAGTTTGGTTTTACGCCGCTTTTAGGAATATTCCAGCAACATCACGGCGGGGGGACACCAGAAATGGGCTTCACACATTGTACCCATGTGGGGATTCGAACCCGGGTCTTCGGCGTGACGAGCCAACGCTTTGATCACTAGGCTACCCCACCGCTCCTCCCCGAAAAGAAGGGTCAGAACAGGTGTTCAGCAACCCATGCGTGTCGTACGAGGCGACTAGCGGGTTCGGGCGGTCAGGCTCACTGACTTCTTTCATACATGTCGTCGTATTACAACTGCGCGGGTTGATGACCATAATGTCAATCACTGGATTGTCTGGTCCAGACTGGAATATTTACGGACTGCGTCATAAAGCTAGAATATTGCTGAGTGCGGCGTTACACAACAAGCTCACACAACAAACAGTGACTTGCATCTACAAGTACGTGATAAACCCCAACAAAGCCAAAATGAAATAATTTAACAGAAACCTTAAACAGTCTAACCAAGGGTTTCAATGTCTGCCTAGGGCGTGATTCGCAGTGCGTAGACAACACTTTATACTAAAATAGTAAATATAGCTTTTTCCACGCACGCGTGGTACGTACTGCGTGATGTTTAGTGCGTGATCTTGCTTACGTTCAAACCGCGTCCGAATACGCATCACGTAGCTATACGGAGGCCGTTAGTAAGGATTCCCAAGGGGTCTTGCCAATGTCACGTGGTTTTCATTGCCCACACAAGTTGCAAAATTCCAAGGAATTCGGTACCCGAGATACTTCTTGAACAATTAAAGTTAGGTTTCCATGTGCTCAAACTATTTTATTACTATTTTATTGCTACTATTTTTTTTTAATTTTTAATCAATAATGTTTTTTCTTCGGTTTGTGTTTTTTCACATACAAGTACAATAACCCTGCAATAACCACATCTTCTGTTATGTCTATTATTTTTCTAGCGTTCTTTGAGAAGCAAAGTGGAATTGTAGACTGCAATTATGATCAGTACGATCTCCAGGAAAAGAAAGATTTGACGTATCACATAGCCTTTACACGCGTACACATGGAATTGGACAATACGCACTACGCATCACGCAATTACGCAGACAATACGTAAACATGGACACCTTGCTTCAACCTTTGTCGTCTACTCAGAGAGGACCGAAGGTGTTAAACGCTGTGGCGGACTTTGTACTGTACATTTGACATTTTAAGAGCGCCTCAACCAATGTTCTTTTTCTCACAATGAACACTTGTCAGATTAAAACTACTGCCCCATCATATACTGTTCTCATGCTAAAACATAGCAAGACGAATAAGTCAAAGTACTTTGATTACCATGGGTATGCATATATACTTGACTATATGACGATATGATGGGCGTGGTTTCAGACGCTGTATTACGACACTGCCCTTGGAACAATGCACACCATTCAAGTAGAGGAGAAGTTCCGGGTTATGCATAAGACTGCAGAAGGGTGAGGATGTTGAATATTTCGCTTGAAAACACATTTTACTGTTGATGTCACCATCTTTATTATATCACACTCATTTGCCTGGCACGGTTGCCCAAGTCAGTCAGCAGAGGCCCCGGTATTCGATGTGCAGAGTTGCGTCCATTTGTTGTTTGTGGGGTCGGATCACGGGTCGTCATGGTGATGTTTCTGGGTTTGTCAACGCCGTGACCACGCTGGTTTTTTTATTTCTGATTATCAATCTTAATGAAATGACGACCATCATACTCAAACATTTAAATTTACTGGACTATGTGCAACGTTGCTCTCAAAGTATTTTACCCTCATTTCAGATTAATTTGAGATAGCGACACAGGTCGTTGCCTCAATGTGATTAGAGTGAGTGAGTTTTAGTTTTACGCCGATGTTAGCAACGTTCCAGCACTATTACGACTGTGGGCACCAGAAATGGGCCTCACACATCGTATCCACATTTAACCGCTAGGCTACCCTACATAATGTGATCATAATGATCTCTCCGGTTAAGTGATCATCATGCCCCTCTTATTGAGAATACAAATGAGTGGCACCACAGAAAAAAGGTGAGGTGAGGTAAAATTGGGTTTAACGTCGTGCTTGAGAATATTTTGCTCACATGACGACGTGCATGCGTGTGTATGTGTATGTGCGGCTGCTTGTACTAGCCCAGACTTAAGCTGGTTTTATAGTGCTAGCCAACTGAGATATCATGCCGCAGTGAAGCATGAATACCCCACTCTGACACATTATACTGACTCCAAGCCGAACAGTCCTTGTTGTAGCCATTAATGCCGAGCGCCAGGCAGGGACCAACAAGTACCATATTTTAACGTCTTTTGGTATTACGCGGTCGGGGATTGAACCCGCGACCTTCCGCTCTCCGTGCGGACGCTCTTACCACTACACCATGGAGGCGGTCACAGACAAAAGGATTGAACTGGCTAGATATGTAACATACGCACCTGGTACTGTCTATATCTATGTTATTTTCTACCACTCACTAGATATGACCCGTATGAAAACAGTCGTCCCGTCAAGGCGGTCAACAACTTCACAGAAATGGGTGAGCAGTTATATGTAGTTATGACAGACCCTTACGGTTATCAGCGGTGGTAAATATTTTACAGATGCTTCTGCGAATTTGTACATTATTTGTTGGATGATGTTATCTTCAAAAGAGCTTATGTGGATCTGACTTAAGACAGATATACATTTATACCAAGACTAACAAGTCCCCAATCAAATTCAATTTACTAGAACGATTTATGTTTATTATTAAATGAGCACATTCAATGAATCCATACATGGATCCTGATAAAATCATACACATGATTAACCGGATTCAACCCCAAAAAATGGAAATTAATTGACTTTTTTCACGCACGCACGTGCACACACACACGCACGCACGCACGCACGCACGCGCGCGCGCACGCACACACACACACACACACACACACACACACGTTTTCCAAAATGCTGTACACCCACTTTTTTCTATAAAACTGTAACCTCGCTCGGACTTGAATACACAATGTCTTGGATCTATCGCGTTTGGAACTGTTTACTTACATGAAACCTGTGTCAGTGCTGTGAAGAAGAGTACATCAAAACTGTAATATATGACAGTCTACATGATTGCTGTCTCCAGAATTACCCGAGATGTCAGCACAAGGTTCAGGAAAGCTGGTGTTCCTCAGCAAACACAAGGTTGTCAGTATTCCCAGCAAACCAAAGACAGGCATCAGTACGGCGTCCATTCATATCAAAGAGGTAACCGTTTATATATCTTTTACATTCAAAATACAGAGTGAATCCCCATCTGTGGCGTTAACTCGATTTCTGTTGTGAAAATTTGTATTCATACGTTAGCGATGGCACTCCTGTTCAGATGCGTCAGAAACAGTAGATCGTTTCAGTCACCTTCATATCGATCGGATACAACAAACACTTGTTACAACATTTTCAAACCTTCCTCCTTGAAAACCTTCTTCAAATTGTATTGTTAATATCGATGGGGTTTTTGATGTGATCTTGTTTAAGAAAACTAAAAATGAATCAGAAAGCATTTAGAAAGAGAAAGATAATATACAGAGAATCTGTTCAGTAAAGTCTAAAGACACCTAAGTTTGCATCATAAATGGAATGCTAAAAGCTAGGAATCGTTAATATTTTGTAGCACACAATTTAAACAATGTAAATCCCCTTGCATATTAACGAACCATAGCTTTTCGTCCAATTAATCTCACGCTAACGCTTATGTCAGTCGGTGACAGAAAGGAAACCAATAAAATAATAAAATGCAGAAAATGTGCAAAACGTATGTGCACATTTGATAGGAAAATGTCTTAAATAATAAATTGAGAATCAACGTAGACGTACGGGACCTCAGAACCCTCATCTAGTACATCGTTTGTCCCAGGTGAAGCGCAAGAAGACAGCAGTCAATGTGACGGAGTACCTGCAGTATGTGAAGGGGAACCTCACCTGCATGCGAAACGAGCCAGATAAAGGTACTACTATGTGTAGATATGGTCTAGGGTCTTAATGTTATAGAGTCCCGTAAATAAATACAAGTTTCTAAATCACACATTTGGTCCATTTGTAAACACAAGTCTCAAAAAACCACACATTTGATTCGGTTGTAAATAGTGGATTCTAACTGACTGAGTTTGGTTTTACGCCGCTTTTAGCAATATTCCAGCAACATCACGGCGGGGGACACCAGATATGGGCTTCACACATTGTACCCATGTGGGGATTCGAACCCGGGTCTTCGGCGTGACGAGCCAACGCTTTAACCATTAGGCTACCCCACCGCCCCTAGTGGATTCTAAAGCCTGTAGGTTATCAATATGTAAATACCACCTTTGAAAATCAAATAGTTGATCGGAGTGTGAATACAAGCTTCTTAAGCACACAGTAAGGGGAGAATCTGGAATATTAAAATGTTTGCTGTCTTTTTTTCAGGTTCGAAGAAGTTGGACAAATGCTTCACTGAACTTGTTAACGTTCTCCGGGACTTACCTGACAAACAGCTGACTCTCCTTGCCAAACGCTACCTAACCGACAGGCCGAGGTGAATAAACCCTTAAAGTACTTACTAGACACAAATTGGAACAGTTTGATGGCACTTGTCTTATATAAATCAATATTTTATGCAATAAATGTTTTTACATAAGAATATGTATTTATACACCTGTACATTATACACAAGTAGTATACTATATTCGTATTTGAACACTTTGTAAAGGGATGTTTTAAAAAATTTATTTATCGCCTAACATATGATGAAGGAGTAAGGATATGCTCCGAAACGTTGTGTTCCTCATAATAAAGAAGTTGACATCCATGAAAGACTCTCTTCCTCATGTGTATCACTTCTAAATGCCATCCAAAGATCATCTTAAGCTGAATGGTATTATTAACTGCCAGGTATCTGATTGTTCCTCGTGTGTATAATGAATATCTTATACCAGTTGATCACCTTAGCTCAGCTCCTAGTTTACCTAGTTTTATCTAGTTTACCTGTTTGTACTTCACGTGATGCATAAACATGTCCACTGGTAGATGCATTTTAATCATCATGGTCCCAACGACACCTGCAAGCAGTGGTGCGCGCTTTTTCAATCCTCCATTACATCTATCTACAGACTGACTAAGACCTTCAAGGACCAGAACCACATGTTTGATGCTATCGCTGGTCTGACCACAGACCTGTCTCAGCAGCTCCTGCTGGACCTTGTCCTTAACAGATCCAGACCCGACTCCTCCCTGGTGATGAGACTCATGTTCCACATCGTCTCCTTTGATGAACCACCAATAGACGTAAGTGTAGACATGTGTGGTATAACAGTTACAAGCTTATGTTGTACATCGCCTCCCTTGATGAACCACCGATAGATGTAAATATAGATATGTGTGGTATAACAGTTACAAGCTTATGTTGTACATCGTCTCTCTTGATGGACCACCGATAGATGTAAATATAGATATGTGTGGTATAACAGCTACAAGCTCATGTTCCACATTGCCTCCCTTGATGAACCACCGATAGATGTAAATATAGATATGTGTGGTATAACAGTTACGAGCTTATGTTGTACATCGTCTCTCTTGATGGACCACCGATAGATGTAAATATAGATATGTGTGGTATAACAGTTACAAGCTTATGTTGTACATCGTCTCTCTTGATGGACCACCGATATAAGTAAATATAGATATGTGTGGTATAACAGTTACAAGCTTATGTTGTACATCGTCTCTCTTGATGGACCACCGATAGATGTAAATATAGATATGTGTGGTTTAACAGCTACAAGCTTATGTTGTACATCGTCTCTCTTGATGGACCACCGATAGATGTAAATATAGATATGTGTGGTATAACAGTTACAAGCTTATGTTGTTCATCGTCTCTCTTGATGGACCCCTGGTAGACGTAAGTGTAAATATGTGGTATAGCAGTTACAAGCCTCCCAGATTGTATCACCTATTTCAGCACGGCTCCCTTGGGAGCTGCATAAATCGCCTTACACGCGCATGTTGTAGTGCATCGTCTCCCATGATTGACCGCCGATGGATGTAAATGTTGTAGTGCATCGTCTCCCATGATTGACCGCCGATGGATGTAAATGTAGATATGTGTGGTATAACAGGTACAAGCTCATGTTCCACATCGTCTCCATTGATAGACCGCCGATAGATGTAAGTGTAGATATGAGTGGTATACCAGTACAAGCTCATGTTCCACATCGTCTCCATTGATGGACCACCGATAGATGTAAGTGTAGACATGTGTGGTATAACAGTTACAAGCTCCACAACACTGGTTATTTGCTGAAAGAATACTGATTCTACCACGACTAGCAGCAGTGGTAATTCCCGAGGTGTAAGCGACGGGAGGAAGCCCAGGGAGTACTGCAATGGTTCGGATTGAATGTAGATCCCGGATTATTTGTATATTTTGCTTTTTGCACAGGGTATCATCACAAAACTGAAGAGCCTGTGTTTTGAGCGCGAGAAGGCCCCTGTGACTTTACAAGAACACAAAACATATCACAGGATGGTGCTGGCGTTGGGAGCGGTTGCTAGGCGACTATTAGACGCTGGGAGGAAGGAGGAGGCGGTTGATATTGTCATGAAGTTTGAGGGATGGCTTGGATTACATGGTGAGAATAACTATTTGACTTAGAACAACAACCACGAACATAATTTTGTATTTTCACCAAACTTTGTTAACTCGGTGGAACTCACTGAATTTTCACTTCACACATCTGGCGTTCACAGGTTTGTCTGTGACTGCTATATTCTTACAGATCCAATGACATTCACAATCCCTAACTTACTTTCATCCCGATCTTGAGCCTGTTGTGGATTAATTATCTGCTCATCTTTTCCAGATCCCTGGCTTTACCGCACGAAACGATCTACTATGACAGAAATTGAAGTCCTTAATGACGACCGCTGGAGAGTTATTTTACTGGGATCTCTGGGTAATGCCGGTCTCGACCAATCATTTGAGATGATTGTGTCACATGTCAACACAACCAACTCTCAGTGGGTGAAGCGGGCTGGGATACACGCCTTAAGGAAGTACCAACATGAAGGGGTATGCACACAATTAACTTTATAACTAACCAAACAGGTAATTCAGTACAGCTTCGTTTATTCAGATAGGCAACAGCTGAACAAATATGAAGTAATACACTCTTAAATGTAAACAAAAACATTGTCAAACTGTAATTTTTATCAACTGGTATTTGGTAGAGGCACCAAGGAATGCTTCACATCAGTAGAAAATATTCGAGTAGAGGTACGAGGGTAAGATGTAATAATGATACATCATCCCCTGATCCAGGCAGCACATCTGATGTTAAGGACAGCCCTGTACGATGACGACGAGAAGGTCCGATATGAAGCCCTCCTACAATACCAGGCTCACCCAAAAGCAGCAAATATAGCTCCCATGTACAGAGAAGAAGGGTGAATATTGAATACCTTCAACAATTCATACAAAAAGCTATTTTAATGGCATATTTTGTGGCTTCAAAAAATATTACTTCTTCCAACCCCCCCAATTTACTACCGAAAGGTAAGACAATCCACATTTTTTTTTACTTTTGTACATCATAGATGAATTGTCCGTAGACCATTACTTCAGGGGGACTCTGGGGTTGCTTTAAGGTTAAAACGGTGTCTCACCTCCTCACCAGTCCAGTACGAATTGACGATGAATAACAATAGAGTGGCTGGATGAATAACGTCCGAAGTGTTTTGTTATCATTCAGTCACTGATTTCTGTATACCCCTGGCTTCCCCATTAATCCGTTAGTTGTCACCTAGAAGAGGCATCTTACTGCAAAGAGAAGCATCCCTAAGCAGCATGAGAATGAAATTATCATGAATTCTGGGGTTTGGTCTGTTACCAGCACCATATCTGTGTCCGGCGGTTAGGCCTTCGACATTGCATTTTGTTTCCGATTGAGCTGAGATGACCTGATTGTACCCTTCAGACAAACTGTTAAATCGATGCTAAACCTAATCATCTGATATATTACAGTCCCATGAATGGATCCATTTTTCACGTGGATCCTCGCTATGTTGGCAAACGGGACATTGAAGTACACCATCGACGTAAAAGGGACATCGGTAAGCTCGAGTTCATACTGGCCTCACCGAGCGTAGACTGGAAGAAGATGATTGGAACCACAACACTTGGAGCTTCCTTTGGACTCCTCATCAACAACGCTTTAGACTTCAAGATAGGTATGCTCGTGTCAGTGACATACAGTCGCACACCATTGTGTCGAAGGTGAAGCGACCTCTGTAAATACTTACAGTTATCCGAATAAATAAAAGAAAAAGAAGATTTAACATCGAGATAACTGTAAGTTCGACACATCAAACTTCGACACAACGGTGTTTTATGTATACCGACATTCCATATCCACAGTGTTTAAGATATCACAGATTATCATAATATACTCTTATTTCAGATTCCATTGTAAATGTCATAAAACATCTTTGTTTATTTTAACTGTAATGTCAGACTACCATTCAAAAACAATTGACGAATACCCTAACTTGAAAAAAATGATGCAGCAATCCAAGCCATTAAAAACACAACCCAACACACTCAATAATAATTTCTGCGTTTAACAGAATTCTTGGAGTTATTTGACATGCGATATTATCTGTCCGTCGACACAAAGACGATTTTGACATTTCATGTTCCTCTCAACCCCTCGATCCGTGAAAATCTGGGATGAAATTGGCCTTCAACAATCTATGCTTAGGTAAGAGGCCTGCAATACGTCCAATTTTACTCCAGCGTCATCGACAGGTACGTCTTGCCTGGTGCAGACAGCATCTAGAAGACAACATTGTGATAGTGTTTTGTTCACTGACGAGTCGATATTTCATCTGGACAGCGCAGATGGCAGGGCAAGGGTGTACAGACATTCACGTTTCAGCAAGGTAATGCCCGTCCACATGTTGTGACAGATTTCCTGAGGCAGCAGAACATCCATGGCCAGCTCAGGACATGTCCCCTATCGAGCACGCTTACGATGAAATGGAGCGACGTTTACGTCAAGAACAGATTGCCCATTGACGTTAGGTGAACTGGAACAAGCGTTGGTTTAGTCATGGAACAACATTCCCAAGCTTTCTTCAGTCGCTTAGTGTCGTCTGTGCTTCCTCGCTGACAAGCCTTTGGACATCACGTCACATCATTATCCTGGCAACAGTTACAGTGATTAAGGAAGACACCACAAAACATGTTATATCTTTTTTTCATTAAAAATGGCATAACATCAACTAATGCACAGTTACTGTATTCCAATAGTATATATGGTCACTGCATGTTACAGCACCTTTGAGTGGACACATGAAAATTAACATCCACGATGAAGCCTACGCCCGCATCCACCTTGGTTTCATGGGCAAGAATCTGGAATTCTTTCTGGCGAGGATCTGCTTCAAGGGAGGAGCTTCTTACAACCTGAACATGCTGCAGGTAACCAAACAAAGCAGCCCGTTGAACCACTTCTGTTGTGTCCAGTCTGCTCAGCTAAACCGTTGTAGCAAATGACTCTTGTCTGTGATAGTTGTGTGTCTACCCTTTGTGAACGTGTGACGTAGCTTTGCGCTAAGACCTTCCTGTAATGTTTCCAATGTCTTACGTTCTGTTGGACAGGGAATATATGTCTACACTCGGCTGTGTTAACGTTAGGAAGCCTGATGCCTTCCAGTGTAACAGGAAAACAATTCATATTCAAATGCCAACAAGATGAATAATACCACATCAGATTTATCAGCATTTCCAAATGAGAAAGTGTCAAGCAGCCATCATAAGAATATTATAAATTAACATTTTAAATTTAATTACGTACAATGCAAATTGATTAAATTTTCGGCTGGCACCGTCTGTTCCTGTTACAGGAGTATGGCGTGGACAACCTCCAGAAACTGGTGGAACTCTACGACGCTATCAAGGGTGATGCTGCTGGTGCTATAGGGAAAGGTCTGGATCTCTTCAAGAGCATCATCGATGGGGAGTTCTCGCTTACTGACATGATAGAAGGTTTCAGGACGGCGCTTGAGGAGCTTCCAGATAAGGTGTGTTCATTGAGCAATTTATACTACAATCAAGAGTGTTGCTTTGTGATGTAGAGGTCAGATAAACTCGGCATCATGAGCAGATCACCTATCAGAAAATACTTTTGACCAGCCCTATACAATGTCCACATGTCCATAAACTTTAACATGAAATAGGTCTCGTTGATGTTCTGATGTATGTAAATGGACGGTAGGGTAGCCTTGTGGTTAAAGACCTGTGTTTGGTTGTCAACACGGGTACACTGTGTGAAGCCCATTACTGGCGTTATGTCGAAGGGTTATGACCAGTTGAATTATATATTTTTATTTCCTTAGTTGTGTAACATTTCGTAAAGACCAACGACAAGGAAGTCCACACACGAACCAATAACACGCGGATATTTAAAGAAATCGAACTCATGTGGGGAATCGAACCCGGGTCTTCGGCGTGACGAGCGAACGCTTTACCCACTAGGCTACCACACTACCCCCCTTTAGGACAATAAGGTAGATGCACATCATGGTATGATACAGGTTGTGAGTGTTGGAAAGAAGGCATCAGATGCTATGACGGTCCTTGGTCAGCTGGACGAGAAACAGTTGCCTCCCTTTGCTAAACCTGCCAGGGACCTTGTGTTGAAAATCACAAATCTTTACAAGGAAGTCAAGTCATCGGTCCTCAGCTTTTACAATGTAGGTATTACCTTAGTAATTTTGTCTTCTGCAATATCTTGTGCTTCTCGTAATAATTATTTTTGAGTTCCTTTCTGTCAATATTGATGTAGTGTCATAATGTAACTGAGACCACCGTTTCAACCTTTTCTGTTAGTTGGGTAGGCTGGCTATAAGTCGGCAGCTACTATTGGAGCATCTTTACATGGATAAAATCTATATTCAAATTGCACCTCAAACTACCTGGTCTGTTGAGCTAAGTTACCGGAAATGTTTCAATGTAGGAAGGTACGATTTGGTTTTTGAATTCCCTTATGTTTTAGTAAGTGAAATGGTAATCTTCCATTTAACGCTATTATTTATTCATAAACAAGAAGAACGTTTACTAAAGAGAAATGAATATTATTGTGCTGCCCATTTCAGCAACTGATGGAGACAGTGACGATTATAATACCCAGGGCAGGGAAGATGATCTATAAGGCTATCAAGGCTATCATTGACAGCTTCAGGACGTTCAACAAAGACCCCAAACTGGCTATTTCTACTGTCGCTGGCAACGTCATTACGTGAGTAACTCTCACGGTACACCTGGTACCACTGATTATCTTCGTCAAAGAGTAGCTTTAAATATCGTTTCATGATTCAAATAATTTCTGTCTTTAAGTCTATTAATTTGGACTAATGTTTGTTGTTTTTCAGTATTGGCCTAGAAGTAAATAATCTGGTTGACGTCATTAACAAGGCCAAAAAACCCCTCGGTAAGTCTTTCTATTATAAACGTCAACTACGCTTGACTTACATTTACCACAGTAATATGCAGATGGAAGGGACGCGCTTTGACTAGGTGTCTATTAACTGGAAAGAGTCATTTTTTATAACTACTCAGTAACGTTTGACATGTGAAATGCCTTTTTGTTGTTGTTGTTGTTGTTGTTGAGTTGTTTTTCGCCGCCCTAAGCAATAGTCCAGCAATATCACGGCGAGGGACACCAGAAATGGGCTTAACACATTGTATCCATGTGGGAAATCAAACCAGGGCCTTCAGGATATTCCTTTTTAATTGTGTGTAGCAGTATTACTGTGATGACTATGCTGGCTTCGAGGTTTCACCATATCTGAAACATTTACTTCCTCTCGTTGGACCTTCCACTGGCATACGGATAACTATTGGTGTTATAGATAACATGCTGACTCATGTGTCAACAGAAAATCCTCCTGACTGGATGGACCTAGGTTCGAAGGTGGTTGAGATAGTGGAGGCAGGGGTTAAAGCAAAGACGGCGCTGCTGGGAGGTGGGGAGAAATGGATCAAGGAGGTTGCGAAGGGGAGGAAGGACCCTGTAGCGGAGTTTTCCAAGGGGAAGAGTAACATGGTGAGTGATTCAATACGGAGTATGTCTTGAAGGCACTTGAGCTGGAATTTACCTCATGAATGACCACATTGGATTTATTGTACTGTGGACTGGACCCATCTTTTCACACATTCAAGCAATCACGCATCTGTCTCTTGAGACTCCAGTGAAAGATAGGTCCCCATTAAAACATACTAGTGGTCAGATCTGAATAAAGAAGACCCTGTTTTCAAACTCTAGGACATGCTAATTGAATATCATAGGGCCACGATGGCCCGGGTCGTTTCTCATGTTTTCGGTACGGGTACGTCTTCCCCATTGAACAATAGCTGGAATAAAACGTCACTCACCAATTGCTAATAGACCAGGATGGCTAAACACCAAATATCTGGGTATATATTTTGCGGAAAACTGCCCATATTTGAATAAAATAATTCAAATGTTAGATTGAAATGAAGGAAACTGAAAAAAAATGGTTTTGATCACTCAGCTTTGTGTGCTATTGTTTGATATATGTGGAATGTTCCTATTTAATCCGGCGAAGGTGAATATTTCAGTAGCCTTTGCATCCAGGAGTAGAACATGGGCTTTATATCCGAATGCCTTGAATAGGAGAAGTTAAATTTTACGATAACTCAGTTTGTTCTCTATTTGATGCAAGTTGTAACATACTGATCAAATTTTATAGACTGCGATGAGACAGGATGTGGTGGCAATGCTGAAGGACATTGTTGATGATGTTCTGGCTCCTCTTGAACCTCTAAAAAAACTGGGAATGAAGTTCGTGGACACTTTCCAGAAGGTGTTTGATCTCGTCAAAACCGTGAAGGAAGCTTACAACATTCTGAAGGAAGGGTAAAGTTTGTTTGTTGTTTAACGCTGCACTGAACAATATGCTAACTATTAACTATTGATAACATGTAATATCGTTAATCTTAACAACGTTCTACTACTTTCCAAATCATCTAGCGTTATGATTTAGTTTTTTTATTTAACAGAGGGTCGTGGTAAACATTGAAATAAACCAACATGGGGTTGAACCAACATGGCGGGTAGCACTTGTATGTTTAGAGTTCGTGTTCTTGATTACAAGTTTTTATATCTCGTTTTTTCCATCTGGAATCCTCATTCAAAGTAACTTCATATATGAGGAAAGTGATTTGAGAGAACACAGACATTGGGAGTATTTTGTACATGTCCTCATACAACCTACTTGAAGAATGTATGGTGTTCATATTGGCTTCAGATACCGAACGGCCCGCTCTCTTATCGACCGTGTTTTCGGACCCAAATGTCACAAGGAGTTCCCCCGAACCCTCCGACTCGCTGGGGGTGGATGCAATGGACAGGGCAGCTACCCCTCTGAACTGAAGGATAGAGATGAATACGAGCATGAAGGAATAGATGTGACAATATCTCCTGGCAAAGAGGTGCCTAACGTCCACATGTGTAGTCGTGTTAAGATATAACGCGTGCAGTGTTCGGTACACATGTGTCACTGTGTAATACAGTCACAGTGTAATTCGTGCTCCCCTTGAAAACCTGTTCATATTGTGGTCCAGAGTTTCGTCTGTCATTACACATGTACACATGTCAAATCTTTTTAGTAATTCTCACTGTTCTCGTTAAAGTACTAAATGGCTGAGGCCAGAATCATTTCGAACTTTCCTCGTAAATTGAGCTTCCATGCAGCCATATAGCTGGAATACCGTTCAAAGTTGTGTCTAACCAGCTCCTCTCACTCACTTGCATGTTCGTAATGTGTACATGTACCCTTCCTCTCCGTCCCCGGGGTCAAAAGTTGCCCAGGGGCCTAAGCGTCGCCGTCCTTCGTCGTACCAGAAAACGCTGATCGTGGCTTGAAACTATAATGAGTCCAAGCGGTATATGACAATCTATTCAGGCATGTGTAATGTTGGCAACACAAAACACGGTAGACAGGGCGTTATTATTTTTAATTAAAATATTTTTTACAATGGCTCGCCCCCCTCACTCGTGGTATATCCGTGTACAAAGCAACACACCTTAATGCTGCAGATTGTGGCTCCGTTTGCTGGAAACATCATGCTGTCTGACAAATCTCATGAGGTCATCATCATCCCGAATGCAGGATCTCTTAAGGAAACGGAGGTCATCATCACGAACATCGACCCTGACAGCTCCTTAAGCATCCAACGTCCAGGTGACTCTACATATGTGGACAATCCAGTAAGTCGTATACTGATCGTGTAGACATTATTATGCTCCTAAGACGAAAGACATATCCATGAACACCACGTGGAATTACAGTTAACGTTGGCATGTTGTAGCATGCAGGTTAAGTCATAGACACCAAGCCAATGGGCATTTTCACAACACGTTCTGTCTATCGTAAGAGACAACGAAAATAATTAGGGGATTTTAAGACTCCATGAATTATTTTCTGCGTGCCATACTGTGAAGCGTCCTTAAGAAGTACAACCTTTCTGCCATCAATCACTTTTAGTAAATTCCCTCCCTATCTTATGTGAAGTTTCTTGATAAAAGTAATGTTCAAATCGTCTTCTCAAGATTATGCATTCTCTTATTGAAGAAATCGAAAGTGGCATATACTCTATGATGGATGTTGAGTGTTTATGCATCAGTATATGATTCAGATGGATCATCCGCAACATTTGTTGTTGTAATGTTACACCATCTTTCACATATTGAGGGGCGTCAAGAACACTTTGTTGTGTGAACTTCTTTGAGAGGCATTTAGAAGTTGGAGCAGTAAGGAAGGATGACAATATGCTTTACAAACACTTTAAACTTGTGCCAATGTGCCACCCAATCCTTATTCTGTTCATCTCTTGTTTGATAATTGCCTTAGAACCTACACCGAAACGACGCTCTCGCTGTAACAAAGAAGTTGTTCATCCATCTATTGTTATCCTTCCTTTACTTTCGAAAGCTATGATTAGATAGGTATTTTTTTTCCATTGTTCCAGGTGAGTGCTGGACAGAAGATAGGCGTGGCGGCCAACTCTCCGTGTGGGGGTAACGAACACATTCATTTCTCCCTGAGACGGAAGGGCGGCTATGTGGATCCTACACGCTACCTGGAAGCCAGGATACCGAAGATTCCTGAGTGGGTGCAAGAATGTGACGACTACAAGGTGGTGTTTAAGGTAGATAACGTTTCGCCTTCTGTGTTGGCATAGGGATAGACAGATAAGCATGCACGTGTATCTGCCGAGAATAAATTTAGTTATTTATCTGAAATGTACATTGTGATCATGAAGTTCCAAATACAAGACGTATGAAGTAGAATCAGTGCGATTTGCATCAAAGGCGTACTTGTATGGACACATACTGTGACGAATCTGGTCAGCATATTTGTTTTGACAAATTGTGTGTCATGTTGTGACGCACACGTTTACCAAAGACACTAAGGCACGACACTTGATTTCCAAAGACACTAAGGCACGACAGTTGATTTCCAATTTCTTGCTCAGTTTGAGACTATAGCCGAAAACTGCATCATCTGTCTGGACGGTAAAGACAACAATGACACCAGTCCAGAGAGAAAAGGAGAGGAAGTTGACAAGCCAGAGGACGTTGATTCCTCAAAAGATCCTTCCTCAGTTGCCGACGCAGAAAATAGTAGGTTATTTCTGTTTTGACGTTTTAATTACCATCCGTTCTTCGATTATATGGGATAAATAGTTACCTGTGTATTGTTTGGGGGAATATCGAGTTTTTTGTGAAAAAGGTATAAAACTATTACGGAGTATAATGCACCCAATACTTGTTTCAATGAGTGAGTGATTTGATCGATGAAACATTCAAGTTTAATCATAGTCTGAGGTGCATAATACAAATGCAAGATAAATAATGTCATCACAAACAATATCGATATATTGGTTGTGTAAGGTGAGGCTATCTCTCCATGGCGATATCGCAGCAATGGCGTTGTTGACACGCAGACATAATCATTGATAAAATTGGTTTCCACAGGATTCATTTTTCAGTCACACTTATTTAAGGACAGACCACCACGGCTACGTAACTTGTATAGGAGAAGACTCTCGGTTGTGTTTCCTTGCAACATACTAGTCCAGCAGCGTTTTACCTGTACGTATATCGTTTCAGAAAAGCCCGATTCTATGTTCCGAAGGATGCAGTCTCGAAAACCACAGATAAAAGAAAAGGCGAAGAAAACAAAAGATGGTGGTGAGCAGATTATGATACGCGGGTTGGAAAAATTTTGGTTTCTCACAATGCAGACAAAAAACGTGCAACCTGACTTGAAAATGTCTACACACAGTGTACAGTAACGTATCGACAGATGTTACTGACACCTCCATGTATCCTACAGATACACATAGTATGTATTTGCCTTTGTGTATGCTGTAAAATGGCTTAAGTGCAATGAAATGCATGTAAACTGTTTTGGCAATGATAGGAATTCGCTGATGAACTTCATGGTACGTATTTTCAAGCCAGCCAGCAAGAAGATGCATTGACTCACTGCTATATACAACCTACATTCTAACTTTACCTTACCAAATTTCATTTTAGCTCTGGCAACCCTTTTCGAGAAAGCTGGTGCCTTTATGAAGAAGTTCTCCATCCGTAACCTGAAAATGGGGACTATCTTGGATCTTCTTGAGATTCTCGGCCTTGACGAGAGTCAAGAGAAGATGGCAGAGGTCATAAGAACAATCAAGGTACAATTTTGTATTGTATGGCTTATGAGAAACATTGTACAAATGAATATTCTTCACAGTCGTACTCACAAGCAAGGTGATCAAGCCTAGTCGCTAGTGGTACATAGCTTGTGTTTTAAACGATTATAAATAACAGGTATTGTGTCATATCACAGCGTCGAACTACTGAACTATGACTGTTTGATCTTGACCATGACCTATATCAATTTCATTAAACAGTTATGAACGATTTCTTAAAATTCTGTTATAGTCCACTATAATACCATGTATCATGTATGTTCCCGTTTCTCTGTGCTGCAGGAGATGATTAGCAACAAGCCGTGCTTCAACCCTTACCAGATGACGGATGACCAGCTGAGGACGGAGCTGACCGAGAGGGGGATGAGGGCAGAGGGGACTCGGGAAAACATGATCAACTCCCTCACCACGCCATCAAACAGTCAGTTCACACAGTATCAAACAGTCTTTAGCTTAATTATATAATCTTCGCAGATATGTGCCTTTCCACGCTTCAATCAGTACAAGATAATCGAAGCGATAAGACTGTCCATGGTCCGTCTCCTTAAAGTCATTCCTACTGTTTGGTGGTACATTATAATGTTTACAATGGACTGTGTTGTTGACAGATATTTCTCTTGATCATGGTTTGTTTTGTCGCTTTTAAGTAATTTGCCAAGTTTATGCAGCCTGTACAACTAATGTAGTTTGAGTATTGGACACTCTTTGGTCGTTCAAAGGCCGTCTTAAAAGAGCTATTTTAGCGACACAACAGGCTTTACTACGTTTCTCTGTCTACTAAAATTCGTTGACACGATATTCATAAACTTCATGTGTCACAGTATGCCTCATGATTAAGGAGCAACACTTTGCTGGAGCATTCCTTCTTTATCTATTAACATTTGGTTGCTCCAGTCTACTTATGTCCGTATATTGATATAAGTGTTCGGGCTCTCTGGGACCTCCGGACAGACTAGGTCTTTGCACTTATTTATGTACAATGAGGTGAGGTGAAATTGGGTTTAACGTCGTGCTTGAGAATATTTCGCTCATATGACGACGTGCATGCGTGTGTATGTGTATGTGTGGCTGCTTGTACTAGCCCAGACTGAAGCTGGTTTTATAGTGCTAGCCCACTGAGATACCATGCCGCAGTGAAGCATGAATACACCCACTCAGACACAATATACTGACTCCGAGCCGACCAGTCCTTGTTGTACCCATTAATGCTGAATGCCAGGCCGGGACCAACAAGTACCATATTTTGGTATGACGCGGTCGGGGATCGGGGATCGAACCCGCGACCTTCCGCTCTACTGGCGGACGCTCTAAGCACTACCCCACGGAGGCGGTCCTACGTACAATGAGACAAAAAGTAAAATATATGTGTGAACTGGCTGATTAAGTGTAATCCTTCACCGGCCGCGTGGATCGTTGCTGATTGCTTGTTCTGGAGTTGCTTCAGTACAGGCTTCGTGATGGAGTTGAAATAATGGAACACGGCTTAAAACAACATTTATTCACTTAGCGTAAGTTTACAACATAGGGAAATGTAACTTTGGTAAATGAATGTAATGAATGTTTTGCAGCCTGTCCGCTCATGAAAATCTCGATGCCCAACAACATCTACTGTACATTTGACGACAAATGTCTTGGACTGGAATGCTGTGTACATTTCAACCTCTTCATGTTCAGAAAGACATATAAGATGTTTGCGAGGTTTGACCCATGTGACTTGAAATTTTCTGTCGGTGCTGGGAAGTTCAACACGTCCATTGGAATTGAAGGTGACCTGAAGGATATATATGCAGGTAGGTGCCATTCCTTAAATGGAGTATTCACAGTCTCAAGGAAACCTGAAAAATGGACTTTATGTTGGAAATCATTTACATTGTTTTACATAAAATTACAAGTGTTTCTGAAAAAAATATATAGAAGAATATTAACAGATTTCTGTGCTTTTAAATTTATGCATGTAAGGTTGATATGAAGGCCATGCTTATCCTTACAGAAAGATACCAAGCATTATATACATATACATTGTTGTACATGAGCATGAAGTTTTGAAGGATATAAACATAATTCCAGTTTGGAAATGATAGTTTTTATTCTTCATTGAAAGCCGGTTTTATTTTACAGGTTTGGAAAAGACTATTCCGACTAATGTGAAACTGGACATACTGGGAGGAATAGAGCTACTCATCAGGTATAAACACAATTCACATCTTGTGAGTAACTAAGACCGCCTGAGAACTTGATATAACACTATCTCGAAGTAGATTATTTACTATAGAAACTCAACACATAAATGTTATCAACCGTTATTTTAAAATGTTTGGATGACGGAATTTATATGAGCGGCCACTGGAAGAAATTACATCCCTTAAAAGCTTGGATTCGTTGACATTTGGTTCGAATTCAAGATCTATGTCAGCATAACATCCTTCTAAATGAAGAAACGAACAGTTTAAGCTTTCCGGGCAATTTGCCATCTGACTACTCTTGTTACTGGAGAGGGGATTTATGAACATGTCAGTGTAGCTGTAGACATGATGTCCAGATCTCACATCCTTCAGTGTTGTTTCTTCAGAGTGAAGTTGGAGAAAGATGACACGGCTGCTCTTATCACAGTGGCCGCCGGCTTCTGTTCCCAGGACGACCACGACAACTGCATCGCATTCTTCAACATCCTGGACGAGTTTCCAACACCTCTACCTATATGTCACCCAGATGGCTCAATAACCTGGCCAGACGGTAAACATTATAAAAATATATCACCTCGGAGAAACTGTGTCAAATATCTCAATTAACCAACTCATTTATGAACTACTCCAGTTATGGAGCACATATTTCAGATAAGTTATGAAATATATTATTCGGTGTTATGACATACAAGCGATGTATTTCATTTGCTATTGGATGCAAGGTCACCGACAGCCTTACCGATGTTATCACTAGTCCGTTGATTTAGGGTAACATTGAGGTTAACATCTGTAAGTTTAATAGACGTTTAGTTTCAGTGCAAGGAACTAATGCAGCGGATACAAACATACACTACTGTTCATAATTTACGTCACCTAGTCCGGGACGAGTCGCGGTCTGTAACAGTGTGAGACTATGTAGACTGTATTAAGTGAAGATTGTATCGTTTGCTGATCTGTTCACATGCCAGTATAACTAATAGCAGCTTCTTCTATTACCAGTTGACTACAGGAGTTTGTTAGATAAGGAATCAATCAGGAGACGAATTCGGGAAAGTGCGAAAACGTTTGCAAAGGATACCATAAAGAAAGGCATAGAAGAACTACTTGGTGTAATCCCGTGTATATCACCCGATGTAAGTATGGCTCAGTTCTATCCACGTCACAGTGTATTTGTCACTTTAAATATATTCTCTGTGTTCTTATTATATAGCAACTTCTATGTACGATTTGGGCAGGATGGAAACTCTGGCTGGTTTATATTGGTACTCTACTTCTTTCTAACAGTGGTACCCGGTCATAAATGCCCAAGAGAGTTGTTCCATAGGGCAGACAAATTAGTAATAACAACGGGTGCATTTCCAGGCTCCTGGCAAGACGGATCCCTGTCCCAGACCCGAGGCCCTGACTCGGGATATCCTCAAACAGAAGTTACAACAGCGAGGACTGCAGATCACAGGCACGAGAGACGAACTGGAACAGAGGCTTACGGTTGGACACAGAAGTAAGTGGTTCACTGGAATATGGCGTTTTTGTTATTCGGTGCAAATGGTCTTGCTCTGTGTACCCAATGAACTCCCTGCATGGAATATCACACACACAAACTTGCATACTGTGGATACAGTAGTCAAGAAGCTTGTGGCCAAAACTAATCTAATGCGAAATGTTTTGCGTTCAAGAATTACCGTATATTTTGCTGCCATTGTTTACAGGCCTCATGCCTAAATGCTTCCATTTGTAGTCCAATTTTGTGAATGGTGGGTGCTACCGGCTGGGCAGGACAAGCTTCCCGTTTTCGCGATCACCTTGTGCCATAACTGATTTTCAATGATCCATTCATATATATTTCACATCTAGTTTAAACAAAGTGTATTTGTTTCTGAGAATAGTTAATGCTGGTTATTCTTTTGCACTGACGTCCAATATTTACCTTTTGGAATGGTATATTTTTTATTGTAGATCTCTGATGGGTTGGATTTGACAAAAACTATACATTATTACTCATTTTCTTTATCCACGATTATGAAGTTATAAATACGATGTAATTATGACAACTAGACTTCAATTTCGTCCAAACTGGGGGTGATGAAATATGAATATTCACACTATTTAACCGTTACCTGTTCATAATGAAACCATATTGAACAAAACGATAATAAAATAGTATTCATATGACATCAATCCGGAACATAAATAACATTTCTAAGGATCGTGTTGTAATTCTAGAGATAACATTATGTTATTACCTTCTCCCAGCTTGCAGACTGATGAACAGGACAGTGACCCTCCCAACAATTAAGAACGACAATATAAACAAGATCGTGTACATGGAGATAGCCCCGGACTGTCTGCGGTTTGATGCATGTGTTGATATTAGGATTAAGAAGCTGAATTTCAACAAGGCTGTCAACGCTTACATACAACTAGACCCGTGTAAATTCACAATGACCGTCAACTTTGAGGACTGCACTGAGACAGTTATCCTCCTGGGATACGACTGGGGTAGGTATTGGATCAAAGATCAAAGTCTAGTGCTAGATAGCTGAATGCAATATTATCATTAATTGCTATAAAGACACATTGATAACAACTAAATGTCCATTCAAGTGCTGTAAAAATACAGTACTTACCTTTATGAAATTACTCCTCCATAATGATGATACTCCATACATTCTAGACACAAGCGGCACGTAATGTTAGCTTCATAAAGATTCCTATCCCGTGTAACACCTTGACAGCCACACAGCAGCTCCGTTTATCAAATCCAACCACCGTGTCCAACTGATATTTATGTCATTGCGTTTACAGGGAAAGAGAAGACCGCAAGATTGAATGATTGGGTCTCCATAAGGTAGGACTTTTAAAACGGTGCCTTTCACGTATGAGATATCTCCTTTCGGATGTTCTACAGAGATTCAGAGGATTGTCTTTACAAGGACACTATCTTCTGGTTTTAGAGAAAATCGATATTTCCTATAATGTGTAAGGTTGAACATATTGAGTGTAATGGCAAATTGTCAATCCTGATGCACAATCACTCAAAACGTTACCTTTTGATTTACAAAAATACCTCGTGAGTCCTAATGATTATATATAACTTATCACAAATCTGCAAGATGTTTAACTTTATATTGTAAATAGTAGTTTTGTGGTTGTCTTCGCATTTTATCGATCTGTGCTCCTGTTAAAAATATGTTGATTATGTCTGTTCATTTTAAAGTTGCAGCCGTTTTATCACACCAATCTGTAAATACACTTCTTTGCTGTATCTAAGTCAGTATTTGACAGCATATCATGTACATAAAGTCAGCCAGTCCACACGGCAACACCTGATCGCCATTTACATCAACTATATGATCCTTTATGATGACTTTATTGAACGATAGTGCAGTCACGATGTCATTCAGTCTAAAGCAGTCCTCACCACCAATGCATTATGTGCACCGTGTTCTAGGTACACCATTGACAGGAGTGAGGCAAGGAAGGTGTTCGTGGTTGACATGGGTTTACAAATCAGTCTTGGAGCGTCGGAACCGATTCTGAATGCCTTGTTGATCGAAAAACTGGATGTACCAATACCTGTTTGTAATGAAAACTTCTCTTTTCCGGGTAAGTGTCGAATACAATGACGACTTTAATTTATTCATAACATTTCACAATATTGAAGTAACCCATTAAAGACTTGAACCCTTAGTTGGGATCCTGGGCAGTCCTGCCTCCCGATCGTAAACCGTTGGACGTATGTTGAAAAAGCTCATTTCATAGTTGGATTTTGGTGTATACCCGATTTATAGTTGGTATACTATGGAAGCATAATTGAGTCTGTATAAAAATGTTTCATAATCTACTAGGGTAATACTTACGTAGAAGTAAAGTGAACATGTAGATATCAGTATCTTCTGCGTATTCTACGCAGACGAAAGTACAAGCATGTTCTACGTACACGATAAAAAATGTTTAGGCTGTGGCACGAGCACGCTTCCATACTATACAGATATAATATGCTTAGTTTCTCAGTGTCAGCTTCGAATATATATCCATTCCATAATTTTCTGATTTAAGGAAACGGATCTCTGAATAGCCTTGCAAAACAAATGGGAGGAAAGCTAATCAGAGAGGTGGTAGATGTGGTGTTTCGAAAACTCGGACTGGATGTGAGTTTTACGAAGCAAACTTCTTAACAATTAGGTTTCATGTCTTCATCGACCAATAAGCACACAATGTGATAATGAACAAAACAGGCGGAATTTCTACATCCTCCATGATTGCAATATCATTATAGTAGAAATACAAGTACATGTGTATTGTGGATCCAGGAAATTATGTTATAGTCCAAAATGCTGTTTATTTATAATTGTTTTTCTAATTTTAGAAGATTCTGATAGACGGAGGCTGTACAGCATTAACGCCCCAGCCAGGTAGTATAACAGCTGGATATGTCACTTCATCTATGTTTGCATGTGGTGCAATGTATACTGAAACATACACTGTTTAATTCAACATAGCTGAACGGTAACACATGGTTGGTGTAATGCCATAGCTAAAAAGTGCCATAATCTCAATCCCATTATTTTTTAATACACTACAAAAACGTCATGATTTTGAATTCGTCTTGTTCTTGCATTAAACGCTGCTTGCATGACACACCTGAGATACTACTTGACTTAAAAGCTAATCTACAATATGATGATTGGGTATGTGAAGCTGGAAACGTTTCTGTTTGTCTTCAAAACACTTAGACTTTCAAACTTTTTTAACCCCCAGATTGCCCTTGGACACTTCCAAACTACAAGCATCTTCTACCCGCCAGTTTCCAGCACAACGTCAACTGTGAACTGCCGGACAACTGTTTCGGTATAGAATGTTGTGTGGACTTCTCGTTTGACATCCCGCTGTTTGAGAACCCCCTCGTCAAACACGTCCCCTTCTTCCTGAAGTTTGAACCGTGTAACTTCAATGTGGAGGTCGGCTTTGGGAGCTACTACCACAAGGAAAGGCTGTTGACATACAACTGGGGTGAGTCATTTGATTGTTGACATACAACTGAGGTGAGTCCTTTACTCGTTGACATACAACTGGGTGAGTCATTTGATTGTTTGCCTACAACTGGAGTAGGTCATATGATTGTTGACATACAACTGAGTTAAGTCATTTGATTGTTGACATACATCGAAGTATCTGGGATAAGTCATTTGATTGTTGACATACAGCTGGGGTGAGTCATTTGAATGTTTACATACAGCTGGGGTGAGTCATTTACTCGTTGACATACAACTGGGTGAGTCATTTGATTGTTTGCCTACAACTGGAGTAGGTCATATGATTGTTGACATACAACTGAGTTAAGTCATTTGATTGTTGACATACATCGAAGTATCTGGGATAAGTCATTTGATTGTTGACATACGCCTAAGGTGAGTCAATTTGTTGTTGAATTACACTTGGGTGAGTCATTTGATTGTTGACCTACACTAGGGTGAGTCATTTGATTGTTGACATACAACTGGGGTGAGTCAATAAGGATTAACATACAACTGGGGGGTGTCAATAAGGGTTGACATACAACTGGGGTGAGTCAATAAGGGTTGACAGTCATACAACTGGAGTGAGTCATCTGATTGATGGCATACGGCTGGGGTAGGCCATTTCATTCTATACATGAGGGTATCTGCTGAATACAATGTCTAAGAGAAGTAATTGTGTGTCATTCTATCCCGATGAACGGTCCCGGATTGGCTGATTATCCACTTACAGACAGTGATGGTGTAGAGTGAATACGACCACTATGTTAAACATGAACTGATTCATTCCGTTACGATAATGTTTCTTAGCAGTTTAATACATTCATAATCACACTTGTATGTGAACATGCGTGTGTGTGTCCGTTTCTGTGTGTGTGTTTCAAAATAATATTTCTGTATGTCTCTCAGTACATGTGTAATATTTTTCCCGATGTTTATTTCATACAAGGAACTGAAAATCAACTGCACATTGGCAATGGTAACCCATCACCAGTAATCATCAAGTAAGTAATAATATCTCACATTCAGATTATTTGCAGAAATATATTAAATGACACACTCTTGTAATATGACAGTAATAACAACATCTGATTCTGTCGTTGTTATGAAAAAAGCAAATAATGATTAACCTTTTCTTGAAATACTACACTATCATTCATCATGTACGAGTGATTTCTTTCTTACACATGTGTGTGATTTTCAATTCCAAATTATGGATCTGCAAGAACACCCAGTGTGTTCTCTGACACGTTTGTGTACGGTTACAGTTTCCGTACATTTGTCTACACCAGATCCATGATCCAAGTATACTAGTATACACCAGATCCATGATCCAAGTATACAAGTATACCAAGCTACCTCACTGACCTGAGTGTCCACACGTCTGTATGCATGGTGACAGTTTCTGTACATTTTTTTGTATTCCAGGTTCACGATCTCCAAGTATCCTAAAGGCTTCCTTGTTGACCTGAGTGTCCACACATGTATTCCTATCGATGGTGACAGTTTCTGTACATTTTTCTATTCCAGGTTCACGATCTCCAAGTATCCCAAAGGCTTCCTCGTTGACCTGAGTGTCCACACATGCATCCCTATCGATGGTGACAGTTTCTGTACATTTTTCTATTCCAGGTTCACGATCTCCAAGTATCCCAAAGGCTTCCTCGTTGACCTGAGTGTCCACACATGCATCCCTATCGATGGTGACAGTTTCTGTATATTTTTCTATTCCATGTTCACGATCTCCAAGTATCCCAAAGGCTTCCTTGTTGACCTGAGTGTCAACACATGTATTCCTATCGATGGTGACAGTTTCTGTACATTTTTCTATTCCAGGTTCACGATCTCCAAGTATCCCAAAGGCTTCCTTGTTGACCTGAGTGTCCACACATGTATTCCTATCGATGGTGACAGTTTCTGTACATTTTTCTATTCCAGGTTCACGATCTCCAAGTATCCCAAAGGCTTCCTTGTTGACCTGAGTGTCCACACATGTATCCCTATCGATGGTGACAGTTTCTGTACATTTTTCTATTCCAGGTTCGCGATTTCCAAGTATCCCAAATGGTTCCTTGTTGACCTGAGTGTCCACACATGTATCCCTATCGATGGTGACAGTTTCTGTACATTTTTTGTATTCCAGGTTCACGATCTCCAAGTATCCCAAAGGCTTCCTTGTTGACCTGAGTGTCCACACATGTATCCCTATCGATGGTGACAGTTTCTGTACATTTTTTGTATTCCAGGTTCACGATCTCCAAGTATCCCAAAGGCTTCCTTGTTGACCTGAGTGTCCACACATGTATCCCTATCGATGGTGACAGTTTCTGTACATTTTTCTATTCCAGGTTCACGATCTCCAAGTATCCCAAAGGCTTCCTTGTTGACCTGAGTGTCACACATGTATCCCTATCGATGGTGACAGTTTCTGTACATTTTTCTATTCCAGGTTCACGATCTCCAAGTATCCCAAAGGCTTCCTTGTTGACCTGAGTGTCCACACATGTATCCCTATCGATGGTGACAGTTTCTGTACATTTTTTGTATTCCAGGTTCACGATCTCCAAGTATCCCAAAGGCTTCCTTGTTGACCTGAGTGTCCACACATGTATCCCTATCGATGGTGACAGTTTCTGTTACCCAGAAGGAGGAATGACGCTGATGAATCAGGAGAAGATACCCGCCTGTGATGCTAATGCTCTGGTGGAGTTCACAAAACAAAGTATGTCTACCTTAGCAAAGAACTGCTCCTATTACATTCTTTTTGTCATCGTGTAAATCCAATGTGTTTTTTCAACTTTGAAAGAAGAGTAAGAAGAGTTTCTCAATCTTCCATATGGTAAATTATTTTCCCTGTCCATGTTGGTTTTCTTCGAAATGTTTCGACAATACCCACTTGTTGAAAAGTAATAAGTGACATTGATTTCGTTCAAATGTAGTTCCCTTTGCGTATACTTTGCAGATTTCTCAGTTTCTGATTGGCTACGCGACCTTGACCTTGACGTCAACTTGAAGTCCTCTCTCAAGCGGCTGCCAGGTTATTATTAGACAAGTTTGGCATCTCTGAATTCCTGCTGGATGACAGATGTGATGTTTCTAGAACACCATACAAGCCAAGTGTTTACGGGTGGAGGAATGGTACGAAAGTATAATTTTCCGAACACGAAACACGTGCATCGCTCGAAAACAATTTCATTTTTGCATTGCATGCGTATAAAATGATATAATGATTGTTAGTTTTGGTTCGTTCTATTAATCCACGAGTGTACAATGAATAAATTCGTTGGATGTTTAAGTAAATCACCCATGTACTCATTAGGATAAGAACATTCCAGTCAAAGATGATTCTGTGGACAGCTCTGTTTTTGTATCCATATTGATACTTATAATGAAAAAGTAAAATCTGTCAAAGAGAATAGGAAAAGAATTTCAGGGTCATGTAGTTTTCAGAATGCCCGAAGAGTATTGGCAAGCTGCCCAATCTTCCCAGCGGTCTGTACTGCCACCTAGCGGACACGTGCACCAAGATAAACTGTTGTTTCCATGTCCCCTTCCTGGAGATGTCCTTCAACGCCGTCCTCAACGTCGATATGTGCGACTACGTCATTTATGCCGCCATTGAGAACAAAACCAGGACGCTTGGAATGTTAGGGAATGGTATTGACCTCGATGCTGGTACGTGACCAGTTGTCAGCTGAAAATATGCTGTTCTGTGATTGATAGGGATGAAACGGGTACAGAGACTAAACCTCTCCAAAGCTGAGAAGTTTGCTGTCTGTAAGATTATAGCTCTGCTTCGTGAAGCAAAAGACCCGGCCTCAGACCCCACATCGATGCGGTATATGAAACCATTGTCCGATGCCCCACGTCACAATGGCGTCAATATTACTATTCCTGACAGGAAACACTGATTTTGACAATTTTAATGAATGAGTCTACAAGCAGTGACAAGCAGTGACTGTATCGCAGACATGTATTTCAACGGGCGTTCAATTCTACTTTTCTACGTCAATAAAGGCCATATAGATTATGTACCCTGGGAACGTATGCTCCTGACCTTGTTGGAATCATACAATAGACTTTGCTTTTAGCAGAGATTTCTTGATATTAAGAAATTTGTGTTGTTGCTCCTATTCAACTCAGTATAGTGACATGAACACAGCATGGCCTCGCTTGGAATGTCAGACTAATGCAGATAACGTTGGTTTTCAACGTGTTATTTAATGTACTTACATTACAAATCAGGTGTGCCATAATAAGGTTATTTTAAATCTAATAGTTATTATATGAGTTACGATCTGAATCTGGGCGTGTCTCTGTCATCCAGGCAGCTGCAAGTCACTGAATACATGTTCTTACCTTGCGCACGACAGAAATCAACGATCGTGGGTTCGAATCTTGTCGCCAACGTACAGCATGGCTTTCATGAAAGTGACAAACCTTTAAGACCTCGGGCTCTTCTCCTTCATTCAGTTGTTACGTCGTGTTTCGGTTCGAATACTGTTAAATTCAACTCACCTCTGATCTGAGTCTCGCCTTTGATTCATCTCCAGGTACATCACTGACGCTAGATATCGCGGATGTCTTCCAGATGAAGTAAGTCACTTGTCAGCTGTGTTCGTAATAAATACATCGATAAAATAGTTATAGGATGCATACATATAGACATCATAATAATAAATTATAAAAGTGGTTTGGGTGTGAAGTGTCACCATTTACCATCGATTCAAAATATTATCTCTATTCCAGATTTGGTTTGAAAAAGAAAGACAAGGTTCTACTACTTGACCTTGACATTGAGGTTTGTTTCGAGAAGGATTCCTGCCTTGTTTCCTCGCCCATTATGAAGGGAACTGAAGTTCCACAACTTGTGTGCGACCTTGATGCCAGCTGGACCCTGAAAAGTAAGCCATGAGACCTAGCTAAAAGAAATAATGTCCCTGTACGAAATGTATGCTCCTCACAAAAAGTTAAGCAACATAAATTTTTAGTCTCATTACATTTTCATATATTGAAATTTCAAATCATGGAATGATGCAATAGAAAGGTGAAACTTATGTGCACACGATAAACAAAATGATATGAGATGGTATTGAGCAGTACTAGACTAACAAATCATCAAAAGCATGTACCCGTGAAACAGTCGTGCAAAATGTGCTGCATTGGTGGAGCAAAATGTTAACATTAAGGTTCAAGTCAGTTTTGGACAGTGAAGCAGTTTTTTGGCATTGACCAAATGAGCCTTTAAAGTTGCTGTTGTGGAATGATCTGCCATTCTGTCTGCAACGCCTGTTCAAGGTCATCCGGAGTCTGGAGGTGAACATGGAGACCGTAAACAGGACTTCCAATAATGCTTCAAGCCTGTTCAATGGGATTAAGATCAGGTGACCTTGAAGGCCAGGCATATGTGTCATGATGTTGATCTAAACAACATCATTAAAATCTCTTCTCGGGCATTGTCATCCATGGACAGGCATTATCATTCATAAACATGAAGTGAGGACCCGCTTGTTGTGCAAGGGGAATGATTACAGGTGGTTTACACCGATCAGGGTGCATGTGTGAAGAGTAAAGCACATCCATGCCACACATCCATGTTTCTGAGGGTGGTTGTGTTCGGGTGACGCTGTCAATGTTATCAGATAAATCAATTTGACATTCACTAAAGGTTATACATTCTTTGAATCGCTATCCATATTGATAAAGATATTTCACTGAAAATACTTGTTGCTAAATTTTTGTGAGGAGTATAGATGCCACACAGCTACATCATATACTGAACATCGACATACACATCATATACTGAAGTTCAGAATGCTTGCACCTTAGTCATACAGGTAACGTATGTTAGGTTTGGTATTGACTCAGTAACTACCCAGTCCCCTCATTTAGGTTCAAAATTTAGTGAACATATTTATTATGATATGTCAACAAAGTACTACCAATTTTCAATGGTTGAACTATTTGAAGATGGGGTCCAGTTTGCAGGGTTTTGGATTGATTGAATATAGGGGTGGAAGGGGTAGGTGTGTAATTGATGCAGCAGTGGTCCTTAAAAATCTGTTAACCTGCCTACCTCATTACCTACCACACCCCCACACCCCCACACCCCCACACACCCACACACCCACACACCCACACACCCCAAACCCACTCCCCCATCCCCACCCCGACCACCAATCCAAACTCTATCTGTAATGTTCTAACCCTCTAGATTTCAGTATATCGGACTGGGCCAAGGCAAGGGGACAGGATTTGACCAAGGGACTCGCACGGACAGCTGTGAACCTTCTGTTGGAGCAACTGGGTATCAAAGACAAGATGCTGGATCCGCCATGTAACCGGAGCAGTCTCAAGTACCAGCCAGCTGATGCAGGCAACTGGAAGAATGGTCAGTAACATAGTCAGATAGTCAGATAGATCTGACGATGTTTATCATTTCATTTAGGTGAACAGGTACGCGTAATAAGTACTTTTGTCATGACTCTGTTTCACATTGAATGTTTTTCCCATAGGACGAATGTTGTGTTTTGTTTAAACTGATAAGTGGTTCTGAATTGTAATTGAGACAATAAGTAGGTGGAGGCATAAGAATATTTGGTCAGTACAAATTTAGTAATGTGGTGAATACCAGTCAAACAGTTACCCTTCTTACAAATAGACTGTATCGCAGATCACCAAAGACGTCTTAACCAAGATTTAATAGTAATCCTTATTCTTATTACAGATTGCGACTTGAGCGGCAGCGCTATCTCCCTCCCACCAATAACTCTTCCGGCCAACTGCCACATCAATGACAAATGTTTGGGTATAGACTGTTGTCTCCACAGCAACGTCCTTGATCTGTCTCTTCACACGGCCTTCAACATTGACCTCTGTAACTACTTCATTGAAGGCTCCATTGAGAAGTTCAGCTTTAAGCATAACATACTCAACTATAACTGGGGTATGTGTTTATGACATGGTTTACAAATTCCTCACATAAAGCACAAGGAGAAAGCTTAAGCCTCACCAAAACGATGATAATAGGATACAAAGGTAATAGGCTGTATCTGTCATTTTGTTTTGTTGACTTCAATGTTTATTGGGTTGCACTCTGCAGTTACAAGTCTTTAACGTTTTTATTCATCTATTTTTTAGGTACAAAATCATGACTTCAAATAACAGCGAGCAAATTATAAAACCATGCGTTTGTATACAGATCTTGGCAGATTGACAGGCATATTATAACAGATGACATTGTTAGAAAATATGCTAGCTCTCAGTAAATATTAGTCACATTGGCAATCGGACCAGAATCCAACAAATTTGGTAAAATTACAAGAAGAGATGGCATGTGTCTTATTTCCTTTCTGATCACATCGAAAGCTGGCGTGCATGTCTATATTAATATTTTAAAAAGAGTAAAGCTGACAACTGTTATCAGGAGATTAAGGATATCGTTCCTGTTTTCAGAAAATCCACATATGATTTTTTTTCTCAACAATATTCAATGTGATATCTGATATCCAAGTGAAAAATTGACTACATATGTTTTTTAGATTTTGGACAGTCGTAAAAGAAATGAATTCCGATTTCTGATGCATCTGTGCAAAATCAACATAACATACAAGTCACACGTCTTGTTTCAGGAAAAGAAGAAGTAATTACGTTTGATGGTGTTCCTGTTCTCAAATTGAAGTAAGTTGGACAAAGTTATTGTCGTCGGATACTTTATAATATAACATTTTCTCGGGTTAATTGAATCTATATCTGCTTTTACCATAAACGGTAAACATTTTGTAAATAGTAAATAAATGCTAATTATAGCTACAAGTGCGATAAATTTGACATCATTTAAAATTTAAAGAATTGTCGATTTTCTCGTTAACTTGTCTAATATTTCCCAGGTTCAAGATTGACCGGCTTCTGTCCCAGCAAGTGTTTATTGTGGACCTGTCTCTGAGTCTGTGTCTGGAGGGAGATGACTGTGAGCTGGACCTGAAGGTGCTGAATCAGACACGACTTCCGATGCCAGGATGTGCCAAGTTCAAGGGATTCAAGCTTCAAAGTAAGGATAACTGTTGGTGTAAACTTTCAGCACTGAAACATTACGTTAACTCAATTACCTCAAGTTAATTAACTAATGGTAGCTAAATTATATCTTGAACTTGGCTATTGTTTGTTAGCAGTGCACTGTGACTTAAATATCATGATTATAGTATTAAACATTTATGTATGTATGTATGTGTGTGTGTGTGTGTGTGTATATGTATGTATGTATGTATGTATGTATGTATGTATGTATGTATGTATGTATGTATGTATGTATGTATGTATGTATGTATGTATGTATGTATGTATGTATGTATGTATGTATGTATGTATGTATGTATGTATGTATGTATGTATGTATGTATGTATGTATGTATGTATGTATGTATGTATGTATGTATGTATGTATGTATGTATGTATGTATGTATGTATGTATGTTTATTTCCTTTCAGATTTCTCACTGGGGAACTGGCTGAGAGAAAAGGGCGGTGAGATCACAGCTCAGCTGTCAGCAGTCCTGATGGAAGAGCTCGGTATTAAACAGCTCCTGCTGGACGCACAGTGTCAGGACTACCTGGAACCTTACAGAGGTGCTATGAGTGGATGGAACAACGGTAGGTTTTGTTGGTGGCTTCCTGGTGGGTTGATATATATTACGTTATGCTAAATATTCTTGCTATTTATAGATTTCTTGAAATAGTTTATTCGTGTCTAATTTAAATGACCTGATCTCTTGCAGCCATTTATATGCTGGTCGTTCACTCAAATTCATACCATATATGACAGCTAATATCCATGTCCCTATTTGTCTGTTGACAAATGCTGTATTATGGCACTAAAGCAAGATCGCAAACGTAGTACAGCTATATCACGGTTGTCTATTGTAAATAGAATTAATAATGGTACGTTTAACTGGGTTAAAACCCGTCGTAAAAGTTGTATTGTACTTGGCATGGACTGTTGCAAGTTGGGGGAAGATTGAGTAAAATAGTGATTATACTGTCGACATTGTCACCTATAGATCTGTTAATAGACATGGGTTAAATAATATTCTACCAGGCTATAAGTGTTTATTTGTGTTGTTAATATTGTTTACTAAAGGGTTTGGATAACTATTGAGTTGTATACATTCATTGTAACCCCTTTGTTTTAGACTTCGTACAAATGCTAATACCAGATAATGCCTGGTGCCATACCGCATTAGAAGCTTCTTGTGGGGGTATCAGTATAATTAAATCAGGTGATTAAACTAATTTCGACTGAAGTCGAGAGTGCAGTGTTATGGTATACTGAGTGAATATAGAAATGTTGAACATTTCAGCTTGTCCTGAAAACATTACGATACCAGTACTACCTCAGAACGTCTTCTGTCACTTGACTGACTACTGCACCGGGGTCACGTGTTGTGTCAAAGTGCCACAGGTCAAACGGAACTTCAATGCCTACCTCTTCCTGGACTCCTGTAACTACAATATGAGAGTCGGCATTGAGAAGCTGGAGTTCAGTCACACACTGTTTAACTACACGTGGGGTAAGTTGCACACTGTTTAACTATACATGGGTTAAGTTGTACAGTGTTTAACTACACATGGGGTAAGTTGTACACTGTAACTACAAAATGAGAGTCGGCATTGAGAAGCTGGAGTTCAGTCACACACTGTTTGACTACACATGGGGTAAGTTGTACACTGTAACTACAATATGAGAGTCGGCATTGAGAAGCTGGAGTTCAGTCACACACTGTTTAACTATACATGGGGTAAGTTGTACACAATAACTACAATATGAGAGTCGGCATTGAGAAGCTGGAGTTCAGTCACACACTGTTTGACTACACATGGGGTAAGTTGTACACTGTAACTACAATATGAGAGTTGGCATTGAGAAGCTGGAGTTCAGTCACACACTGTTTAACTACACATGGGGTAAGTTGTACACGGTTTAACTATACATGGGGTAAGTTGTACACTGTAACTACAATATGAGAGTCGGCATTGAGAAGCTGGAGTTCAGTCACACACTGTTTAACTACACATGGGGTAAGTTGTACACTGTTTAACTATACATGGGGTAAGTTGTACACTGTAACTACAATATGAGAGTCGGCATTGAGAAGCTGGAGTTCAGTCACACACTGTTTAACTACACATGGGGTAAGTTGTACACTGTAACTACAATATGAGAGTCGGCATTGAGAAGCGGGAGTTCAGTCACACACTGTTTAACTACACATGGGGTAAGTTGTACACTGTTTAACTACACATGGGGTAAGTTGTACACTGTTTACCTATACATGGGTAAGTTGTACACTGTTTAACTATACACGGGTAAGTTGTGCATTGTTTAACTATACATGGGGTAAGTTGTACACTGGAAAACATTGGGTATGGAGAAGATTTGGGTTTATTATACCGAAAATGCATACAGATACACGTGTCAGTTGTAAAAGTGTGTTCAACTGCTGGTAATCATATGCAAATATTTTCCCCTTCTAAGGTGAAACAGAAGTTATCGATCTTGGAGGACTGGTACGAATTGAGTAAGTATTTTGATTATTTAAAAAAGTATGATTTTCAGTTTTTATCAGGTGATATTGTCTAGGATACATACCTCAGGCTGACAAGGACGTTCATGTTTAGATCTGAATATACTTTATATTGCCGTGTTCAAAAAAGATTTACGCATCCTAATATACATAGCATCAGTGCAAAGAATACCCAGTATTGACTATTCTCAGAAACAAATTCCTTATGGAGTAATGGGAAAATATATGAATTGATCACTGAAAGTCAATGATGACACCAGGTGTTCACGAAAGGAGTAAGCATGTTCTGCCCTACCGGTAGCACCCACCATTCACACAATTTCCCCAGAATGGAAGTAATTTAAAGAATGGCGTACCTTTTCAGATATACCATCAGCTCTAGTCAGAAGAGGTTCCTGGTGAACCTGAGCCTTAAGGTGTGTCTGACTGCTGGAGAGGCTTGTCAGTTTACCTTCCCTGTGTTCACAGACATGATCATCCCTAAACCATTCTGTGACTGGGAGGCCACCAAGCAGCTACAAAGTAAGAACAACATTAGTCTCCTTTGTATTCCATATGCAATAGTTACTGGATAGCCCTTGGTTAATCCAAGCGAAGCCCTTCTCAATAACACTGACATGGACGTTCTGGGACAGATCATCTTTGAATAAGGACAAAAACCTGCAGAACGTCATGTCAAACGATTTGACTTTGCTTCAGATTTCTCCCTTAGAGAGTTTGTGACATCGCAAGGTGGTGCACTGACAGACAGACTGGCTGATACACTGGTGGACAAGCTGATGGAGACTCTTGGTGTATCCGGCTATCTTCTGGACCCGCAGTGTTCCATGAGTGGTCGGGGCACGAATGGCTGGAGCTCAGGTTAGGAGACATAACCGTTTAAGATAAATCATATTTATAGCACACTGACCAACAGTGAACAGATATACAACAAAACAACAAATCCTTTTCATGATCTCAGGGTAGATTGCAGGTGTCTTTATCGTGAACATGTGTTTATGAAACATGATGTCTATTGTTCACGGACACGTGAAGATCCGAGTTAGAATTGATTTTCAGTACTCCATGCTTGTCGTAAGAGGAAACAAACGGGATCAGGTGGTCAGGCTCGCTGATGTCATCGTATCCCAGTTGCGTAGATTGATGGTCATGATGTTGATCACTACATTCTCTGGTCCAGACTCTATTATTTAGAGATCGCCCCCAGAATAGCTGGAATATTGCTTTGTGTGGCGTGAAACAATAAACCAACCAACCAACTATTGTTAACAAGTTGTTCCTGTCGCAACGGTAGCACCAAGAAAAAACACGTGGAAGAAAAGAAAGTCCAGTATTCAGCTGAGATAACCAGGAAACATGTGATACTAGAGTTGAAACAGGAAACTGCAGCGAACATAGTGTTGGTCATTGATTTCCTTCTTTGCAATATTTTAAAAAGGTCTTGAATGTAATAATCGTGATCAAACAATTTTCGAGGAAGAGTCTAATGCGGTTCTCTCGAAGAAAGAACACGCTCGATTTTGCCTGGGATGTTGTGTAAAGCGTAGGGCTCGTCCAACACAACGAGACAGTTGACTACTGGAAATAGAAGACATTCTTGTTGTCATCCAGTCTCGTGGAAAATGTTTTTGTCACTTTGAACCTGTATACATAAAACAAATGTTATCTTCTTGGGGGCCAATTACTAATGTGTTTGTGGAAAAATATTCTGCAGGGAACAGATGTTTGACATTTCATTAGTATGATGAAGGGTTCTCTACTGTTTGGTACATATCATATTTTTCAGATTGCCCCAGACCGGTTTCACTGCCAACACTACCCGACTCTCTGTCCTGCAGTCTTCCCGACCACTGTACTGGAATAGACTGTTGCCTCAATGTGCCTCTCATCAGTCGGAATGTCCACTTCAAGGTCGACTTGGACATGTGCAAAATGACCCTTACATTGGCCATAGAGAAGCTTGAGTTTAGCAGACTGCTCTTCAACTACCAATGGGGTGGGTGGAAATATCAAGCAATTTAATGAATTGTTGTATATTTAGGGGGAAGTGGAACCTGATTCTACGCATTGAACACAAGAACAACAATGTCTATTTGTTAGGCCCAGTCAATGTGCAAGTGTATATTTTTTAAGATTTCTATTTTGCTTTGACCTTCCGCAGGGACGCCAGACAGTTTCAATCTGAAGGGGATATTCCGGGCAGAGTAAGTTACTCAAATGTTGATGCTTTGTTCAGTAAGTTGCTATTACAGTGGTTCCTCCTATGATTTAAACAGACAAAAATATAGTTGTGATGGTACACCGCCATTACTTTTAGTATTTTCAAAGTACATAGCTGATGTGTATGGTGAATTGGAGTCTCCTATTCGAGTCTCGTACGTTTGGAAATACAAGTGTTTCATTTTCAGTTACGTCATCGACAATCTGGAGGGAGAGAAACAGTTTCTTGTAAGTCTCAACATCAGTGCCTGCTTCGAGGCTGGAGGGAAGTGTCTGGTTACCCTACCAGTGTTAAACCAAGCCAGGTTCCCCAACCCTGGATGCGACTGGAACTCAACGCTGTCCCTCAAAGGTACGCCCGTGAATAAATAAAACAGTAAATAATTAACAGTTCTAGGGAAACTTTCGATGCGTGATGTATGGAATATATCATCGTATAAACATTAATTGTTTGACCATTCCAGTATAAAAACATACTCAAACTATATCAACAGGAGGCACGGCCTCCATAAATGATAAACCTAGTTTGATTTCATTAACTCAGCGTGGTGGGGTTATTTTGTATATTAACATGAAATGATGGTGAAACATGTACACTATCTTATTCCACTTCAATATGCAAAGGCTTCTCCCTGAAGAACTGGCTGAATGATCATAATCTGAACATCGGACAAGCCTTGACCTCAGTATTCCGGTTCCAACTATCTCTAGCTCTGGGCATCTCTGAGTACCTTCTGGATCCCATGTGCGACAGGCAGAGGGGGATATACAAGCCGGGATGGAATAATGGTAAATGGTTGTAAAAATCATTAATTTTGCAGGAACCATGCAAAGTACTATTTCTATCCAGTTGCTGAAATGAAGGGAAATATCGGTGCAAATAAAAGTAGAAACCTCTGTTTATCTTAAAATTAGGAAATTGTTTCGGCCAATAATTGGGTTATTATATGACATTTCAGCGTGTCCAAAACCAATGACCCTACCAAGCCTCCCGAGCAGCCTGTCGTGTCATATCCCCGACTACTGCACTGGACTGGACTGCTGTGTGGATGTGGTCAGTCTGGGGATGTCCTTCAACTTCAAGATCCTCCTGGACACACGGAACCTTGTCCTGACTGTCAGCATCGAGAAGCTCACCTTCCAGACATCATTGTTCAACTACAAGTGGGGTAGGTCTCATTACAGCAACCCCATAACAATGCAGATCATGTGTATTCTACTAAATAGACAATCAATTTTTACGTTTTTGTTAACAGCAGTAGAGTGTTTTTGCAATTGTTTTCAATATCGTATGTACACAGTTTCAATGTCATGTATAACGAATAATAACCAATAAATTACTTTTTGATTATTTTGCGAAAATGTCAACTTTGTGTTTACGCTTTTTCAGGAGAATGGGAAAATTTCAACCTTAATGGCGTCGTTAGGTTAAGGTGAGATGGGTGATTAATACTGTATATACGGTACATTTATCATGTTTTAAATGAAGAACCTTTATCCTTAACGTCACTAAGGCCAATTGAATATGATCATGTATGTCGTGTGATTTGATATGAAACTCAGTGTATAACCTTTCACGACGAAAATATTTAAAATTTCCTTCTCAGTGACCAATTGTTATATGTACTGCTGGCACTTCCAGTAACATATGTTTAGAATGGACTGTCACGAGAGTTGATTTAGTCGGATTCGAAGACTTATACACTTACAGAGCGACTGCATTAAGTATATGCTTAGATATAGATATATATATATATATATATATATATATATATATATATATATATATATATATATATATATATATATATATATATATATATATATATATATATATATATATATATATATATATATAAGTATATTGAATGATGACACGGAATATACATTTATGGGTTGGTTGACTGAAGTCAGTTTGGACAGTCAAATGACCGATATTAGTACTTCGACTCATGGTCTCTTGGGGTGGCTATCTGTTCCTACCTTTGACAACGACCAACCACTTTACTCATGCAGAAGAAACAATTAAACCAGTTCAATATCATGCTGTGATTTATATTCAGTTGTCTCCATCCAGCAAACCCGCATTGTAATGGTTATGTACGTGACCTAACACTATGTCCATCTTACCTCCTCAGTTTCAAGATTGATGACCTTGTACATGCTTGGAAGTACCTGATGAGTCTGAAACTCTCGCTGTGCTTTGAAGCAGACTCTCCCTGTGCTCTCAGCCTTCCTGTCCTCACAGATATCAGCTTCCCCAAACTAGTGTGGAACTGGGATAATCCTTTCTCCGCGATTGACAACGGTGAGTGAGCGAGTGAGTGAGTGAATGAGTTTTACTCCGCACACAGCAATGTTCCAGCTGTATGGCGGCGGTCTGTAAATAATCGAGTCTGGACCAGACAATACGGTGATCAACACCATGAGCATCGATCTACGCAACGGGGAACCGATGACATGTCTCAACCAAATCAGCGAGCCTGACCACCCGATCCCTTTAGTCTCCTCTTACGACAAGCATGGGTTACTGAAGATCAATTCTAACGGGTGACTGGTAACGGTAAGCCACATACATCGACAACTGTACACTACATGAACATCTGATGCACTTCACGTTTCTGTAATAAGTTATAAAGACATTGCATAAATGTAACATATGACAGTGTCCTTATAAATGATGTTCCTGTGTTTGTGATTCATGGGATTAATATCATGTCTTTCTAACCACATATTTGCAGGCTTCTCTTTGAAGAACTGGCTTTCTGATTTGAAGCTTCCGTCTGGTAAGAGACTCGCCAGCTTAGCTGTGTCGAAACTCTTGGACAGACTTGGGATTGCGGACTACTTGACAAACCCCCAGTGTAACAAGAGCCTACCACCTGGAGCAGTTGGCGGTTGGAAAAAAGGTATGTTGTTTAAACGCTGAACTTTTGCAAAATGTATGACATTAAGGCTTCAAATATGGCATGTGATCATTGTTGCGCTCAACAAACTGATAGCAATATGTCTAATAAAGAAAGTGCGATGGGAAAGGCTTGTGAGTATGGGTCTTCAAATAGAAAAAGCTAAACTATACAACAATAAGAAGAACACAGACACAGATTCATACTGTTGTGTGATGTTTTCAGATTGCCCTGCAAGTCTCACCCTGCCAACACTACCAGACTCCGTCACCTGTCATCTGTCAGACCCGTGTGGCTCCATACAGTGTTGTATTGACGTGGACTTTATCGGGAGATCCTTCAACGTCCAGGTTGGAATAGACCCGTGCACCTACACCTTCACCATGGGCATAGAGAAGCTGGTCTTCACCAGGATCTTATCCAACTACAAATGGGGTGAGCAGGGTGCTGTTTTGGGGGGATGATCAAAATGTTAACATATCTCAGAAGTGTGGGTAAAAGGTTTGTTAGAGGATATTCGAGTATCTGGATACAAATGTGAAAGTATTAATCGAGTTTGATGGAAGGAACACTGACTATAATGAATCGTTTTAATGCATCTATATATGTATGACGACGAACAATGAAACGTACATGTCCTGTCTTACAAAGGTGTTGATTTTTCAGGAACTCTGGAACACTTCAGCTTAAAGAACGTGGTCCGTGTAGAGTAAGTATTGTTTTAACATTGGTAATTCACTATATTGTAAAAGAATTGAGCATTTGCTTTGTCCGAGTTGTAATAGTACGCATCACTGTACTAATCAGAGGCATCCGTTCGTCACTGTTTAAGGACACATGTTTTTTTTCAGTTTCATGCTCGATGACCTGTTCGGGGAAAAGAAGTTCCTGATCAACCTCAACATCAGTGTCTGTTTCGAGGAGGATTCTTGTATGATTTCCTTCCCAGCTCTGAAGAATGTAAAGATTCCCAAGTTGATATGTGACTGGGACAGTACAGCTGCTCTTGCAGGTCAGTGATGTGGATGAGGGTTCTATGTGAAAGTAAACCCACTTAATTCTAAACGTGTTAAGGCTTATGACTATACCGTATCATATTAAGATTGTTTCCCCACACATTGTTGGTGTCGTAAAATGGTCAACTAGATTATATATAGCATTTCCTGTCATTTCATTAAGAAATTCCTTCCCATGTGTATAACAAGTGGTTCTTTATCAGTGCCTACCAGAGACATCGACCCGTGAAAAATTCGGGTTAGAATCGGTCTTCAGCAACCCATGTTTGTCATGATAGAAGTCTAACGGACCGGGTGACCAGGCTCGCTGACTTGGTTGATGCTCATAATGTCAGTCACTGGCTTGTCTGATCAAGGCTGAATTATTCACATGGCTGGAACATTGCATATTGCGGCAAACAAACGAATAAAACCAGAAGAATCATATATTGTATGTGTATCAACAAGAAATGTAATGGCTCCTCAACTAATTTCCGATCAGAATATTCATGATAATACATCTCCATTTTTTCCAGATTTCTCTCTGTCTGGCTTCCTGTCCGAGATGAAGTCTAATGGGTCTGCGAGTCTTACTTCAGTCATCGCAGCCAAACTGTTTGAGAGGCTGGAAATAGCTGGATATCTGAAGACAGCACAGTGTCAAAATACAAGTAGTCCTTATGTACCTACAATCAATGGATGGAACAACGGTAGGACCCGGATTAAAAGGCGATATGTTGAACCAGCATGAAATTCCAGTCACTGTATTCATATGTCATCAAGATTCTAAATAAACTTATGTAATATTCTGATTAAAGATAATATATAAGTCCACAGCTGAAAGCAATGATGGAGTGATTTTATATATTTAACAACTTTCCATTGTGATGATAGCTGCAACGTTTCCTCCCAGACCAAATGTAACAGAAGCCTATTGATTGTGATGTTTTCACTTCGATGACTTCAGAGTGTCCAGTTCATGGGCTTGACCAGTATCTCCCAAACCTCCCTGATTCCATGGCATGTCACATCCCCGACATCTGTACCGCCGTTGACTGCTGCATCTACATCGACTTCCTGTCACGTGCCTTCAACGTCTTCGTGACAGTGGACATGTGCACCTATCAGTTGACGGTGGGCGTGGAAAATCTGGTCTACAAACGGATGTTGTTCGACTATCAGTGGGGTATGTTAGCATATTATTTATGCAGTCTGATTGACGTTTTGTGAAACCTGTAAGTATGGCTACGTTATGGTGTTCTGATACATTATCCCTTCAGTTTCCTTTCGGTTTGGAGTGATGGATGACATTGAACATTGCTTTCAAAATGATTTCTTTGACGTTTGTACATTTAAGTGTCGCACTATTCTTGAAGAATGCAGTTTTCTTGTTCTTGCCCACTCTGGTACTTTGCGGTATCAACCCACTCATAATCAGACACAGGCTCCAATAGTGACTCCGATACGACTATTTCCTTTATGGCGAGCACGAGTTAGGGTAACATCAAACGCCATCTTGTAAGACGCTGGCAGGGAATCAAGCAGGAAACGCACTGCACCCCGGGCTGTCTATTAACATACAGTGTCGGTCTGTCACATGTTAACGCCGGACTCCATTCCAAAACATTCGAAAACAATATTGCAACCCAATTCATTAAAAAAAATGGAATTGTTTTAATTGGGCATCATGACACATTTGGAAAGGTAAGAGCGGTTGATTGATTGTCTCTTCACCGTCGAAATAAATCTTTTCGTCCAGTGTAAATTATGCATCAAGTATAATCTGAACGTTGACGAACATTGGGAAGTTTTACCACGGACACGTCACGTGCTGAAACGTATTTTATTTTTGTTTACAGGCACAGAAGAACATTTTTATGTAAAAGGTGTCATTCGAGTTGAGTAAGTATTGACGTGTTATTTAATCTATTAACATAATGATTCAGTAAAATAAGACAAAAACACACAAAAATGTGGATCTACACTTATGTATGCACCACTCGCGTAACGTTTACCTGAAAATATGCATACATTGAACCAATGTTTCAGTTACACCATCAACCGACTTATGTCTGAGAAGAAACTGGAGGTGACTGCAGCTGTCAGTGTGTGTCTGAAACAAAACGAGTGTCTGTTCTCCAAAACCTTCCTTGACAAGGCCAAGATACCACAACCCCTGTGTGACTGGGAGGCCAGGCTGCAACAGAGAAGTAAGGCTTTACTAGATATGTGTCCTTGTTTAATCCCTATCTCTCATTTCTCATCCTATTGCATAATTAACAAAGAGGATGTTCTTGTTCTTCAGGTAAACACACACTGCAATAGACAGGCCGACAGAATATATTATAGTCAATACCAGATGGTTAAACAATCATTTTGGGTGGCTTGCCACTCATACTCATGATGAGCACGTGTTGCCCTTGCTGACCAGTCGTGTGAATGCAAACTGTCGGAGGGACATGTCATTCACATGGTCACAAGAAAACTATATTCTAACATATGTATTTGAAATTGCATATCTTATTTCAGTTATTTAATGGATATTTTTTAAGTTTAAACAGTCGTACTTTCTACACATAAATCGAAACAAACGGACTTTCCTTCATGTATTTAACAATATGAAGCAAGTTTGAAAATATACCTTTTTGAAAGTTGAAAAAAATGTCAACAGGAGTTTCTGGTAACAGCACATCAAGTATTCGGAAAGTGTGACTTCATATTCTGTTGGGGCGGTGGGGTAGCCTAGTGGTTCAAGCGTTGGCTCTTCACGCCGAAGACCCGGGTTCGATTCCCCACATGGGCACAATGTGTTAAGCCCATTTCTGGTGTCCCCCGCCGTGATATTGCTGGAATATTGCTAAAAGCGGCGTAAAACTAAACTCAGTCAGTCAGTCAGTCATATTCTGTTGATGTCTTAGACAAGTCTCTGGTTCTGCTGTAACAATTATGTCATAATTGTTTGACTAAGTCAATGTTTGCCATGCGTATATATATGTGTCTTCTTCCCGTCATTATGGTATATTGTGTGTGAATTAAAGTCAATTTAATTTTAGACATCCGGTCCCCATAGATGTATATAAGTGCAGAATGACATGTATAAGTCTTAAGATAAATTTTTAATTTTAATTTTCAAATCTTTGTGGTCTTAGAGAAACAGCATTGTTGACTGCTTCATCCTTTGAGAGATAAGGGAAATATAACCAACCTAGCAACCTTGCATCTGAACCAACAGAATGTTATTAAGTATTCAAACGGAATAATAAGGAAGACAACATAGCAAGTATGACTGTTTGTTTCAGATTTCTCATTGTCCAACTGGGCATCAGGCAAGGGTCTGTCCTCCACCGTGTCGACTCTCTCGGAAACACTCATATCTCAGCTCATGGATGATCTCGGGGTGTCTCAGTACCTCGTCAGTTCGGCCTGTGATCAGTCAGCAAGTCCATATTCCCCTGCTGGGATAAACAACTGGAATAATGGTATATGTATAAACATTTATACCACTATGTTATTGGTGTTGGAGTAAAGTAAAAATCTGTATGAAGTTATTGCATGTTGTTTTGTACCTGTATATACTGAGTCAAAAAAGAAACTTCACAAAATGTAATTTGAAAAATAATGAATAATTCTTCTCTGATGATACATCTATGTATCCGAAATGGGATCCCTATCTTTCGACTCTAGAAAAACGTTAGCAAAACCCATTCAAACCCATCCATTCGTCGTGCAAATGACGTTAGTGCCAAATCAGGTTTTGCACGTGCAGTCGATCACGTGATCTTCGCATCGAGGTTTTCTTCATATGCACGTGTTTGCATTGGCCTCAAGAATTGAAAAAGCACTTTTAAACCACAGTTCTAACGGTACTTGAAATGCCACGATTGTCAAATGTGCAACGTGAACGTGCCGTTGGCATGTTGCAAGCGGGAAGATCAGTTATTGACGTCGCAAGAGCAATGGGATGCAACCGTCGTACTGTGTATGACTTGCGAGGTCGTCTACAACAAACTGGCACCACTTCTGATCGCCCAAGGTCGGGTCGTCCACGTGTGACGTCACGAGCAGAAGACCGTCAAATCGTCCTACGTCACCTACGTGACAGATTTCTGCCGACTACACGAACCAGGGCTGAGATGTTTAGAGGTCGACTGTCCTCACAGACCATTCGAAATCGGTTGTGGGCTGCCAATCTCTATTCTCGACGTCCATATCGTGGGCCAATATTGACGCCGTTTCATCAACGTCAACGTCTGCTGTGGGCCCAACGTCACCTCCGATGGACCCAGAGAGACTGGAATCGAGTCGTCTTTAGCGATGAATCCAGGTTTACCCTCAGATTCGCGGACGGCAGGCATAGAGTCTGGAGACGACGTCGTGAACGGTATGCCCAATGTTGTGTACAGGAAGTCGACAGATTCGGGGGCGGAAGTTGCATGGTGTGGGGGTGCTTTCTGTGGGAACAACCGTTCCCGACTTCTGGTTATCCGTGGAAACCTCACAGGTGCTGCTTACCGCGACCAGGTGCTCACCCCTGAACTCGTTCCTTTCATGGCGGCTCATGGCCCAGGTCTACAGCTCCAGCATGATAATGCTCGGCCGCATACCGCGATGTTGACACGAAATTTCCTTCAAAAAAGCTGGAATCAACGTCATGGACTGGCCATCGAGGTCCCCTGACCTTAATCCAATAGAGCACGTTTGGGATGCACTTGGGAGAAGGCTTCGTGGTCTTAGGAACCAACCTCAGAATTTGCAGGAACTTGGCGCTGCCTTGCAAGAGCAATGGCGCAGAATCCCCAACCACGTGTTCACAAGCATCAGGCAGTCGATGAGGAGACGGTGTTTGGCAGTGGTGAATGCGCGGGGCGGCCATACACGATATTGAACTGAGACATTTCGCATTTTTATTCTTGTGACTTGACATTCTGTATACCCATGTTTTGGAACGGCGGTGAAGCCTAATGGAACTGATTATGGCACTGTCAGTGTATCGAGTACATCACACAGATCTCAGCAATGAAATAATAACAATTTAACCATCTTACCATCTCTTGTTCTTTTATAGTGCCCTGAAGAAAGAATGTGAAGTTTCTTTTTTGACTCAGTATATATTTAACTGAAGTATGCCTGTGGTTGAGCATATATTTAAATGAAATTAGGGTTACTGATGAAATCAACAATTACGAAATCTTTCCTCTCATGAGAATCATAGGGTCATTCCGCTTTTAAATCTTTTGTAGATTATATACATAGATATTTGCACTGAAAACGCAATGAATTTAAATGAATTTGTCCCCTACGCCCTTTTTGCGCAGTGTGGGTGAGTTTAGTTGTAGGCCGCGCTTTTAGCAATATCACGGCGGGGAACACCAGAAACGGGCTTTACACATTGTAACCATGTAGGGAAATAAACCCGCGTCATCGAGCAAACGCTTTAACTGTTAGGCTACCTCAACGACCCTTTTTGCACAGAGAAAGAGCAGGGTACTGGTAAATCTACCACACCAGTAAAGAAAATGTATGTTATAAGACACGATTTAAACATTTCGGAATTCTTACATTCATTAGAGTGAAGTCTTACCAGTATAGATGGAAGAACAGAAGGTACGCGATTTATATATTCTGTGTTTCCAGAATGCAGCAGCCGAGCCATACCATTCCTACCCGAGTCTGTGCGATGTCACCTGACCTCCAACTGTTCCACTGTAGACTGTTGTGTCGATGTTCGACTCATCAAGAGGACAATCCAAGCCAAGTTTGATGTGGATGTTTGTAACTTACAGATGACAGTGATCATTGAACGACTATCTTACACTGTTTCACTCCTGGAGTATGTATGGGGTAAATGTCCACTTGCACAATATTCTACAATTCATCCTGTTTCTCCATCCTAGAATGTCACAAGGAGAATTCTTCACAGGTTCAGGATTGGCCCATGGTTAAGTCCACTGGAATCCAATGTTCAGAAATGTGTCCAAATCCACTGAGTTTCAAATATCAAATTCACATTCAGTATGAATGGACACCGTTGTTATAGAACCTGAGCCTAGATGGTATTCAAAATGGTATTGCGACCTTTGTCACGTTGAGGTTTGTCCAACATTAGACTTACGCATCTTAACACCTTAGAGGTACTAGCCAGTCGTATTTTAGTCATACCTGATTCAATGTACTTTCCGATCTGTTCCAGGCACGGAAGGACATTTCATCCTGGGAGATATGGCACGGCTGGTGTGAGTATCAGATGGCATTTTGTTCATGTGACTGAACCTGCCGTGATGCCTGTAGTTTCTCCTGTCATATCTTTCCTTTTCGCACAAATGTATGTTGCAAATCATTAGACCTAAACGTTGGTCTCCGATTTCATTTTATTGTTTAACAAATAGCTATTCATAGAACCTTGGACTATAATCTTTAAATCAATTTTCAGTCGATTTATTGCACACAGCTTTAGAATAGGGATATTATGTCATGAATCTGTTACACTTCTTTAGAGCTTAATAATTATTCTCCTGAACACTGATAAGAGTATCATACTGAAAATAATGAAGATATTTGATTGCATAGACTCTTACAAATACCATTCATAAACATTCAGAAGAACTTATGGAATGTCGCTGCAGGTACAAACTTGAGCACGTCCCTTCCACGCAGACGTTGGTGATTGATCTAAACATCAAGATGTGTTTTGAAGACAACACGTGTGTGCTTGAAGTCCCAGTCTTCTCGCAATCAGAGCTGGCGTATTCCCCATGTAACCCGAGTCTACCGGTGCCGTTTGATGGTGTGTACTTAATCAAAGGTGTCACACTTACGGAAACAGATTTTGTGGATTACCACATAATCTTTCATACTAATGCCCGAGGTTGACCAGGATTTGAGACAAACTTAGCACTGGCTTTATACTGGCAGATACAGAATGCTTTGTGTATGTATACCGTGCGTGTGTGCGTGAGTGCGTGAGTGCGTGTGTGTGACCGTATTTCTAGATACACAGGTGTAAATGTAAACATTGTGTTATTTACGTTACAGGTGTCTCCTTTGATTTCTGGAAGTCTAAAAAAATGTGCTCTACAAACTTCCGGTAAGCCCAAACAAAGTCTTGAAAAGTATGTATTTAATTTTTTTTTTTAATGTTTCTTATACGTGATCGTGGAATATGAAATAACCAGCAGGCATGTTTGTATTAAATTAATAGTTTTCGCAAATTTTATTATAATGATGTCTTCTGAGTACTGCTTGTATTCATAACCCCAGCTTGTCTGGCATCCCTCCCCACGGCTATCTCGAGCACCTGCCGCCTGACTGACAACTGCATGGGCATAACGTGTTGTGTGGACGTCGACCTGAAGTACCTCGGCATCTACTCCATCACTGCCGGCATCGAGGTTGACCACTGCAATGACCAGCTTGTGTATCATATAGAGAACAAAGAGTGGTCAAAGAAGCTTCAGGTTGTGGAATATGGTGAGTAACTGCGAGGTAACTCGGGTACCGGGGGTAGGTATACTTAAAACAAAATGCGTTCATAAAAATATTTTTTCTTCACATTTTCAACCCTGTAACTCACACCACACCTACAGTCGCTGGGCTGAAGTTATATATTGATGAATGCTGCTCTCATAATTAAGTAAAACATATCTATAGACTTTAGTTTCATTTCAAGCTGCAGAGGCCAAGTTTCCAGGATTGTACTTCTTGTATGTGTTTAGTGTTTTAACCCAGAACCCCAAGAGAAAGGACAATTGCCACCCGGACCACTGCCACCTAGGACAATTGCTACCCAGTTATTTTTACTATAATAGTGAGGACAATTGCCACCCAGAAGTTTTATGTGATTATATTTGAGAAAATGAATGCAGGTTGTCAATAAACACACATTTAGATGATGAAAAGTCAGTGTTTTCTTGGTATATATATATATTCTGACTTTGATTAACTTTTCACCTTAAAGTAATTTTCACTTTGATGAATTTTTTACTTTGACGAAATATTGACTTAGATGAAAACATATGATTACAGTGATAAGAAGATCAAGTGTTTAGAAAAACAATTTATAAGAGCTTGGGTGCTACTGTCTGAAATATAGCATGCTGAGATGAATGTTTTGATAATGTGAGTAAACAGACTTTGCTAGAAAAACAGTTCAAATCTACAGGTTTCATCCTTTGGTTCAGCATTAAATGAAATTTAGTAGTGATTTTAGTAAATTAAACTGCTGTTTACACACATAAAATTAGTGTTTAGTTCGGATTATGGATAGCCATTTATTGCCATGATTATGAAGGCTATCATTTTTATTGCATTGAGTTTTTCAACATTGGAAATTTCTTTCAAATTAACCAAAACCCTTTGAAGTTTTGGAGCATGTTGTATATTATGTTTGGCAGCTAAGATAATATGATTCAGTATTTCAGTGTATAATGTTCAAAACCAAACATGTTTTTTTGTTATTTTAATTGTGTTCTCAATATAATTATTCATCCAAACTTCAAATTCATTCCAGAATGTGTGTGTTTCTCTACATTCCCAATAAACACGATAAATACTCTAATTCAGCTCATTACATAAAACAGCAAACTAAATTGTCAACAAGTAGTTCTTTTTTAGTATAGATAATACCAAGTAAAAACTTGTATTGGAAATCAAGTAGTTTGACATCTTTCAAACTATGTCTGTAAGTCATAAAAAATCTATTCCAATCAAAAGTAACATTAGCAAAAGATGCTTGCCATTTAAGACACACTTTGGGTAAATCTTCATTAGAAATCAATGAGTCATACAAAATTATAGAGCCCCTTTCCATGATTTCAATAAATTCAAATGACATTCAGTTATGAGTAAATTAAAAACTAGAATATTTCTGGAGTGTATAGTGGTATATTTCTAAGAATCTTAGATATGCTGTCATTTTTTAAAAAGTATCAATTTCATCACGAGCAGCCTTTAAGCTTTGTTCACTCCCATCAAGAAATAATTCAGTATCATCTGCATATTGATTTAATTTACACTCACATTATTGTCAATAACAATACCTTTTATGTTCTTATTACTTCTAATCATACAACCAAGTATTTCGGCGACAAAAAAATATAGAGGTCTGGTGACAGAGGATCTCCTTGCTTCAGAGAGTTTACCATGTTAGGTTACACAGAATGTTGTTTCATATGTCATTATATTTATCCAATGAATTATTACCAAATCTAGCTAAAACAATATTCAAGACATCTTTTGTAGATACTGTATCGAACACCTTCTTAAAATCTATGTTGATGAAAGCTGGTTATATGGAAGAATATGTTATTATTTGTTATGTCAAACTCAATAAAAGTTGGTAAATTATCCTAGGTGGCAATTGTCCTAGGTGGCAATTGCTCGGTGGCAACAGTCCTAGGCCAAATGCCAAAATGAGTAAATTTCAATATGTACAATAATGACTAACAGTACGTTTTTGTTGTAAAGTCCTTTTGCTGTTCCGCTAGACAAGAACCACACTGTGTTAGTTGGCAACGCCATCACCGTGAGCTACGTGATCAGCAAAACCGCGTCCTCCTATGAAGTGTCCTTCCACGTCAAGCTCTGTGTCATGAACGTACACGACCTCATCAACAAGTGCTACTACTACAAACTCCTAGATGAAAAGGTGTTCCAGATGCCGTCTTCTTGTTCACCTGTTGGACGAAGAAGGAAAAGAAGTCCTTTAGACCTGTGAGTGTTGCATAATACTTTGCTGAGGACACAGAGCGATTCATTTGGCCTCTGTTTTCATAACCCATGTATTCTTTAATATGTTAATTGATAAACATAATTTCCGGAAAATAGTTTCGTTTATTTCTCATAACGAATGTTGAAGATGTAACTAGGTTGAATTCCTGTGGCCTTCTTCCTTTTCAGAATACATACAGGCGATGCCAAACGGATCCTTAATGATGCTATGAACCAGAACTTTACAAATGAAGAAATCAAGGATCTTTTTGAAAGACTGAAGACTGAAGCAGTATGATACTATTTTGTAGCGTTTGTTTTTTGCCACTAACATGAATTTTCTTTATGGAGATCTGGCGATGAATTGAGTATGCTCTCAATGATATATGAATGTTATCCTCGGCACTGGTGTTTTGAAGATCACTGTCCTCAATTCATCGATGTTTCACATGCCGACATGATTTTGTGCTTTACAGCGAATGTGTTTTAAAACCGAAATATCTTCAAATTTGAAAAATACATGCTTTGAATAAGAACTTCATTGCAATACAAGTTCTCTACCTTCAGAAGAGGGACAACTCACTGATGTTCACCCGCACAGATGATGATGGCACAGCCACCAACACTAAGAGTGCCATCAGAAAGATGGGTATGGCCAACCCAGGAACCATTCTGTACTCAGGGGAGGTCGGCAGAGGGAACGTGGTACTCGGCATGGAAGGAGGTGAGAGGGTTTAGTGTCACGCAATAAGCATAGAATTGTTGAGTTCAGAGTAATTAAGGCATATATATTTTGTATGTTTTGTGCGATTAGTTTCGTATGCACTCTATCATATATAAGATTACAACGAATGTGTTTTAAAACCGAAATATCTTCAAATTTGAAATATACATGCTTTGAATAAGAGCTTATATATATAGATTGTCTAAATTATTGTTGTTTTTTCTTTGGCAACATCAGAGTAGCACATTGGTTATCTATGCCATGACAATAAACTATATCTTTTGTAGGTGTGAATGCGCTTTGCTAAATCAACATTTCTTTCTCCGATTGGATTGCAGTTCAATGTCTAATTACAGGCCACATGTTTATACTTGAAAGTATATATTGTCCACTTGAACGTGTAGATGAATGTCCGTTGATAGATTTACGAACTTGTACAAATCTGAAATGGCTTTGCAAGTACCTTTATGCAAAAGGTCAATAGTTAAAGGAATATGTCTAAAAACCCAACGTATCTTTACGTTAACGTTTTTTGCACTTTTTTAAGGAAACAAAAATAAAACCAACGAAAATGATGACATTAAATCCTTGCCAGATGCAGTTTATATATTAGGGCTGTGTCATGAGCAGCATGTTTCTTTTAATGCCTCACTCTCAAAAAGTGACGATATCAGGGGGAAATGTGTGCATATCCTGCCTGACCGGTGGCACCCGCCACTAACGCTTGAAAGTCAGCTGAAGAACACGGGAACATGTGATATATACGTCAAAATCGGAACTGCTTAGGATATAATTTCTGTCATTGATATACATTAAATTTTGAAATGTCTTTCACATGTTGTCTATAAAGGTTAAAGCTTTACTTGGACTTTGAACGTTTAAACAACGCTGTAGCAATAATACATCCGAGTCATTCAAAACCATTTAGTTGAATAAATTCAAATTCGTGAAACCTATTACGTCTGTACCCCGAGTGACATGTCCAGAATATTGCTGCACGCAGCAGCTATCAGAGTCCCCGACACATCACACGCAGAACTAGCTGCTTCATTCCTCTAGCTTGGCAAGCAGAGCTTGTCGGTGAGCTTGCTGGTTAAGAGTCCCGTGTGTTCATCACACTTTTGTATTGTTCTTGGTTCACCTAGGCGAGAAGATCATGAAGGTCCTGGGTCAGGTCACCGACATCCTGGGTCGCGGGGACCAGGCGTACACTGTTGGGAAAGGTCTGACTGGGAAAGGACTGGAGCTGCTTGGTGCTAAACTAGCCAACATGAGTATTGGGGAGATCATAGCCATGTTTGATGCCAAGAACATCGACCCTGAACTTGCTCTTCGACTGACGAGACAACTGAGAGATCTGGCTCTTGCCCTGGTAACGTTTTAGTTATGTTGATATTTAGTTATCCATAATTAATGTTATATATCACATTCCATGTTCCAGGTGTAAGATAAAAGAATGAAATCATCTTCATATATGTATGGTAGCCCCAACATTATTAGCAGTATTTGTTCGAATTGTTAGTGATTTTGCTTTTAAATAATCGCAACAGTTATAATCATCAATGATTGTTCTTGCATGAACTTCCACTGGTGGCTTTGAGGAATTCATTTGGCTCAGAATATGAAAGGTCAAGGTCATGAATTTGAAAAAGATTACCAAACATTTTTTGTAAAACATTAGTGATGTCACTGTTTTTGGGGTTCATGGTTACCTTTCTGCGAGCTTAGAACACGCAAAATATGTTTTAAAGGTCAAGGTCAATTTGGTTAAGATCATGTTCAAGACGTACACTTCTTTTTCTCTACTTATATGATCAGATGACATTTATCGTGATACAGATATAGAAATTTTATAAATGTAGACGAGTGCTAAATGTGCCGAGAGAAATATCAATATTTACCATCTAAATACTAGTGCCTGCTGTAGCATATGTTATATTTAGGAATACACATTCTCAATAAAGTACAGATTTTAGTACCATCCCGGATTCGAACCCTCACTCTTAGAATCAGGGCCCTAATCGCCAACACAAAAGGCAGCGGTCTCCAACTCGTCCACTGCGACTTCCACGTTCTTACTGTCATTGTTGATTCAGCGTCGGTCGTGCAGTAATATATATCACCGCCGTTATATAACTGAGAAAATTCGTAGTGCAAGCAAATGATATTCTCCCTGACGTCGTCAGCTCTCCTAATGCCGTTGATATTTATGTCATCTCTCCAATTTCAGTATTCAGATATCATCAATGCCATCATCAACGGCGATGGAACCAACGCATTTAGTTCTTTTGACATTACCCTTCAAGGAGATTTCAGTATACCCAGAAAAAGCATCTCTTTCTTCGAATACGAATATTTCTTCCTGATTGGAGGATTCGTACCCATGACCTTTAGTGAGTATGGGTTTAGAAAACCCTAAACACGATTGACTCTGGATTGAAAGGAATGTCAGAGTAATGTTTCAAATGTTTCTACATCCAGGCTGTAATTGTTGTCACTTTCACTTTCACTGTCACATGCCACATGAAGTATGCATGCATTTTTTTCCTTTCAAGGAGCAATGGCATCAGCTTTTTGGCCAAACATAAGGTCGTCTCATTGAAGACATGATTCCTCACACGGGTACAATATGTGAAGCTCATGAGCTGAAATATGGCTTAGTTCATGCTCTTGGCCAAGGTTAGTCACGATATGGCTGAAATATTGCCGATGTGACTTTAAATCTTAACTCACTCACTCTTGGTCAAGGTACTTTTCCAAGTATACGATAGAACGACATAGAGAGTCAAAGGAAACTTGTCATTGAGGACTGCGTCCCACTGATCCGCTGATGATTGGTTCTAATCCCATATATTTGCTCAGATTATGATCCTAGAATACTTTACCATACCTGTTCATTCAGTGCCATTTATAATGTATGTGCTCTTTCGGTGTAGATTGGTAAACGGTTACTATGCGACTGATCATGTGACCTTTCGGTGTAGATACTAACATCGTTATCACGCAAGTGATGATACTGATCCTCACGTTAGTTGCAAGAGAGAAGATGTATGGCTACAGAATGTTGTCTTTCTTTCTGTGGGCTTTCTTTTTTTCCAAGCTGATAAACTGAGTATTGTTTTCAACTTCACTGACACATTTACGCTTGAGAAATTGTTTTACATTTGTTAGTACCATACCACTCCACTGCATTCCCCTCCACTCCACTCCACTCCACTCCACTCCACTCCACACCACACCACTCCTCTCCTCTCCTCTCCTCTCCTCTCCACTCCACTCCGCTCCGCTCCACTCCACTCCACGCCTGTCCGCTCCTCTCCTCTCCACTCCACTCCACTCCACTCCGCTCCGCTCCACTCCACTCCACGCCGCTCTGCTCCACTCCACTCCACACCACTCCACTCCACCTCCACACCTCACCCACTCCACACCACTCCACACCGCGCACTGCACCGCTCCACTCCGCTCCACTCCACTCCACTCCACCGCCACTCCACCCGCTCCCTCCACTCCCTCCCTCCCTCCACTCCTCCTCCCTCTCCCTCCCTCCGCTCCACTCCACTCCACTCCACTCCACTCCACTCCACTCCACTCCACTCCACTCCATGATGTATGGGCGTATACCACGTCATCCACTGCATTCAGCCTCTGCAATCTTCAGAGTTTGGAGCCGGAGCTTCTTATGGAATGGAAATAGTTGTCGGGGCTAAGATCCTTGGCATGACGGTGTTCGGTGAAGTGGTACCCTATGGAAGTGCCCATGTTTACGGAGAACTTGGCATCGGATTTATACTGTATGGCAAGCTGAGATTTGATGGTTACCTCATGAACCTTGCGTTCCCGTCCAGGGCTGAAATAGGGTTCTATAAGTTCCCACTTGATTTAAGGTAAGTATTCTACATAAATTAGTTAACGTGTCTCAAACCAAACACATGCGCATATCACATGGTGATTTATATTATATCATTCTATACAGCCTAGATACTAAATAGGTATGTGGTTAAGTTGCGTACTGTTTGAGAATGCGTGGTACTTTAGTGTTTGTCAGATTGACCCCAAAGAATTTGAAGGGCATTGTTCCTAACCATGTGGTGCCGCCTTTGGCCAGAAACCTTTATGGAAGTATGCCTCTGCTTATCCAGATAATATGAGCATTGTGCCATGAACATATGTTCTCATGCAACTGCAATGTTATTTCAATGATGTAACATTTACCTGAATATTACTGGAAAACTGTTGCAATATTAAAATGCCCTCAAGGAATCATGAATCATATGCCTCATTTGCGATCCTCTCTAGTCTGAAGATGGACATAGAGCTGGTTCCTCTGGAGATGACCCTGCGGGGACTAGTTACCCTGGAGGTCAATCTCTGGCTCGTCACGATCAAGAAGATATTGTACCAGGCAGTTATCTGGCAATATGCTACTCCAGTGATAAGGAAAAGACTGATAGACACAGGCAAGAAGGAGGAGGACAAGTCTCCACCACAGTTCCTCAACTACGTGGACAATACGGTACGTTTAAGAACATTTTCGAAGTAAATTACACATGCTACATTTTTATTTGTTTCTGTTACCCATGAAGATCCGGGAAATTGTTCTCAGCCATGCTTGTAAAGGGCGGCTGACAGTATCAGGTTGTCAAGCTCGCCGACTTGGTTAACAAGTATATTCGATGCTTATGCTGTTGATCACCGGATTGTCAGGACAAGACTCATTTACATCATTTACAGACTGCCGCCATAAAGCAGGAATATTGCTGAGTGCGGTGTTAAACAATAAACAAACATTTGCTTCTGTATTTACAAGCCTTTTCTATCATGTTTCATCAGTCCAGCAAAGGGCGGAACATCGTTTCACAAAGCGAACGTAGCCCTACGGCGGTGGTAAGTCTATGTTAAATTATAGGAGTTACCATAGCACTAACATCGACTTATTAAACGGGTTCCTGGTTTGTCAGTTCAGAAATGTAATAGTAGAGAGTCAGAGGAAAAAACTGATGCACATCCATGTATATCCATCAGGGAGGTCCTGGCCGAAAGAAGAGAGCAGTGTCCACATCGCGGAGCTGCTTAGTGAGACAACTCCCCAATAGAGACTACACAGAACCGGCTGTAGAGATAGCCATAGCTGCCCAGGATGACCGGAGTCAGGTCCAGATCTTTGTGGATGCTGGCACCAAACCTGGACTCAGTGATGTGCTGAGAAAATCCACCCTCGGTGGACCATCAACAATTATCACTCAGGTATGGAGCCGACGTAGGAGAATGCCTCTGTCATCATCCCATGCGCATGAATGGTTTCTTTGTTCATTTAAGTTCTTTTTACTACTTTGTAATCGTGGAAAGTGATTAAGCCACAGGCACAAAATCACTTGCCTCAGGCACACTTATGTTGAACAAAAGTAAATCAGACTTGGGGACAACACCATTCATGTCACGTTTTTTTCAATACTTTTATAGTGAATCAACCTTACACACACACACACACACACACACACACACACACACACACACACACACACACACACACACACACACACACACACACACACACACACACACACACACACACACACACACACACACACACCATCCCCCGCATCCACCCACCCCCGTTTTCTGAGGCAATCATACTGATTAATCACATGGCTATTATTAGAAGTCTGTCATCACCATCATAATTCGTATTGCAAATGTTATATAATAAAGTGTGAAAAACCACGCACTTCGAATATGTTGACGACAGATGTCATTGTTAATATTGATGCCTGTACTTCCTTTACAATAATTATTCTATATAGAGATTTGTATGTCTCTTGAAGGGAGCAGATAGCACTCGCCATTGTTACATTTCTCACAGAGACAAGTATGAGAAATATATAATTTTAAGTTTGTATTGACAGACCACCTCATTGGTCTAGTGGACAGTGTGTCTTTCTACAGTACGGAAGGTCGAGTCCGTTGTAGAGTCATACCAAAAATCGCTTAAGGAGTGTACTACCCCTCGTTACAGCATTGCGGGGTTTTGTTGTAGTTGAAATATTGTGTCAGAACTTGGTGTCCATGTGTAATTGTTTGTATTATTGTAGCTCAGTTGGCGTGTACAGTGTTATAAAACCGGAATAAGTCTGGAAACCACACACGTGCATGCACGTTACCATTTTAGTAGAATCATCTTGATTAATATCTATATTGACAAGTAGATATTTCAGAACTCTATTTAGAGATGTAATCTAAATTTATGACATTATCAATTTAAGCGATTTTCCAAGAATGGCTACGGTGTCCCCGTTTACTTCACGGTGTATGGAGAGAACAGCGCAGGCGCGAGATCCACCGTGACTTGCGCCATCCCCACCTATGACGTCACGCCCCCTGGTGGCAGATTGACAGCGGACTTTAGTTCAACCAGTAACCCAGCTGAGCTGAGAGGGAACGTGGTGGTGTATGAAGATTCCGATCTGGTTAAATCCTCTGTGGGTGTCGGACTGGGAAGAGGAATCTACGCAGATGAAATAATAGCCTACAACTCGGTCAATCTCAGAGGAAGGCACACAGCCGGCTATGACCGTACGGCAAATATGATATATCATACGATCGCCAGTAAACCTGATCTACTGTTTGTAACAAAACAAGAGCCTTATACCCATACGCGAAGATGACTAAATAATCAAACATAAAATGAATTGCTAATGAATTGTTATGATTAAACATAGCTCAACAAAGTAAGGGGTAAACATAAAATGTGGAATTGAAGATGAGTGACAAATAATCAAGAATATGGTCAGTTTTGGCAATACTTATACAAGAAAATAATTTTTTATACGTTTTCGAAGTGCATTATCACAACGACCACTCCGTAGTATACAGTTAACTCTACACCAGAAATGGTTGAATGTTTGTTCAGGCGGAGGGGGTAGCCCAGTGGTTAAAGCGTCCGCTCGTCACGCTGAAAACACGGGTTCGATTCCCCACATTGGTACAGTGTGTGAAGCCCTTATCTGGTGTCCCCCGCGATGATATTGCTGGAATATTGCTGCAAGCGGCGTAAAACCATACTCACTCATTCACGCTGTTTGTTCACAGGCAGGAAATAAGGCATTTCGTCCTGTTACCAGAGACGGTGCCATATCCCAAAAAGTATACACATTTGCAAACAACAAATATAACAGGTTGGATGTGTGAAAGATGATTGTTGTTACTGCTTACAGCTTCATCTGATCAGTATGGCCATGAAGCGTTAAAACAGTTTACGGGTCTGAAGAAAGGTCGGCTGATTGGCCCAGTGTTTGCCGAGTTCTCCAGGATGAACCACGCCGGGTCGTGTGTGAAGGAGTGTATGAAGTTCCCCGGAGACCAAATGTTTGAGCGTCAACTATGACTACGGGCCTAGTGGACATTGTGAACTGTTAGAAGGCATTGAAGGACACGACCATAAAATCTTCATTGTAAGTATAGATTAGGCATGTATCTAGGAAAACACTTGCATGTATCTATGCTATTATCATCATGAGTGTATTTTATATTCTTTATACGACAATTGACCCCTATCCATTAATAAAAAGGGAACTAATCAAAACAGGGAATGAATATCTTTTTTGGTCACTGATAAGTCAATTACGTGTCTGCAGTGAAACTGTGTGAACAGTTTGCCTTCACATCTGAATGCTGCAATCGTGATCACAAAACCTTTGAGGAAGAGTTGTATGACATTCTTCGAAATCTTCGGAAAGATAGCATGTTCCATTGTACATCAAAAGTTGTTATTAGCAGACACCAAAGGTTGAAGTTTTTGAAATATTGCTCCACGGAAAGGAAAATTGGAAATATCAGTCATCCCTCGTCTTACAGCCTTGGGGGTAGTTTGTTATCACTCTGCGTCATTATACACGGAACTATATCTGATACAGAAGAAACGGTTTCACTGTCACTGATTTTTAGTTTAGTTGGGTAAAGCAGTGACATAGAACAGACTGAATATCGATACTCAGGAAGTTTAACTTACACTTGATCAATTTCAGTTCATTTGATTTTGCCTAGGCGAACAGAACCTCTGATTATTTTACAAAAAAGAAACAGATCGACAGTTTATGGAACACTCTCGTGCACATGGGGATGCCTACTTCTTCCTTATTGTCTTTCCCCAAATTCTATAGAAGTCCGGTATTTCACGTATTGCCTGTTATGAAAGTTTCACAGCTATTGATCCCATTACATCACAAGGAATCGGTATCTGAGGATAGTGAACAATGGATATACTTATGCACTGACGTTCTATATCAAGCAAACTTTTGTACTGAATCTCTGAAGATGAAGGTATAACTAATTTATATCTATAACTACAATAATTTTGTTTTATGCAATTTCATGTTATGCACAGTTACTTTTTGCCGTTAATATAAGTGAAACATAATTTTTTTACATAATGTAACTTCATTCATTTCCGAGATTGTAATTTTCCATCCATATGTTAGGCCGTGTATCACTATATGACTTGCATACTCGGATGTGTATTGTAATCTGTTGGTAAAAGTGGCTTGAACTTGCCCTCCTGACCACTTTTGAATCTCACCCCTTCACATCACAACAGTCATGTTGCCAGTTTCGCTTGTCAGCAGCTATCTCATTTGGAGCTCTGTAATTCTTCTTGTGGGCAAAACACATACCGGCAATGGTAATCCACGATAACGACCTTTTCTCTAATTTGTGTACCTGTCGTTCAGCTTCTTGAACACAATCCTGACTTGAACCTAATAGACAGGACACGAAACAAGACATAATTCCGAGATAATGCCCCAACTGTATATTTTGCTACCTTGTGCGAGCCGAGACAAAGAAATACCAGGAAAGCATGAGTCTCTAATATATTCTATAGTTAAAATACTGATTTGATATCAAACTATCAGGAATGGTTTTCTCAGCGTATAAGGGGAAGGACATTTCTTACCTTGCGTATCTTCAAGTATTTTTTTCAAGAAATATTTTGAAACATGTATGATGTATGATGTATATGTATATGCCACTGAAACACATCATGTATGATGTACACTAACCACACATCATTCTTTATCCTTGTAGTCTGATCAGTATTCTCACTATGAGAGGCTTGGAGTTGGTCTTGCCCACGAGTTCATCTACAAGGATTTGTCTCTACGTCACGGGGTCATGTACTACTTCAACCTCCACCTTATCAACAACCTACAGTTTGATTCCATCCTCCATAGCAAGGGGGTCGTGGTTGATTTAACACCTCCTGAACCAGGTAGGATTTCACTTTAGCCACAATTTGTTGCATTATTGTGTCCTTGGCCTGGAAACCCGTGAAGATTTGGGTTAGAATTGATCTTCAGTAACCCATGCTTGTCGTAAGTGGTGACAAACGGGATCGGGTGGTCAGGTTCGCTGACTTGGTTGGCACATGTCATCGTATCCAAATTGCTAAGATCGATGCTCATGCTGTTGATCACTTGATTGTCTGGTCCAGACTCGATTATGTACAGATCGCCGCCATATAGCTAGAATATTGCTGAGATTGTTTTATATACTGGCGTCAAACTTAACTCCTCACTCATTAAGAGGCGACTAATGAGATCGGTGGATGAGGCTCGCTGACTTGGTTGACATGTGTTACCGTATCCCAGTTGTGTAGATTTATGCTCATGCGGTTAATCACTGGATTGTCTGGTCCAGATTCAATTATTTACACACCGCCGCCATATTGCTGGAATATTGCTGAGTTAAATAACCAACCAACCAACCAACCTTGTCCTGTAAAAAGCTATGATTGTTTTTTTAGCGACATATCTGACTGAGTGACGTTCCTTCCACTTGACTATCACCATGCATTAAGCATTGCTCATGCGACCCTGTTATACCCTTGCTCTACGTCCATCTATGTTCTGTACTTCAAGTTTACTGGGATAATAACACATCTGAATCTGATGTTGTGCTACGGTTTTACAAATTCCCGTCTTTATCTGAACTCATTATTCAGGTCCACTGGCTAATGTGAGTCTCGATGTCCTGGAGGTGACCTCGTGTGAGAGTGTGGTTCCAGATGACAGACCAGACTGGGAAGTCAGGTGTCGAGGTGTCAACAGTCAGTTAAAAAACCACAGGTGAGAGATCTGACCACAAAGGTTATATTTCAATGATATTTCATGAGTTCCTGGAGAAAAAGTGAATATCACAGCATTCTCAAATCTCAGGCCACATGGTTATGTAAAGTTGTGTTGACTTAAAATCTTATTCTCAAGGTAACCGCTCCATTTTCAGGATAATTCATGATGGCACTGGATCAAAAACCGTTTTCAATGGGGACGAACCCCTTACTGATCTCCTATACACCAGAGCAAACAGATACGTATCAGGTTGGTGAAAGAGGTTATTTGTTTCGAGGTCAGATATATCGTATTAAATTTGGTATTGACTGTAGAATAATTTTAATCTTTCGTTTACTGTCCTAAATGTTCTCTTATGTACAAAAAGACCTCTTTGTAGACATTACTAAACGTAGTTGGACGTTTTTGGTTTGCGATTTTGTACACGTTTGATGTATGGTAATTCATTTTTAACATGTTCATTTTTTATATCATCCTCAAACCATCATTTTTAAACCATCATGACGATTTTCTGTTTGCACCTATGTTCCAGCTAACTGGGACGGCATCATGGACAAAGAAACGGGCATACTGGGCTACTCCTTGACCGCAGGGACACAGATCTGTGAGGAGCTGATTCACCCCCATCATGACCCTCACAGGCACCTGTTTGACGAATCAGAGTGGACCCACACTGGACTCATCTCCCCTATACCGGCTCCATACGACCCTCTCGCTGGTAAAACAGAAACATAAAACTTTTAAACATAAGACCATTCAATAACCTAAATACTGTAAAACAACTTTGTATCGACGTTTGATGTGTCGAACTTGTTGTTGTCTGGAAGCAAAAGCTGGAATTGATTATGTAGAGGCCCCCGCTATACAACTACTGTTCAGGACAGTATGAAACACAATCTTACTTCGTAATGATATATGTTAGGCTTAGATCGGCCACTATAGAAAACTAAGAAACACTCATTCAGTTACATCTTTGTCTTGTTTCAGATGGGAAATACTACATCACACTGAGGGCCTTGAACAAGGTTGACTATGGAGGTCCACTTGTAACAACAATCTGCCACACCACGCCGCTAGGGGTGGACAACTCACCACCACTCCTGTATGAAATCTATAACGTCTCCTACAACGAAGATACCTTCTTCATTAATGCGCAGTACAACGCCAGGTAATATTGTGTTGACGAATATATTTGTATATTTGAAATGTCGTCTGTCTTTAAAATTTGTATTGAACTTAACTCCGATCAAATTAGGACAACCTTCATTTAGATATCTGCTAATGACCATTACTCCTCACAGTGACCCACATTCAGACATCAGAGAAGCAGACTTGTGTCTTGGACGGACCACACGTGACTGTCATCACATGGACTGGCAGAGGTCCTCCCACAATGATGGCGACATCACCCGTCAGTTCCAGATCCCGGGTGGAACTCCTGTCTGGATTAAAGTCCGGGTAATCAACAATGGTGAGTTATAACTGAGAAGTTCGGAACATTGATGGCGACATCATCCATCAGTTCCAGATACCGGGTGGAACTCCTGTGTGGATTAAAGTCACGGTAATCAACAATGGTGAGTTATAACCTAGAAGTTCGGAACATTGATGGCGACATCGCCCGCCAGATCCAGATACCGGGTAGGATTCCTGTGTGGATTAAAGTCCGGGTAATCAACAATGGTGAGTTATAACCTAGAAGTTCGGAACATTGATGGCGACATCGCCCGCCAGTTCCAGATACCGGGTGGGATTCCTGCCTGGATTAAAGTCCGGATAATCAACAATGGTCAGTAATGGTATCAGGTTTGTAACAATTAGGGCGACATCAATGGCTAGGTTCAGATACAATATTAAGCTGCTGTCTGGATTTAAGCCATCACCCAGGACTGATACTGTATATCGTGATGATAGAAATAAAACTGAAGATTTGTCTAAAATAAAATATTGCTCTTTGGAACGTTGATTGGCATAAAGGATGTTCGTTTCATTGCAGAAACAATACCTACTTGCATAAGATCCTACGTGGCATACAGATAACATGCCGATAGGGATTAAAGTTTGTTTTGAATAACTGTCGGGATGTATAGCTTCAAAAACGATTTGCTTATACATTGTTTAACTCCACAATCAGTAGAGCCCACCAGGTCTCCGACTGTGACATCCTCATCGTCTTCTGTCACCATCGTCTTAGGTTGCTGACGATAAGTATCATCTTGAGACCTCACGGGTTATTAACACATGGATTATTTTGCATATTACACAAAGTATCAGCTATTGGTTTTGTGTTTCAGTTGATTTAATGAAAGTGGGAGTGTCCGACCATCCGATCATAGTGGACACATCTCCTCCTGAACCAGGCATTGTGTATGACGGACCCTTCTTCAGACATGACCTCAACTTTACCAAGGATGCTGATAAGGTAGATATGTATCTATTTCACATGAAACCTTCTGTGTAAATAGTTGATAGCAATCTTTACGTATTCAATTTAACTGGATATACATCCTCCAATGACCTTTAAAGTTCCACTAATGTCCATGTCTTTACCCAAACGACATATATTCAATCTATAATGAGTTTTGATATCTATGTGCCAGATCTGTATCAGCTAGTTTGGAGTCTCTGCCCCCGAGTCTGGTATTCCGTCTCTAATGATAACTGACCTGTATATTCCAGATCTGTACCAACTACATGTAGTTTGGGTTCTATAAGCTTGAGTTTGTCTTTCCGCCTACAAAGAGACCTGATCTGTATATTCCATATTCCAGTGCGAACTGGTTTGGGTTCTCTGTCCCCGAGTCTGGTATTTAGAACTCATCTTTGCATTCCAGATCTGCGCAAACTGGTTTGGGTTCTATGATCCTGAGTCGGGTATTTCCAACTACGAGGTGTCGGTTCTTGATGACACAAACACAACAATCTCCGAGCCGGTCAGTCTTGACCATAAGACACACGATACCTGTGTTCAGCTTAGCTCTAACCAGAGGCTCGAACACGGCAAGGCCTACAGATTCTACACCACAGCATTCAATGCTGGCCACAAACAGCTGAACGTCTCGGCAATGTCAGATGGAGGTAATGATGTTTGGCAACTGCTATTATATCGTTGCTTACATGGAGAGAGGGAGAGTGTAAAGGTTGCATCATGAAAATACACAGGTTTTATTTGACAGCGTGTTACGTTCATAGTTCACTAGGCAGGAAAAGGATCATTTGTGTGTGCATTGGTCATAGACGACAATTACCATGAGTTCTCTCATGTTCATATCAGCGTTCATCGCTGATAGAATTAGCCCTAAATATCCAGATATGTCATAAATGTATATGGTTTTACGCCGCTCTTAGAACTTTTCCAGCAATATCACGGCAGGGGACACCAGAAATGGGCTTCACACATTGTACCCATGTGGGGAATCGAACCCTCACCTTTTGCGTGACGAGCGGACGCTTTAACCACTAGGCTACCACACCGCCCCATGGTCACTAAGTGTGACAAGGATGACTCTGTATGAGTAAGGTTTCTCACATGACAAGAATTGGGTACATACCTGGATTGCCCAGCAGGGGTTCGAATCATAAGTTTCAGTAGGCCCACATTAAGGATCTCTATATTATTAGCACCATAAACTTCATCACAGAGATACATATCTAAAACATGGGTACCAGGGCTACCACCACCACTCCCTCACCCCTTGTCCATACAAATGCCCATTCAACTAACACCCTATGACATCACTGGAATACTGACCCTTTTCCAGTGATCGTGGATCTGACTGCCCCTGTGCCGGGTGACGTTGTTGACGGTATACGGCACAGCTTTGTCGACGTTGAGTTCAGTACCCACGTTGCCACAGTTGGAACCCAGTGGAGGAACCATAGTGACCCCGAGTCCGACATAAGAGAGTTTGCTGTACAGATACTAAGAGCAAAGTAAGTCGGAGGGATCATTTCACTGAGGAAGCAGATGCAATAGTAAATGATACACTAACTCAAGCAATGCATTTGTAACTGCCACGTATACATGTATACAGGATTAACACTGAATTACATTATTCCAAATCGGGGCAGAATTAAAAGAGTGATGGGGTAGGCATTCATACAAGCAGCGTACCTGTAAGAGTGGAAAATCAATTTTTGCGAAATTATGGGATTATGATTATGAATACAACGCGAATTTTGTCAAAGTCAAGTCAGAGATGATAATTGTACTTAAGGCCTCCGGCCCATATACAAGTAATACAAGTATGCATATAGCACATTTTACAGACATTTTGCAAAAACAAATTACAGTTCAGATAAGCGGTTGCTTCTACCGATAACAGCATGTTTTACATAAAGTGATTGATTGCGTATTAAATTTTTCATTTTTGGAGGGTAGAATGGAAACAAAGGCAGTTGAAGGATATTTTAACAGATAAATATTTGGGATACATTGTTATCTTTAATCAGCATAATGTTGGCATACAAAATCAAAGTGAATTTCATCTTCTTCAGCCGAGTTACATAATGGACATATTCTTAAACTTCTTTCTATTGAAAATGTGAATTCCAGAGGGCTGTCGTCAGAATTTGAGATATTAAGAAACTGGAACACTCTGGGCAAAGACGTCAGACAGATCGAGTGGCACAACTTCCACCTGAACCATCAGGACATTGTCAAGACGAAACTGAAGACCATCAACAACGCCCTGGGTACTGTAGAACAGACAACAGATGGGTTTGTGGTGGATCTCACTCCGCCCAGGATGGTGTACCTAGGTGATGGACGTGAACAGAACAAAGACACGGACTTCCAGGTGAGGCATTGACGTGATACCACCTTTAACACATTTTTGTCTTCTAGGTGTCACGTCTTTGATTATGTTTGACACCAATGGTACAATGTATGTGTTGAATTTGTACAGACCAAAGATGCGGAGAACCAGGTGAACCGTAATATAACGTACATGCATGAAATATACATTCAAAGTTTAAATGCCCCTTGTAAGTTGGTGTTGAAGATGTTTTCATCCTTCATTATGTTTGAGAACTGTGGTATGATCTGGATCTACAACTGACACGAACAGATCAAAGATACGGGGATCCAGGTTGATGATAAGCCCAGTGCCTTGGATGTCATGTGTTGTCTCTATTGTCTCTAAAATCCCGTTATAGTCGCAGTTGTCGCCGAAGTTCCTGAATGACTATTTTAGGATCAGTGACATTTTTAACGATGATAAATAGAAACTGTAGAAATGTTTCGTAATTTCATTGTCATTTTTTAGAACACCTGGTGTCATTCATTCAGTGTTAATTGTCGTCTCATATAGTTTGAAACAAGAGCATGATGCACCCAAAGCTTTATCTTCTATAAACTCAATGTATCTCCTTAAGATTTGTGGTATCTACTTGCAGACATCCAGCACTACTGTTGAAGCCAACTTTCAGTTTCAAGACCCCGAGTCTGGGTTGGATCATTACAAATACCAGGTGTATGAGCTTTACCATGGGTCAAAACATCAGATATACCCAGGTTAGTAATATTTTTGATGAACAGGACACGATCTATTTTTATGGATTATACTCAACAGCCTTGCAAAGGATGTCACATGCTCAGAATATGTTTATCAATATTTACATCACGATGGCATTCCAGACCTTATGGAAGCAAACGATTTTGCTGGGACAATAGTTAAGTATGAGATCATTATATGTAATGTTTAGACTGGAGATAAATCCAGTTTGACCACAAGGCACGAACAGAGGACCTGGGAATCCTGGCGCTGCTAAAGAAAGCAAACCTCTATGATTCAAGGTACATGACGGCTGGACTATTTTAAAACATATCTTTATTCACATGAAACGTTGAGTCGTACATGTACACCTGTACACCACAGGATGATGTGTTACTATATATTACCTAACGGGAACAGATTCAGAAGGTTGGGAGACCTCCAGCGACCCTAGCATCACCAGCCTCAGTCAGTCGGGCTTGAGTCTCCGGCCGGGCGCCCAGTACAGTGTGAGAGTCGGGGCCGTCAACAGAGCCGGGGCCGTAGCCACATACGACACAAACGGCGTCCTTGTTGATAATACTCCACCTCGGGTAAAACATACATATATACTGTATAGGTTTTTTTATAAAAATTATAGAAGACGCCGATTACAGTGCTTTACCCAATTTGAATGTGTTTTTACTACATTTACATATGAGTGAAATCGAGTATTATGCACAAAGATTAAACTGTTTAAATGAACACAGTCCAGACTTTTAAATGGATGAGTGGGTGTGTGAAGTACACAAGTTCAGATCATGTGAAAAATCCACTGCCGTCGTCCATAAAGACATCATTCACTTGGCTCTTACGACAAGTATTGAGATACTGGGGCCCGATCCACAAACCTTTCGCAGTGTTACGACCTGTCGTAACTCTAAAGTTTATCATAGGCTTACGAATCTGTGGTAGCTCTGGATCGACTAAGTGAGTGAGTTTGGTTTTACGCCACTTTTAGCACTATTCCAGCAATATCACAACGGGGAACACCAGAAATTGGCTTCACACATTGTATCCATGTGGGGAATCGAACCCGAGTCTTCGGCGTGACGAGCGAACGCTTTAACCACTAGACTACCCCACCGTCCCCGGCTGTTACGAAAATATGTCTGTTCCTTATCTGTATCACCGAACATTTCAGAAGAGTTTCACCATCCATTCTTGTTCGTTACAGATGAAATGGGTCTACGTTGGCATTTTCTCTGGCAGTGAAGAAGAGTTGATTGACGGTCACGTTATCCAGTCTGATCCAAGCGGTATCAAGGCCACCTGGTTTGCTGTGGACCATGAGAGTGGCATCAAGTCGTACATGGTCGCAGTTGGAACCACTAAAGGTTTGTATTCTCAGGATATTAATTTCATTTCTACTAAAGTCAATATCAAAGATTCTTAACTGAACCAGAGATATTCCAAAAAAGACAGGGGCGGTGGGGTAGCCTAATGGTTAAGCGTTCGCTCGTCACGACAAAGACCTAGGTTCAAATCCCCACATGAGTACAATGTGTGAAGCCCATTTATGGTGACCGCTGCTGTGATATTGCTGGAATAATACTAAAAGTGTCGTAAAACCAAACTCATTCACTCACCAAAAAACAAAACACCCTCTGTGTAGTTTATATATACTGTGCTAGGGGAGTAGGAGGTCTGTGGTTTGAATCCCCAGTCACGTCATACCAAAATAGGTTAAGTTGGTATTTGTTGTTACCCTACACGGACTGGAGTCGGTACCCATGTGTGGAATAGAACCCAGGTCTTCGGTGTGACGTGCGAACGCTTTAACCACTGGGTTACCCCACCGTCCCCCGTTGCATGGGGTCATTGTACTATGAAACCAGACCTGTACTTGCACACGCACGTGTTTGCACGTCGCTCTACAAGTGTACTGTGATGTAATTCCATTTTACCTCAACTCATCTTACACCAAATAGAGCAATCACATATTTGATTGGATACATTAAACTATTTTTCAGGTGGAACTAATATCCTAAACTGGAAGGACTTTGGTTCTGACAGAGACAAATACATGGACGAGTTGACCTTGAGCGTGACCGACCCTGACACGATGACCCCTGTTTACTATGTGTCTGTAAAGGCGAGCAATGGAGCTGATCTGACCGGTGACGTCATAACGTCAAACCCCATCCGGGTCGTTGACCAGGACAAAGCGGGTATGTATCGTCATTTGCGTATGTTTGTCATCAGCATCATCGTCGTCGTGAAAGTCATCGGCTTCACCATCGATCAGTCAAAAAATAACACATATCTTTATGACATCTTTTGCATCATATCAGATATGAACACTGAATAAATCTTTGTACAAAAGGTATTGTCATCGACGGCGCCGACTCCACCGAGAGAATTGACTTCATGGACATCGGTAACGACACGGACTACCAGAAAGACACGGGAGTTGTGACCGTACAGTTTGCCGGGTTTGAGAGCCACGAGCACGGTGTGACGTACTATGACTGGGCGGTAGGGACGGCACCTGGTGGCGAGGAGGTGCAACCGTTCATCATGGCGGGTCTTATGCACGAAGAAGCAGAGACCAAGGTTCCTGGAAATGGTGGGTTGAACATTTCAGCTCATACATTCTCATTTTTGATTTATTTTCCAAACATTGAAAATTCTTCCTTACTGACATTCTTCGACGCCTCAAAAACATTTTAGCATCGGCATGATAACAGCTGATAGGAAACATAATATTTATCATCCAAAACTGTGTTCCACTGGAGATATTGCTTGGGTGAGATCAAACGATATCTCCTAGCAGATATCGTTTTGACAGTAGATTTTGTATAATACCCTGAGAATGCTATGACGTCATGAACTTGATGATGTCACAATGCTAAGACATCGCTGCACTGCAAGTCTAATGGCAGTGACGTGTTCAAATATGTACATTTTACACTGAAAATTTATGAAGAGTGATTTTTGATTATATCTGAATCTCACCCCTGTGTCTTCTGATATCAAATATATCAACACTCGTTGTGAAAAGTAAAAATATCCTCGGCAAGACACGGATATTTGTAACTTTATCAACTCGTGTTGATATAATTGATATCACTAGACACATTGGTGATATTCTCTATATGTACATCATGTGATTTTCGACTTTTATTCAAGAATTACATGTTACATATTACGACATATTGTCCAGGTATCGCCAGCATGGGTTTTGGTCAGACTGTCCTCCCGCTGTCACCCGGCACGACATACTACACCACAGTTCGCGGCATCACCAACGGTGGCAACATCCTGGAATCCACGTCAGATGGATTTACTGTTGATATCACTCCTCCTGACATCCACATGGAAAGGTAAACATCAATGTCTACAAATCATAATTTGGTTTACTGTGTATTTCTCTTGTCGATAGTAAAAGCAAGCACCTGAAACATCACGTCCGTTAAAAAAGCAATGTTTACCATTATTCGCAGAGATACTTCTGAGAACCATAAGAACAAGGTCTTCACACATGATTAACCTTTCACTCACAGAAAAAAAAAACAGCAATGTGGTCTCAGAAGCAATGTACGTCAACTAAGCATTGTTCATGTTGCCTTCGCTGCTGTAGTGAGAACAGACAATGCAATGTGGTCTCCTCAGGCGCTAATCACTGGTCAGGTTTCGCTCACCACTGGAATCAGCCAGGAAAAGTGGTCCTTCCATCGCTATGTATTTCAACTAAGCTTTATTCTTGTTCCAACTCAGCTATGGCTCTGAGAGCAACCAGAGCAGACTGACCTCCACCACGACACTGTACCAGGCTGAGGTGGACTCCATCTCCTCTTCCTGGAAGGTTGCAGACAGTGAGAGTCCAGTCAAGAAGATGTACTACTCTGTGGGGACCTACCCTCACGGGGAGGATGTCAAGCCCAGGACTGAGGTGGACATCCTGCTGACCGGCGAGGGGGCGCTACCCACTGGCATCGAACCTACAACTGATGGTGAGAACTGACAGGGTTTAGAAATTATTATTACATAAACAATATCTGAGAGGGTAGAGGCTGTTAATCATTTTAGGAATTGATAAATAGTATTGATCGTATGATGTTACTGCTGACGCAGTATGAATTAATATTTGCGGTCTCACACAAATGCATGAGAAACTGCAAACAATGAAACAATCCTCACATCAATTAAGATTCCAATGCCTCCTTGTTTCGAAAAAACGTTGATCAATAACAAAAACAACTCGTGTCCAGTTTATGTCAAACGTTGTGTTTCGTGTTTATCTGTACAGTGCAGAGCAGACGTGAATTCGATATATGAGAATAATTGTACCAATAAATGTTTCAGGAAAACCCAATATTCTGACTCTGACAGCTGAAAATGAACTTGGATTGTCCTCAAGCATGATCTCCCCCTATCTTGTGGTTGACATCTCATCTCCAACAAAGGGAACACTGACATGTCCAAGCTTTATTCAGGTATGCGGTACAAGTCAATCCATTGTGAGAGATCCGGATCAGATCCTATACCACATGTTTTCTTACTTTCTTAGGTCATTCTCCTTTCTTGGTGTGTTCCCATTGGATCTCAATGCGCTAAAAAGATCTTGAAAAGGCTGGACACTCTTGGAGAGGTTGAGTTGGAACTCGGCTGGTTTGACCTACCCCTTGTCATGAAACCCTCCTTATAAAGGGGATCAATCTGTCAAACTCAGTGTCTTTGCTGAATGTTTGATCATCGTCCATGCTTTGGGTCACAGTTTGCCTAGACTCCATTTACAGGCCGAGTGCATTTTTAAAGATTGGCTCACTCACATCAATCGTCATTTCCCTAAGAACAATGCACATGTTATGCAGTTTCATTATTCAGAGTGGGTTGGACTTGATTTGACAGTCTTTACATTGAAGGTGTATATTGTGTTAATTAATGATGATATATATTATGTCTTAGGGAGGAGTTAATGTTCCACTGTTTCTGTTATATGGTTCCATATCCTGTCCAGCTAAGATTGTACCAAGTAGTTTCATATTGTTTGGATATATGTTGACAGCCGAGGTCTGCAGTGGAGTGCACATGGACAGGGTTCTACGACGCAGAGAGTCAGGTTGTAGAGTTTGAGTTTGCTGTTGGCTCTCATGAGGGGCTGGAGGATGTCATCACTCCTGTCAAGCTGCCGGGACATGCTGCAAAATATGTGGTTTCAGGTAGAAAATATAACTTTATCTATGTGTTAAACACGGTATGAAATTATAGGTTATGATACCATTCATCTTGAAATTATGGGTACCGTTCGCGGTTAATGTTGGACACTATGTAAAAGGATGGTCTTACATACGAGTTGTAAGGTAATCTCATGGAAAACTCAGCGTCTGGTAATTTATTAATGACGTTTTCATCCTTAGGCTTAGCTGATAAGGTGACCCACGGTCAGAGATACTATGCCAAGGTCAAGGCCATCAACCAAGTAGGAATGACGTCATCAATCATCTCCAATGCCATCAACGTGGACACCACACAACCAGCGCCGGGCACTGTGGTGGAGTTGAAGTCTGCCTACATCATCAACGTCACCGACGAGATCATCACCGAGAAACTGAACACCTACAAGTGTGACACAGAGGAAGGTGTGTACCACCATTGTGTCTTTGCTGAGTTTTCTAAGTTATATACATTGTGGCATGACGGACCAGCATGTATAGGAATAGGTTTTACCTATACTGGTACAGGCAGATGTTAGTTTCCGTATTCCGCTGTATTTAAAGAATTAACATACAATGTATGTAACATGTTAAAAGAATTAAATTGTATGACAATGAAAAACAGAATGATCATAAAGGACTTGCCTTAGCTGATAAAATCACGGCAGTCGTTTTCCGACCATCGTTCATTTCCTGAACAATTCTTTTTCAACTGAAAGGAAGTTGATCACCTGTTTAAAAACAATAACCTCGTCATATAAACATATGAAATAGTGGATGTAAACTGGTTCGATTCCATTCAGTATCTTCTAGTTTGGTTAATACATGGATTTTGTTCTGTAGCCGAAGAGTATGCATTCTATTCACACCATCAGTAATGCCATGTGTTACAAGTGTACATCCTATACAACTGTATATCCACAGACTGCCTGGCTATAGACGCTGTGTGTCAGGAGTCTCTGTCTGCTGTCAACGTGGCCTGGCAGACCTTCAACGATGAAGAAACAGAGATTGTCAAGTAAGTAAAGAAATGCGTGATTTGGATTTTCACGGTATTTTAGATATTCAATGTACTTAAATATAAGCATGGGGCTTTTACTGCTGAAAACTGTTTGCCATGTGGCAGGGTAACTGAAGATGTAGCACTTTCTGTATCTCAAGTCTGTATCAAAGTACATGAGCAATATCTTCTCGGACGTCTAAATGTTTCTTCTGATTTCAATGTTTTGGCTTCTTCAGGTACGAGATAGCTGTTGGCACTTCACCTGGGGGGGGACAACTGAGGGGGTTCTTTGAGACTGATGACGTCACAAAGAGATACTTGTCGGTCACAGGCTTGATCCTGAAGGGGGTGAGACAGGTGAGAAAACCCTTGGATTAGGATTAAAATTCTTGGATTGTTGTACAATAACTAACATATAATAATGGACGTGTACATACAATACTGAACGTTTTGCATTTCTATTTATTTTCCTTATACATTATAACGATCTTAACTGGCTCTGATCCTTGTATCGGCGAATGAGTGTATATCTAATTGCCGAAAATTCATATTGAAGTGTGCGTGTACCATTAAATGAAAGTAACACTTCCGTCAATAGTTGAGTTGTCTACCTTTGCTTCACAAACCGCTTCTAAAGTCCCACGTTATGTCAGCTATTATTAGGATTCACGGGATTACAGTTGAAACTACAAATGAATATATGTTGGACTTACAAGTGCAACATAGAGGTCTTATAATGAATTTCAAATAACAGATATTTGTGACGGTGAAAGCTACCAATGGAGCTGGTCTCAGCACAATATCGACGTCTAACGGTATCTACATGTCCTACCTCAGTCAAGGCTTGGAACCACTCACTCATGTTGGAATCTGGGATGGTGAAAGCCATGATGGTGATCTGTGAGTACTGATTGTGAACAAAGTGCAGAGTTCCATGCATTAGCATCTGGACCAAGATACCAAAATGTCAAAGGTTAATTGAAAAATCGCCGATTGTCATGAAATGTCATCCATTTCATACAAAAAGAGTATTTGACCTTGTATCTCTCTTCAGTGATTTCCAGACAAGTCTGTCCCGAATGGGGGCCAAGTGGGACGTGTCAGGTGACCCGTGTCCGGTGGTCAAGTACGAGTGGGCAATACAAAGGGCTGACGGGCTGAGGGTGCAGGAATACTTCGATACAGAAGGTGGGAGTTATAACATCAGCTGACATTAATCAGATGTGTTCTGGAGGCCTTGTGTATTAACATATTCAATCGATGACGAGACGGACATTAGTCTGCAATGTGACCGAACTTTGTTAATGAGAAGTTATATCAGTGTGGTTTGGTGCAGAATTGTGGACATTTATGTTTGGTATAAACTTGGTTTAGTAGGATCTCATCAATTGTCTTGCATTTCCAGGAAGAACTCATGGCGTCAACGACCAACTGGCCATGCAAAACATGGAACGCTACTATCAGTACCTACGTGTGACCAACGCCATGGACTACACCTACACCATCAGATCGAACGGCATCACCATCGAGGATGACCCCCTGGTGCCTGGACAGGTCAGTGATGGCGATGTCATTGGATTTGACCTTGAGTTCCTCCGAACTAGAAGTAAAGTCAGCGCCAACTGGGACAAGTTTGGTAGCGATGGCAACGCTGACGAGGTATCAGCTGGAATAAAAGCAGGTGAGACAAAAAGTTGGTAATATGTATGTCGTAAAAGGTGACTAGTTGGAGAGTCGGTCTGCCCTGAATTAAGGACGCCAAAGAGGCCACTGAAAAGGGAACGTCAAAAGAATAATATATTTGAAAAAAGTACAGATTCAGGTTATAACAGAAAAGTTGTTTGATACAAATACAACAAGAAATTATTTTAATGTCTTTTCGTAATCAGCGATGTTTTCGCCATTCCAGATAATGTTCCTGAAGAGGAGAAAGAGAAATCTTCCAACCAAGAAGTCGCTTTCTATGAAGTTGCCCTTGGAACCGACCGCCGTTTCCCCAAAACACGTGACAACGTCGTGCCTTTTGTCAACGTTGGCCTTAACAAAACTGTGACCTTCTACGACCTTGACCTCACCCCAGTCACGGCAATATATTACTTCACAGTCAGAGCACACAGCCTTTCCGGGTCCAAGACGGACGTCACGTCCAATGGCTTCTCTGTTGGCTTTGATGGAGGCGTTTCTGGTGAGTCAGAGTCCACACAACGGCGTATGAGTGTATCAGAGTCTACACAACGGTGTATGAGTGTATCAGAGTCCACACAACGGTGTATGAGTGTATCAGAGTCCACACAACGGCGTATGAGTGTATATTCTTCCTTCTTGCTAGTCTGTATAAAATATTGATCAGGACGTTTTCAAAGATCACATACCCCCAAGCAAAATGAACATTGTGTCGAGGTCAAAGGGTCCTAGTCCTACTAATATTCTACGATACAGCCGTAAGTTCGAGACATCAGAGTCCACACAACGGTGTATGAGTGTATATGGGCTATTGTTCTCCAGTTTGTTGCTGCTATATAAAGTTTATACAATATCGATACATGACTTTACGTTTCAGTGGGTATCATCGACATGAAAGAATTTGTCAACACTGACACTTATGTAGATGTACCTTGGGACGGGTTCGAATCCAAGATCGGCATGATGATGTACTACGTCGGTCTCTCAAGCAGCACAGACGCGAACAACTACACATGTGGACAGTTTGTGAGTAGAGATTACCTTCACAAATCAGTACTATGTATCTAGTACTCACTTTGTGCCTAATGGCAGATTTGAGATTCGTCAATAGACGCTGATGTTTTGTTATATGTTTCAGACTGAAAGAGGCTCCATCAGTGACGACGAGCGACGAGGCATCTTCAACGTTGTGGACCTCCAAAATGTGGGGAAGGACACTTTTATGAAGTTTGAAAATCTGTCTCTGGATCACAATGGAATCTACTATGCTTGGGTCATTGGTAAGTTGACGAAAAAGGGAAATGCATGACAATTAGACATATTTAACACCTTTCACCATCACCATCCTCTCCAAGCTTCTAACAGAGAGAATCTGATAACAACCTTTTATGGCAATACCCGTTTATGCCAACAAACCGTTTATGGCAATACCCGTATATGGCAACAAACCTTGTGTGGCAATATCCCGTATATGGCAACAAACCTTTTATGGCAATATCCTGTATGTGGCAACAACCCTTATGTGGCAGTATGTGGCAAAAAAACCCGTTATGTGACAATATCCCGTATGTGGCAATATTCCGTATGTGACAACATCCTTTAAGTTGCAGTACTTCTACTCCTTTGTGTAGCAAATTCCTCATTTCATGATAAAACCCTTATATGACCCCATACCCTTGTGCTGCATATCCCTTATGTGGCAACATCCCTTTTGTGTGGACACCATTGAAAAAGCGAGCTTTCATTTTGCTGGTGCTTCATATCCCAGGTGCTGACAAGGCCGGAGAGTGCAACGTGACAAGTCACATGTTCCACGTGGACGTAACACCTCCAGTCAAAGGCAAGATCAGAACAGGGCCCTATTATGACATGGTAGGTGACGGGGGAAACATTATAATCCTCCTGCCAAGTCCACGCCTCCTAATAAAACAGTGCCGTATTCTGTCGGAACAATGTCTTGCTATAAAGGCATACGAGTCAACCAATATGTGTGTTGATTTATTGTCCATTATTTTTAGTGATGGGTTTACATTAGGATTGCTATATGTTCATTTATTATTATTATAGCATATCTATATAGTGCACGTATCCACCCACTAGTGTATGCTCAAGGCGCTGGTATTTTCCCCTCGATCATTGGATGTCAAATGGGCGGTGGGTAGCCTAATGGTTAAAGCGTTGGCTCGTCACGCCGAAGACCCGGGTTCGAATCCCCACATGGGTACAATGTGTGAAGCCCATTTCTGGTGTCCCCCGCCGTGATATTGCTGGAATATTGCTAAAAGCGGCGTAAAACCAAACTCAGTCAGTCAGTCGGATGTCAATCTCAACGGCGCATCTTATTATCAATCTCAACTCCCTGGGGATCATACTACTCTTGCTGCCACAAGGCGCACCGAGTTATTGCGGCTTTTCCATCCTTACGAGGTACCCATTCACAGCTGGGTGGACTGGGATACACATAGTCACAGTACTTTGTCCAAGATTACTGCACGTTCGTTGCTGTACCCGCAACTAGGCGTTTGCACGTATTCATGTGGCCACATCTGGTCATCTACCAACGGATTCGTGGGTTCTTTTAAGTGCACATTTACAACTGTTACTGCTTCATGTCGACAAAATTACATAACCGCTGTTACCAAATAAGGTGGACTCCACGAAGTTGAAACGTATCTGAGTATTTTAAACATGGCAACATACTGACACATACCTAGGACCGGTTCGTCTGGCATGTATGCCTATGCGTTTACAGTTATACTGGAAAATGTGATCGGTTTTTTTCTTATATAAAAGTTTCGTTTAGAATTATACTTTCAAAAGAAGAAAAAAGTCTCAAAATTTAAAGAGACTTCATTGTTTACTTTGTTTCGTGAATAAAAACCACCCTTTCAGAATCACAAGAGTGCACTAGTGTTTTTATTGGAATGATAATAGAGCTTTCCTATCAATGGTTAAGGAAATGGGTTTACTATCCTGCGTGAAACAGAAAAGTTATTGACTGGTCTTCAGCAAGAATCACGAAACTACAATGGGTGTCTAATTTACTGTTCCGCTTGTCAGAAACTGAGTTACTCGGCCAGCAGTGAGAGTCTTCAGACCTACTGGACAGGCTTCAGTGATGAGGACTCGGGCATCCGATGCTACCACGCAGCCCTGCTGAAGAGAGCCTCCTGTGACGAAGACTCGGAGGAAGAAACTGTCGTAGAATCCATAGAGATTGATGTCAACTACACGTCCTATAAATTCATGGACATTAGTATGCAGGTAGGTATTTTGAACGTAATAGGCTGAACGGAAATATATCATGCGTTGTAGGTATCTTGACTTATAGCAAAAGCTACGGTCACATACCAAACTTACTGCGACGTTTCTTTCCCAGGGCAATGCTCCTTACTTTGTGCGTCTTGTGGTGGAGAACTTTGCTGGACTCAAGTCGACATTAGACTCTCCACCAGTCGTGTATGACAACTCCATCCCTCCCGGGCATCGTCATCGACGGGCACGATTTCACTCACGACATCAGCTGGAGCGGCTCTGCCACCACCGTTACGGGTAATCCATTCATTTAGGTTTTGTTGAGATACATGGTTGCATTCTACCTGCATATCACGATAAAGTGAAAACAACAAGTGTTATGTAATAACGTTGAACGGACATGATGAATACGTTACATCCCTATTTAAAACATTGTACCGTGTGGTATGTTTAGGTTCAAGGATAGCCTAATGCAATGATTGTAATTGATAGACTTTGCAGTCAATAAGTCGCCAGGTTCTGAGCAGTCGAAGAGAGGAAATCGACTGTATCTTAGTGTATCATACTTCGGCCATATTTACTATTATCATCAACTCCGTTAAATATATTTTATTATTTAATAAATATATATGTGAAATGAAAGTCAGTTGAATTCATTGTGTAAAATGGCTAGTTGCGCTAATGTTGGCTGTAGCATAAAACTATTAATTCGCATGTGGTATCAAAGCATGTCGTGAATTGAGATATGATTGGAATTCGAAGTTTTATGTACATATCTTCTCTGTAGGCACCTTCCTGCACCACCCTGTGCCCGACGTGTCTCCATGTCCTGTCAGACAAATCAGATTTGATGACTCGGAGTGGATGTACCTGGAGTCTGACCGTAACCATGACAGCAACAACCGCAGCTTGACCTTGACCTACAGATCAGCCAACGTGCACCCGGAGTCCGGCAAAGTGGACATCAAACTGGCCAGAGATACCAAGACTGACTCCATGTATTCTGGAACCTACTTCAGAGATGCTGACCTTCTTAATGGCGGGGAGTATAAGGTATTAAAGAAGACACTGTTAAATAGATCCTGTTACCAAGACTACGCATGATTCCTACCCATGTATCTCTTAAATTACTACTTATGTCTATCCACTTACTACTCGTGTTGCAGCTATTTATTAGAGCTGCAGCGAAGGTGATAGTCAAGGGTCACCAGTGTCCTGTTCTGGGACGGCCCAGATGACTACATCCTGGACTACGACTACACACCATCACCGGACTGGACCGAGTCTATCTGTGCCCTGTTGCAGGGTGGAACCTGTGGATGCAGTATGTATAAGTGCTTTCATTAATCCATTTCCTTTCATATATGTTATTGGTTTTACAATTATGATAAGTGTATCAAGTCTAACGGTACGTCAGGATCTCGAAGAAATCACTGACTCGTTATCCAAATTGTAATGTGGCTAGCACGATGCTTCAGGGCCTCACTCACTCACCGAGCCATCCTGCAGCTCGATTGGGCAATATGATTCTTTATAATTAGAATGTAATGCGAAAAGGACCATTTGTGTCCTGACAGTAAGAAACCTATTATTGGGTTTGAATCCAAGATTCTACATGACTGTAACTCTAGCTTTATCACCACTATACCTGTACTGGCTGGCTTGGTCTCACTACACGTTCTTCCCACATGACGTGAACAAGATATGGTACATCTGAAATATTCTTCAAAGCTGCGTTCAACCGAACTTGCTCACCTATGATTTCAGATGCCAGTTTTAATACTTTATCTCTTACAGTCCTGCACCTGCAACTGTGAATCCTACCTACAAGCAGAGAGAGGTACTACAAGAACATCAGCAAAGAGGTCTGTGGATCAGGATGATCCTGGCTACGAGAGTGAAGAAGCTGACGGAGGATGAAAAGAAGAAGCTGCAGGAGACAGGCTCCATCACCGGCAAGACTGAAATCGGGAATCTAATCTTCATCCCAGAAATCCTGTAGAGTACAGTTATTTGCAGGTTCGTGGAAATTGCTTTCGTCATCATTATGAAAAATGTTGCTGCTGTAGATATGGTCAGCAAAATAACCGTGAAGGTGAAGGTCGGTTGCCAGTACGACAATACATTTATCATGATACGTAGAGCTTCCCTTTTGTCTGGTGATATGACGATAGATGAAGGTGTTATGTGATACAATATCGGCCATAGAATTATTCATACTATTCTTCCATATTGTGCAGGTGCAGCACCCAAGTTGGTGTCATGGTGTAGTTACGGGGATAACCTCAACGAGCCTGTAGAAGCAGTGAAAGACCTCCTACTAGACCCTTCCAGAGATTACCATCAGTACATGGTCAAGTTCACGACACAGAGGGACGAAGCGAGGGGGATCAGAGGTGATTTTCAAAGAAACTTGAAACACGTTCATGTTATGATAAGTATGGGGAAAGGTTTTCAGGTATCTCTGTTGCATTCTAGCATTTGAATTTAGCAACTAATGTACGACGTCGGAAAAATATAGCTGAGTGCGAACAGGGTGTAGTTCTACGAAGCGATCTTAGTACTAAGGTGACATAAAATAGACTCACGACAGAGTTACAGTTGTATCGTCCGGCGGCACCTAGGCAATCAACTGACCGAAAGAACAGACTATCCCCTGACATTATAGTGCATTTACTGATATTGTTGAAACTAACATAAGCGATATGTCCATTTTGAATTACCGCTGTTGTCTACAAATGCAGATTCCGCTGATTATAAGGCTACTTTGACCTAATGAGAGACATACGCAAGATTATTTAACATCCTATCATGTGATAAACAGGTTATACAATAATTTAATATCGCAGGTTACCTGGTGCATGTCAGTCTTCATGGACGACGATCTGATGACGGAGCAGTGTGGAATACCGCGTCTCTCTCCCAAAACCAGACTCTTCCTGGGAGTCTGGAATCACAAGAACTATATTCCTGACACTGAACGAGATTCGGAAGGGCATCTAAAGGTTTGGAGTGCTACGGCTTCATTCCGTGACCTAGTGATGCCAGCCGAAAGGAGGAAGCTGTGTCGCTATAGCCAACCCTTTCCAAGGAGGTAACAACGCCATCGTTCGGTATGAGGCTGGAATCGGGTCAGCTTCCGGTCTCTCTGATGTCGTGCCGTACCAGCAGGTGAGATGTGGCGCATGTTGACGCAAGATACCTAACGTCCAATTGACGACACGTTACGCGTAATGATATAATATTACGAAGAAAAACAGAAATATCTATTGAAATAATGCAAATGATATTGAACACTTTGTTGTATCTCGGACCTGCAGTTGGTACGTATGCATGTGACCTAAACAATGTATTCCATGTGACTCCCTACGTCAGCTTACTGTAACGTGTGCTGTATCCTGTCTACCAGCTCTATGTCTATGACTACCTGTTACGTTAACCCTGCTTACTGTGACGTGTTCTACGTGTTGCTATGACTATACATCGTGTATCACCTCCAAGACTCTCCGTGACGTTAGATCAGCTTGCTGTGAAGTGTTCTATGTGTTGCTAGGTACATACAGCGTGTATCCCTGTATGGCGCTCTGTGACGTTACGCCACCTTACTGTGACGTGTTCTACGTGTTGCTAGGTACATACACCATGTATTCCCCTTCTGACGCCATGTGACGTTACGTCAGCTTACTATGACGTGTTCTATGTGCTACTAGGTAAATACATAGTGTATCCCTGTATGACCCCTGTGACGTTACGTCAGTTTACTGTGACGTGTTCTACGTATTGCTAGGTACATACACCGTGTATCCCCTGTCTGACACCCTGTGAGAGGTTACGTCAGTTTACAGTGACGTGTTTTATGTGTTGATAGGTACATACACCGCGTATCCGTGTCTGACGCCCTGTGACGTTACGTCAGCTAACCCTGACGTGTTCTATGTGTTGTTAGGTCCATACACCGTGTATCCTCTGTCTGACGCCCTGTGACGTTACGTCAGCTAACCGTGACGTGTTCTGTGTGTTTGCTAGGTACATACACCGTGTATCCCCTGCCTGACTCCTGTGACATGTACACGTGTGACGCATCATGTGACAGCTCATCAACAGACCAGGTCAAGATCACCCTCAACGACCTTAACCTTACAGAAACAACAGTTGTGGAGGGAGAGTAGTCCCTGTATTGTACTACCTCACAGGTGAGAGAACGACACTCGTTACGGGGAAAGAGAAATCGTCTGTGTATGTATTACACTGCCTCTCATGTGTTGGGTGGCAACGGTCCCCGTATTGTTCTGTCTGATAGAAGGATGAATATTTACAAAATGACAGCTTTGTTGTAACTAGATATTGCTGTTTCCTTTAACAAGAAACATTGCCGACGTTTGTACTTCTTTGGATGATCATTTATAGACAGCAAAAAGCAACAATTACCTAAAGGCCAACAGGTTTCATTTTACCAATGGACACGTGACCTTTTGAGATGGACGATATGTAAAAAGCAGAACAGAGCCCTTCTCTAAGCTAGGTCCATGTATTTTATCAATATTAAAAACGGTAGACCTAAACAATGGAAACAAAAACATTCAATTTACATCGTAACATCATGGATGGCCTGTCACAGATGAAACATTTTAATCCCATATTAAACATGTGTCTGAAAGTATCAGTTATTATGCATGTTATCTCTCTGTAATAAATAGAGTAAAAAGTATTTTAGATAAGCACAATGCATGAAAGTACAATATAAACATTCACATAGAAAAACCTCTTTTACATACAAAGTCAACTGTACCAATTATATATAGCACTTGCACTAACCCAGTGGGAATGAACGGCTCGTATATAATAGTTTTACACAAAATAATCCACCTAATAACAAACAATAACTAACGTAAAATAAAGGGAAACTATATACAGAGTTCAGGTACATAAACCCACCCCAACTCCCTTCTCTACATCTGGGTACAACCGAAAGGGCTTCCTCGCCTCGAACGATGCGACTACAATGCAATGAGTAAAGTCAAAGTGCATGCACACACACTGTGACGTTAATCATGACGAATTGCATACTTTTCTAAAATAATTATTGTATTTTAAGGCTAATCTAAACACTCCCGCAAACACGTGCTTTTGAAACTAAGAAGTTGGGAAAAGAGCAAACAGTAGAGACAGTTCGCGGAAACACCAGAATAGCATGAGCAAAGGGAGATAACTGCTTAGAGGGACTGGCAAATATAATAACAGTTCAACTGAAAATTGTCGGTAATTAGTTGATCGCATCCCACAAAGGACATTTTATGCCACTGAGCAAAGGCATTGAGCAAAAGAGATATTTCCAAATTACAATTCTACTCTATGGACATTGATGACAGTACATTTAAACAATGAAACATTTTCTATAATGGATTGGTACCTCATACTAATTACAATTTTTAAACAATTAAACAGACAAATATACTGTTCTAAGAACATGATAATGAAAAGAATACCCCACCACCCCACCAGTCTGATTTCAACCAGCATGACGTGTTCCAGTGAAAGCTGTCCTCGGGTCTGGAACAGAGGCGGTATCGTCATCTGACGGCTTCAACATCGACACGTCACCACCACTGTTTGACACCGACGTCATGCTGTACATTGACGTCACTCAGGGCAACTTCACCCCTGTGACATACCAGGGATCCAACGACACCATCAAGGCTATATGGAAGTGCAACGACAACGAGAGCGAAATTGTGGTAATGTATCTGAAATTATATTCACAGGTGAAATCTTTGGTTAATATACTACCCATCAAAAGTTGACTCACGAGTGTAAATGTGGCCCTTACTTCCGAGCAACTGTTCTAAACTAGATTTTGCAAAATATTCAATTCAGTTTAAAGGTACTGTTTACACATGAACTAATGTAAAAACAAATTCGTAACGTTGAAAGATTATTGTCATGAGTTCAGTAAATGATGAAAATCAGTGAAAATTGGCGTATTCTTAAAGGTCACATGCAACCAAAAATCAAACATAATTAAAACACAATTATCACTTATTCATGACATAAAATATACATTGCTAACGGTTATGAAAAACATATAAACAAAATTATAAGCGTACAATCACAAATCAAAGTGCAATATTGTGTACTTGGGTTTTACTTCCCAAGAAACAGAAGCAGCCGGGATACCGAACCCAGTCAGAGCGGGTGGGTGTGCACTCAAGTGTAACGGCTGGTTCATTTGCGAATCTTCCTGACGGGTCATTGTGTGTGTGTGTATATATAGAGACGTTGGGTTTTGTAAATACATGCTCGGATTTTTTGGTAGTGTAACATTTGCAATCAACAGACGATCATAACATGTCATGTGTTCAAGTATCACCTGCTGCAATGTCGGTAGTAATTACATAATGTGACAGAGACCGAACTCGGGCCATAAATCCAATGCGTTTTGTTGTTTATGGTGTATAGCCTGATTGGTGTTAAGTTCAAATTGCATTTTGGTCAGTGATCGCAGTTGTGTATTGAATATTGTCATTAGCAGACAGGCAGGCAGACACACAGGTGTCAATAAAACAAGACATTGAGAGTTTTGTCTGTGACAACGACATATCTATA